GGCGCTGCTAAATCCCACGCTACGGACTTACACGCGCACGTACTCGCATGTTGCGTCCCAGCGTAGGACGTAGTTGGGTATGTGGAAGCACGTCTTGGGGTACTGGCATACATAGAATGGCAGATATATATATATATAGGTATATATATATGCCTATATACAGGTGACGTATATGTGTTTATACCTATAGATATACGTTTGTATGCGTAGGTGGCTACGTAGAGAGGTAAGCGACTGTCGTCCTCGATCTCGTCTCCTGGTCTCGAGATGGTATCCTCTTATATACCTAGATATACCTACCTACCTACCTACCTACCTACCTATATATATATATGCGTACATTTGTGCGCAAGTCTATGGAAGGTCTGGGCAGGCTCTCTATCAATGATAGGTACCGAAGACACCTACATATTATAGGCAGATATCTATAGGTAATTACATGGTAGGTGTCGGCACGCATGTATGAGGCATGGACGGATGCGGTTGTATGCACGCTTCGCCGCCCCAACGCGGGTTACATGCCGACTTTTCCCAATCCTCTATCGCGCATCTTGACCTGGCCATCTGTCTCCGATGACATGCCTGCCGCCCCCCCCCCCCCCCCCCGTCCTTCTTCTTGTTCCTCTTCTTCTTTAACCCCGTCCAACCCCATCCCCGTCCCTACCGTCTCCTCCCCTACGGTAACCCCTCCTTCATGCAAGAAGAAAAAAAAAAGATCCCTGGATGGGTATGTTACCGGACATTACTACTTACCTACATGCATATGAGTACGTGCTTACTGACTGGGTAGGTACGTAGTAGGTATAATGGACATGCCTACATATCGCCACCGCAACCTCGCATCTTATAACTACGTCTGATAATGCCCTTCTGCAGCGCCCTACATATGTATGTCCGCATGTCCGTATGCGTGCGCGCACGTATGCGCCGTTCATCCACCCGTACACACATACGTACGCATATACACACAAACCAGACACAGGCATACGTATAGCTATAACTACCTGTAGCTATACCTCGCGTGTGCAGATATATATATGCATGCCTGCCTGCCTATGTATTCCCCTGCCAGCCCCCGGTTCCGATAATAGATGTTATATACCTACCTATCTAACCTACCTAACCCAACCTAACCTGACCTCACCTAGATGCCTTTACCTCCCTGTCTACCTGCCTGCCTGCCTGCCTGTCTATCTACCTCTACAGCACGCCCACCCATGTGTATATGCGTCTGCACGCACCTATGCGCGTACGTCCGTCCCTCCATCATCTCGCCTCTCCTGCAGCATCCGTACGATTCCCGGACAGCCGGCCGAGTTACGTATAAGTCGACATGTATGTATCTCTCCCCCCCCCCTCCTCGTTTCCTCTCCCCTTCTCGCGCAGGTATAATTGCCTGCTTATCTGCCTGCCTATCTGCCTGCCTGCCTGCCTGCGGCATCGCCTAACCTTCCCTATCCGCTCACTCACCCGCCTCACCTACATGCCCTTTACCCCGACTCGCCACGTAATCAGCACCTCCCTAGCGGTACGGAGGCAGTAGTAGTCTGTCTGCAGTAATAGCGGCAGCAGAAGCGGCGGCAACCCGCAGTGGCGCGCACCCTCGGGGCTTTCCCAGCAGTGCCAGCGCATACACGTTAGTCTCACCACCACCCACATACATACTTATGCATACACATATACACGCACACCTGCATCACCCATCCATCCATCCATCCCGCACGCACGCCTCGTCCCCCTCTACGCCTGCCCGTCCGCACGCGGTGGTGCCGACAAGACTCTCTCCCGCGCCAGCTCCCTACCTACGACCTTGCCACGACTAGTAGACCATGCTGACGAGCGTCCTACATGCGTACGTACTTTCGTGCGCACAGAACCTGGCGTGTCCACAAAACCGGTACCGGTCTCGCGCCGTCTAGGCGCGGGACGTCATCTTCGGCTCAGGCCAACAGGCGCCGTGGCCGGGTAGATGGGCGGATAGGATGGATGGTAGTGCGTGAGTGGGTAGGTAGGCAGGTAGTAGGTAGGTGTGTTCGCTGGTGGCGTCGTCTAAAAGGAAGAGTGAAGGAGATGGAAAAGAAAGGACAACGAGTTGCGCTCATCCTGCCCTGAAGTGTCGTCGTTAGTTTCCCGTGAGGTGCGGCGGTGGCGCTTGTCGGCCTCTGCTGCGGCATACTCACCTGGCGTGGTGTGGCCTTGCCCTTCCTCCTATTCATCCATCTCCTCCCCCCCTCTCCTCTTTCCCCACCCCACCTAATCAACCCGCCGCTGATGACTAGCTATACATGCACGTATATGTGTGTATATGCATGTGCGCATGTATGTGTAGGCACGACCAGGTTCACCCAAGATATATCCTATTTCCTGAGGGGTTGGAGAGACCCCCCTTTCTCTCCCCTCTCCCCGCCCAATGGACACCACCCCCTCATCGCCCCTCGCCTTTCTTCCCCCTTCGTTAGAGGTCAACAAGCGTTGGCGAACGGTTAGGTAGGGGTTCGGAGCCAGCCCGTCGGATACATTGGTTTGCGGGCGCGGACCAGAGTACTCGTTAGCTAACTCGGTCAGGCCGCATAACCCAATCTGAAGCCCGTTTGCAACCGGTAACCAACAACCAGCAAATAAAGCGACATCAGACACCTAGACGATACGACTGGAAGGTAGGCCCGGTAGACGGACAGAAAGGCTAGAAGGGCCGGAAACCTGTCTGTTAGATTTGACGGACGTACTGTCAAATCCTCGCAGATGATGGGGTACTCGCTCGTCGCGCCCGCTAGTCACGAGTATGGGGCTGCTGATCTCCTCTGGAAGTATCGTTCTGTTGTAGATAGGGTGGGCGAGTCCACTTGTGACAGACTTCTTTCGCTCCCTGCAGACGAAAGAGACCAATTATCGAGGTGTTCCGCGGGGAGCCTATCGGAGGGTCATATGATTTCGTCGCAATCTCGACTCTCAGATTCTGGCAAGAACCGTAACAAGGTGTACGTAGCAGCTCCTTCTAGCCTTCGTATTGTTGACGATGAGATATTGAATAGCTGCCGACGAACTCGTTCATCCGTACTCTCGGCGTCCGTCCGTTCGGTTTGGGGCCGATTCGACTCACACTAGGAGATCGAACTCAAGATACTCTCCTCCCTGAGCATACCGGACTGTGTAAGGGGAACAGTGTCCAACATCCGCGTGCCCACACGAGTCAGCTCGAGGGAACCCGGCCGCAGTTGGTCCGGATACGGCCGGTAACCCTTGGGCGGCAGAGAGTGTGCGGCGACATCTTGGGAGTCTCGCGTTCTGCTACTTCGCACCGCGACTATGCTCACCCGGCCAGAGGGAGAAAGTTCCCTATTGTATGACAAACTCATCCGAGTAGCGCCACTGGTGCTATCATGTCATGACGCTTCGCGGCGGGTCGGGAAAGCGAACGCATCCGGTAATAGATATGGACGAAGACGGCGTCAACAGCCGTGTTAGCATATGATAGTCCGTCTGATCCGAGAGCGGTACCGATGTGGCAACAACGTGCACCAACCGCATATGTCCGATTGGAAAAGCGCTTTCTTGCCTTGACTTTCCTCCCCCGCAATTTGCCTCCTCGCTACGAGGGCGGTGGGCATTTGCTGTTCAGCATTTTGAGGAGAAGGAAAAAAAAAAGGAGGGGAAAGGGGGTCGTCGCAAGACGCCAGCCGACGCCCACCGGTTATACCGCTCCCGGAAATCGATGGGCGAAGAATATGGGGAAATCCTCTTGGGATGAGCGCCCCTCCGATCATATGTTGCAGTAACCGACGATGATCATCAGTTGGGGTGTGCCCATCGTACGATGGATCCGGCGCGATGCGAGATGAGGTCCCGATACACCCAGAGTAGTTGGTACCGAAGCAAAGGATGCATTATTGTCCCAGTCCCGTCGCCGAGACGTCTCCTCAAAGTCAACCACGGCGCGGGAACTTGAGAGATTGTTATGTCTCTCTGGTCCTGAGGATGCCTTCATCCGGACGCGGAGGTAGGTCATATCGGAGTTTGAACTATGCCTTGAAAAGTTTCTGAAGCCGTCATCGTTGCGGTAAATAGCCGGAGATGGGGCTGGAGGGAAAGATAGGTCGAACCTGTCCTGGCGGGCACCTATGAACTTCGCTCCATGCTCGTAGGCGTATGTATGTATGAGTATAGGTGCAAACGATAGGTATATTGACGATCCGCAGGATCTAATTACGCCTACAAATATGATCAGCTTGGTTCTCCGGACGCATACGTCATGCGCGTGTATATGGGTACATACATATACGTATGTAGATCTGTATGCTGGGGATGCAGTAAGTGGGTGAGCCTCGGCGATAGCGAGATTCGCGAAGCTTTATCGATAGTGAGTCTGGATTTGTTCGAGATTTAGGCTTGTCTAGGGCTGATGAGATGGTTCCCCCTATTTTTAATTACATAATCTCCGGGATTGTCAATATTGAGGCAACGGTGATGAGTTGTTTCGAGTCTAGACTGATGAAACAACGCGACCTCGACCCCAACTACCCCTGACCTCCCAGCTCATCTTGTGCATTTTCCGTTGACTAGAAAGTTATTAAAAAAAAAACTCTCCACCGAACCTATGCAGTCGTTAAGGTAGGTATATATTCGGGGATTCAACCAGTTCGTCAGCTAGTGCTGGCCGACTAACATGTGCAAGATGCATTCGTATTTTTGCCGGCCCAAGCGTGTGAGTGATTGCTTAGGCGGCCGGCCGGACTTTGTAGAGGATTCTGGTGTTTCATGTCCCCCGGAGGAGCTGTAGCAACCAGACCTCTTGGTGTCATCAGCGTCCAAGAATGGCCCCCACACATTTCTAGGGGCCTAGTTAGGTCCATGAGTGAGGCGGCAATATGACACAGGTCAAGGCCTTCTGAGACGCCTTCACTGTGGTGGGTTGTTGTGTTCCCACTCAGGAATGGCCCTGCGTTAGAGATCGCTCTCAGGGGTACTGGCTTGCGAGTAATTCTAAGCGATATCCCCCAGCATTCTACAAGGCTGAGAGTTTGTCCCTTCTCTCGGATCGCCCAGTCTCTTTTTTGACTTCTCTTCTTGGCCGATTCCGTCCTTCATTAGTGATATTCTTATCTTTTGTTCCTGGCGCCTGGCGTGCCCCGATTATTAATTTTATTTTTCTCATGGCGAAGCCCTACAGCGACGCTGCTCTCGAGGAGGAGCCTTTCCTCGCGAGAGAAGAGGGGACAGGACAGAAGTGGGAGGGGAGCAGAGGTCTGAGGAGCTTGCCGGAGAGGTTACAGAGACTGAGCCCGCATTGGGTGTGGGCATGCCACGCCGTCCTGCTTACCATCTCTTTTACGTTCTTCGCGCTGTCGTTCTGCTCTACGGCCTCGAGGATGACGGACCTAGAATACACGCGAAGGTACTCGGCGTGGTGTATGTTCAACAGAAACCGCAATCCCTAAATAAGAGAACGTCTAACCGAGCGACTAGCACCTGCTGCCAGCGCGGTCAAATACGAGACGCAACAATTCGATCTGCCCCCGAAGGCGGAGGGCCCCTACGTCGGGAAGGGGGATGATGTGGATGCGGCATGGGATGAAATATCAGCGAGTACGTCCCAATAAGCACATCCGACCCGTGCCTGAGTACAATACTGACCCGATCTCCAGTTGGGGACACGATGATATCGCGCGAAGAGATGCTCAAATTAGGCCTGGATCCCGACGTTTCCCTCGCCATCACCGACCCGAGAGACGGGAGGCCGGGCTATCGGGTCGCCTTCGAAGTCTTCCACCAGCTGCACTGCCTAAATCTCATACGGCAGAACGTGTACAAGGACCATTACGCACCGTTGGGAGGCGATACTTCTGCGCAGCCCGAGCATCTGCAGGGCCACCTCAACCACTGCATCGACGCGCTGCGGCAGTTCGTCATGTGCCAGGCCGACGTCGGCGTCTTCAGCTTTACCTTTCCCTTCAACGACGGCGACCCGTGGCCGAACTACAGCACGCCGCACACGTGCCGCAACTTCGACAGCATCCGCAGGTGGGCCATCGACCACATAGTGCCGCGGGGACCGGACGAACCGGAGCATTGACGGGCGACGGGATTGACGGGTATTTGTGATTTGTACCATCGCCACATGGAGAGAGAGATATATATAAAGAAGGAATAGCAAGAAATGGCTCTATCCAAGATTTGGGATTTATACCTATACACGTAAAGCCGGAGATGTGAGGCAGAGCAGACAAGACCGTCCGAGAGTATTGGCTGCCGGCAGCTCGCGCAGAGATGGGGGTAGAAGGTTGTCCGATAATCGGCACGATGACGAGCAGGGTAGGTGTTAGACGAGTGGGTGATTCAACGAGCCCATGGGTCAACTTGTAATACGTAGAGGCATCTACCTACCTAGGTACCTAAGGGATGTAGGTAAAAGGTATCTAGGTCCTCATAGACGTGAAAGCCAACCGACGACCGACCGACCTACCTCGATATAATACCTACATAACCAAGGTAGCTATATAGGTGTATTATGTGCGACTCGGGTTCGCCCAATGCGGAAGAATGTGCGCGCCTGCATTTTCCGATGTGTTTCTTGTACCTACAATATATGAGTATACCTCTAGCATAGGAGTCTATGAGGAGGCAGGTATCTCGCGCCGCCTGCTCCGGGCTGGTTGGTTGGTTGGCATGCGTACCTCGGGCACGAATCGAGAGCGACCGACCTCCTGAGGAAATGCAAATACCATACACGTACACGCAGTGCATAGGCAGCTTATCGAATCAGCTCGCGACAGGCACCCCGGGGTTTCTCCGTGGCGAAAAAAAAAAAGGCAGAGGCCAGCGTTCGGCTCCACGTGCGGCCAGGCGCTGAATACGAATACGAGAGACGGACAGGGCCAGGGCGGATCGGCGCGGAATGAAAGGTGGAGTTGGCTGTCATATCGGCCTTATCAGATCGAGCTGGATGAGCCGATTTGCAGGCATGTCTCACCCGTGCACGTCAGTCCTACCCCCCCAACCAGGCCTAGCGGATGGCTGCTCATTGCCTCATTGGCAGCTTGCGCAGTCGAGGCGAGCCAGACGAGAAGAAATCGACGCACGGCGCGGAACAGAAGACGGTTTATCGTTGCCATATTACCGCTTTTTCAGACGGAGGCATCCACAGCGTTTGGAGAGCCGGATGTGTGAGATCCCAGGTGGTGTCATGGCGATGATTGGCGAATCAGCTTGCTTCGGCCCCAACAGCACTGCTGTCTTGGCCGGCGCAGCTACTGCAGCCCGCCTGCATGGCCTCTAGCGGTTCCCAGCCTACCTAACCAAAGGTACCTAACCTAAGGTAGGTTACCTACACGCGTTAGGTACCGCACCCGACGTCGTGCATATGAGTACATCGTCATCGTCGCCGCAATAGGGAACCCCTATTTCTTTACCGTCCGTCGAAGCAGAACCAGGTCAGGTCAAGCCATTGCGCGCCGGATGTCAATCTCCTACTGTTCCCATTCTCAACCCCGGCTCTCCCGGGCGATGGGTCGACGCCGCCTCGCCGTGGTTCGACACAGCATAGAATAAAAAGCCGAACGGCGTAGCGTTGCTCAGCATGTTTTCTCCCTCTTTCTTCTCGAGCTATCCTCCCTTCCCTGTAGCTGCTCTACCCGTCTATGCGCTTCGAGGCATTGGGAACCGGGACGTGGTATCTCGCACGGGTCTACTCTTCATCACTCTCTTTATCAAGCTCCGCCCATCTCGTCTCCCCCAGGTCTTCCTTGCTCCATAAGTAGGTTGGAAGGGAAGAAAAAAAAAAGGGGATCCCCGACCCATACATGTCTTAGCTCCGAGTCCGAAGCTCAAACCCCAGCTAAGGAAAAGGAAAAGAAGAAAAGAAGGAAAAAAAAAACTTATCGATAGACACGCAGTGAAATTGCATATACCTACCTGGACCCTGTCCTGCATCTTTTTCCCAACGCACACCGGGCAGTACCGCGACTGTCGCCCTGAGTTATTTACATCCCTTCTGTTCTCCCTCCTATACACCCCTTCCCTCCTTCACCTACATAACACCCAACCCACCCACCTCCCGACCCGTTCTTGTCTTTGTTTTCCCTTTCAATCTTCTCCCTCTATCGTGCGCTCCCCGGCCCTGTCGCACTCTGTTTGGTTCAAGATGGATGTCGTCCTCGAGCTCACGGATACCTTCGTGACCGACTATCTCTACGCTTTGGCCTTGCCGGCGAACCCTGTTGGTCTTGACATTCCGAACCTCGCCAACTCCTCCGAGCGGGTGTCGTCGTCATGGAAGTTCAAGACTGCGAACCCTTACTTCAGCTTCGAGCCCAGCAAATATGCCTACATGAGCGTCTGGGACCGGGATAACATATACCGTCAGACCATCACCTTGTTCTTGCTCACCTGGTAAGTCGCTGCGCGTCCGAGCGAGGATCGCCCACGCGGTTGTGCTGACATAGTATTCGCTAGGATCTTCGGCTTCATCCTGTACTTCGTCTTTGCCACGCTGTCCTACGTCTTCGTCTTTGATAAGAAAACCACCAAGCACCCCAAGTATCTGAAGAATCAGATGTGGCTCGAGATCAAGCAAGCGAACAGGGCTTTGCCCGGCATGTCGGCTCTGACCACCCCGTTCTGGGTGCTCGAGGTCCGCGGCTGGACTAAGCTCTACGACACGCCTGCCGCTGGGCCCGGTCCGACGTACGAAATCCTGCAGTACCCCTTCTTCATCCTGTTCACGGATGCCCTGATCTACCTGGTTCACCGAGGGCTGCACCATCCCTTGATCTACAAGCACCTGCACAAGCCGCACCACAAGTGGATCATGCCCACGCCCTACGCCTCGCACGCCTTCCACCCCGTCGACGGCTTCCTGCAGTCCTTCCCCTACCACCTGTTCCCGATGCTGTTCCCGCTGAACAAGTTCGCGTCCGTCGGGCTCTTCATCTTCGTCAACTTCTGGACCATCATGATCCACGACGGCGAGTATGTCGCCGAGAGCGCCGTCATCAACGGCGCCGCCTGCCACACCATGCACCACCTCTACTTCAACTACAACTACGGCCAGTACACCACCTTCTGGGACAGGCTCGGCCGGAGCTACCGCAAGCCCGACCCCGATCTCTTCCTGAAGGAGAAGAAGATGAGCGAGGCCCAGTGGAAGCTGCAGGTCAAGGAGATGGAGAAGATGGTCGAGGAGGTCGAGGGCGAGGACGACCGCGCATACGAGGCCCCCGTGTCTAAGAAAAACAATTAAACGCACTCGGCGTCTTGCGTCGCTTGATTTTCCTTTCCCCAAACCCCCGCTACACGCGTACGACGGATGACGGATGAAAAGGCAGACATGATCGCAACTAAATGCGTTGCGGACGGCGCAAAAGGGAATTACATGTGAAATGGGTAGACCGCTTAATAGTAATAATACGATGCCAGTTATGTACGGGCAGCAGGCAGGGTGTGGGGGCGGAAGGGTTGCCGTCGGCAAGCGATGACGAGATCAGGAAACCCGGCGTTTAGGATGATTCCCGCTACTATTTCTTGCGAAAAAAAAAAGGGGGCGGCGGGATGACTTGCATATGCATCCCGCCTCCCCGCCCAAAGCCGAGTTGACCTCGTGGACGGAAAGGAAGAGAGGAGAGGGGGGTGAAGAGGCAAAGGAGCCGAGACTCGGCTTCTCTGCGTCTCTTCTCCAGAATGCGTGGTCCTTTCGTTACCTGGAGATAGGCGAGATAGACACAAAGTAACTACATTAACTAATGACCGCAAATACAATCTAATACCATCGCGCTGACGACGGAAAGTGATCTGGAGGGTCCGCGGCTGACGGGTCAGGGGGCGGGGTCGCTTATACGTGCCAGAGACTGGTCACAAGCTGAGACACGGCCGCGGATATGCAAGAACAGTCCTACCAGTGGGCCAGGGTGTAAGTATCTAGCTGGAGAGCGATCACTTTGTAGAACTACGCCCACAAGTCGGGAGATAGACCCTTTTCTGTATTCAGATGTGGAAAAACGGGGGAATGTCGCGGATATGTTTGTATGGTAGGTAGATTTGCAGCACTCCATTACCAGCGGCCCTCCCCTCACCCGCCCTTCCTATGGCAGTAGCACGTCCGACGACGGCGATTGCTCTCCGGCGTCTCGAGCCGCGCTGTTTATATGTTTGTGAGCCGTGGCGCACGAGGCTTGACCGCGCGTGCCTCCCTCCGTCGCGAGACGATGATAAATAATACCGCCAGCGCCAGCGGCTGCCTCGATGAAAGCGGTCCGCCCCCTGCCCCCCTATTAAAACGCCCGCGAGATGATGCTTTGCTTGAAAAAAAGAGACAGAAAAAAAAAGGCAATATGCGACTTGCTGGTCGCGCAGAGTACATGTCGATCGGCCGGCCCGTCGTCCGCCCGCCCGCCTATCCGTGTTGTCCGTCTGTCAACCGCCCGCGGTTCTGTTCGTTGGTGTCGAGTTGCTGCTCTCACACTGCCTCCCCATCGGGGCCCCGGCCCCTTCTCTCGCTAGCGCGACTAGCCCGGAGGTTCTCCCTTTTATACCTACGGTTTAAATACCGGTGATCGCACACGCGCATGTAGGTGCACATACGCCATTACCTATCGCGCGCCCCGTCCCTCCTCCCCCCTCGTCTTCTTCTTTCTCGTCTGATCTCCAGCCGGCCCCCGCTCGCGCGCTCTCGCGCTCACGAGAAGCTGACGAACTTGGGGTCCTTGGGCCGGCCGTCGGCGGCGACGCCGTTGGCGCTGAAGTACTGCTCCATGTAGACGCGGCGGGCCTGGTCGAAGCGCATGCGGCGCTTCTTCATGATGGCGAGGATCTGGGCCTTGGCGGCGTCGTCGAGCCCGGCGCGGCCGTCGCCCGCCTCGACGTTGGCGCCGAGGTCGAAGGTGTTGCTCGACAGGCCGGCCTCGATGTCGCCGGCGAAGGAGGACGAGCTGCCGGAGCCGCCGAGGTGTAGGTATTGTCGCGACTGGAAGGGCAGGAACGCTAACCACGTGTTCCGCGTCAGGTAGAGGATCGTGCCGACGACAAGGACCGCGAAGGTCAACGAGTAGAGGAGGTATCCCATTTTCTTTTTGTTCTTATCGGTTCTTGCGCTGTCGCGAGCGCTAGCGATTTCGCGGGTTCCTCGGGCGATTTGTGAAGGGTGGGGTGGTTGAAGTGGGCGTAGGTGGTGTAGAGTTTCGTTGCGAGATAATGACGGGATATCTCTCTGGGGCAAGTCAACTAGGTGGATTGTGGTCGATTGCCGGGCGGGAGGATTGGGTTTCGAGGGAACGTTAGGCAATGATCGTAGTCGCAAATAGGACGGTCAAGAGAATGCAAGAGGACTATTCTCGCAGTAGACAAAATAAAATCAAATAGAACAAAAAATAGCGAAATGGATAAGAGTGCGTGGATGTGTGCGGGCGTAGTGTGCGAGGGAAAGAAAAGGTGCAGTGGTGATAGCTGAAAGAGAATACGTAGGCAGTACAAATAGAATCAGGCCATCGGAAGAGACGGATGGCCTTCTTGGAGAGGCAGACAAGACGGGCGGAGTTTGAGAGGGTGTAAAGAGAGGGAGGCGAGGGCGCAGGAGTGCGAGAGATGACGGATAGAATCATAAAGTCTCTCTCTCCAGCCAGCCAAGCACTCCCTACCAGAGCTGACGACGCCATTCTACGAGTACGCTAAGGCAGTACCTCATCCTGGGTACGATAGGGCGACACGTGGTATGTGCATATGGGAATTCGGCGGGTCCAGTCTGCGCCACTTTCATACGAGCTTGCAGATAACCGGTTGTAGTAGTCAAACGGGGTACGCCAAGACTTTCCCAACTGTCCGCACCACGGGGAACCATTCCAACGCTAGTCCTGATTCGGCCTGTTAAGCGACTCCCACACCCGGGCATTTGCACAGTGGGCTTTTTTCGAAATCGTCATTTTCGCGATAAAGTGTGTGTGTGTGTGCCATCTACCTTATACCATCCCGACGAGCGATCGATCGAACCGACGAACGACTTCAAAATACCCACCCCGTACCTAAACAAAATGGCCACCGCAACGAGCACCCAGGTCCCCGCAGACCTCATCTGGGAGATTGTCCGTGAGTTCTCGACCCGAGCACGGCGACACAACTACCCGGGACAGATACGAGAAGAGGGGGGGTAGGCTGACGGCTTGGTGATATATACAGGAGACAACAACTCCTACCTCGTTAAGAGAAAGGAGTCTGGCGGTATCCAGTTCTCGCGCGATCCCCTGAACCTGACCAACAAGAACAGCCGCAAGGTGAGCATGGCTACGTCCCCACCAGGTTTCGATCGGAAAGAGGAAAAGAAACTGAACCATTCGCTGACCTCAACCTAGTATGCTGGGTTCGTAAACAACAAGGTATGGGCATATCGATGCCATGGCAGCTCCGATCTCTAGCAGGACCAACCAGACTCATACTCAGAGCTCTAGGCTATCGGTGTCCAGTTCGCAGAGAAGGGCGGTGTCAAGATCATCAGCAAGAAGCAGTCGGCGGCCCACCAACCTGCCAAGTCCTCGATCACAACTACCCATAACGGCGGCCAGACCACACGAAAGTCAGTTCCCCCTAAATACCTTGAATTTGAATATGCGACATGCCTATATCCCATCTTGTGGGATATTAGAGGGAGGAGGAGTGCAACTCGCTAACACCACGCGCTGCCCCGATGTCGTAGGATCTACAAGTCCGTAGCCAACAAGACGGCCAAGTCCGGCTACCGACCCGACCTACGTGAGGCTGCCGTCGCTCGCGTCTCCGCCGTCCGCCGGTCCCAGAAGGACCCCAAGCCGACTCCGGAGCCGAAGCTCCGAGGCGCGAAGGCGAAGAAGGCCGCCGCCGCCGGGGAGTCGTGAAGCCCCCTCCCCCCTCACATCTACCTACCGGAATAATAAGCGCAGCCAGGGTGTCGGCTATCTATTGGCAAGGGAAGAAGGTCAGAAGGGAGAGAGGCCCTCGCCGGGTAAAGGTGGCTTCGCAAAAATAGATAAGGTCGGCCGGCGAACAAGGCATATATTGTGTGCATATAGTTTTTAGCACCCCTCCAGCGAGCCAGTACGTACACCATGTTCGCCGGCATGCGTTAGGGGATATTGTGCGTACGAAGGAGGGAAAAAAACGTGAAAACAAAGTTCCGTCTGTCTCCTATCCCCCCTGGGCGGCCTAGGTCTTATCTTTGACCACATAACTCGTCTCTTGGAAGAGGGCATGCGGATCGAGAGAGCGATCTCTCATAGGGTCCAGAAACTCCGTGTGAGGCATACGCGTAATGCTAATACCGCACGGTACGAGGGCATATTTGTAGGTAAGACGAAGCTCCGATCCGAGGCGTACCTCCCATACGGATTGCCAGCGGCCGAGCGATTTTCTTCCTGCTTTTCCCCTCGGAGGCGCGTGTAATTTGCGTAGGTGTCACCGTTACCCGGAGAGCTTACTTAGGATTGGAGGGGTCGCTGTCGGCTCGTAGCGCGTAGGCGGGTAGCGCGTCCGAACTTGCCCGATCCCGAGGCGCGGACCTCGGGAACGGATATATGTAGCCAGGCCATAACATAGGTAGTGCGATCCATACGGCGCAATGGATCGTTGCGAGTACCAAGGCTCACCCGTACGTGCTCTGGAATGTGTAGGCATATGCCAGGTATGGTTTAACCTCGGGCTAGCTGGAGACGGCCCGTAGAAGTGGGTGGACGGAGCCCGTCCGGTGTTGGGTTCTGGGTGAGCGAAGGCATGCCAGAAAACGCCGAGGCATAGCGGGAAATAATGTATATACCTACCTAAGGGACACACCCCTCTGTGGTGTTTATGTAAGCTGCCTCCATACCCCCTGCTTATAGCATCAAGGGCATGCCGGCTTCTCCAAACTGCACATCTGAACCAGCGATGTACCTAGGCAAGTCCCTATCGAGGGGTGTAGGGAGGGAAGAAGGTAGGAGGTGCCTAAGCAAAAGCATGCCGTGGTACTTGGACAGGTACCTCCGGCAGTTATGGATACCTCTTGCCTGGATGCATGTGACGGCGAGGGCGGATAAGATGGATCGCTTCTAATGCAGGCGCCGTCATTGGATATACTGACCCGGGGTGTTGACGAACTACCTCTCCTGACCTACCTAGGTATCTATCTACCTCCTCTATAGGTAGGTAGGTAGGCAAGTCTCCCACTATCAGGTCCCCCTGTCCCCGGTGTTGAGGGCACAGAATCAGTCCCTACCTACATACGGTACCTCCTATTAGCATGTCCCCCCTCTAATTGACGCAGTTGGTCCCCGGGCAGACCTAGGCGGGTTAGGTAAGCGCAGTATCGCCCCTCTACCTAGAAGGTAGTAGGTAGTTAAGTACCTAGGTAGGTAGGACCAGGCACTTCCCTAAAGTATTCGTCGAGTCGTGTAGGTACCTAGCAGGTCGACGACAGGTACTACCTACATATCTACCTCCTCCCTAACGTCGCCGCACATCCGCGGGCCATCCACGTGTTTGCCTGGAGGTAGCCGCCTCTAGGAACTCGCAATATTACGTAGCTGGTAGCATCTACTTGGCAGGTACCTGCGGGGGATTTCACGTCGACCCCGCCAGCACCAACCCGCTTTGAACAAAGCTGGTGTGGGTTTCCGGGACGAGGTCGTAGCAACATCAACGCTGCCCCGCCCCCCTCAACGTCGACAAAACCTCACTCAACCTCTCCCGTCCATCCCATTCCTTCTCATCATCCATTCCTTTTCACTTATCAGTCCCTGCGAAGTCCGTTTCTTGACCACGCCGACTTGAAACACGTCGCCAACGACGGCATATTCTTCGAAGGTTTGTTACCCACCCCCAAACCTTGCCTCTGAGGGTGCCCTCGAGCGGTATATCGCTCGGCTCTGGCCTGCTTAGCTCTCTCTCCATGCACAAGCTGCTCCCTCTCCTACCTACAGTCCCCCGTCGTCGATCAGCACTGACCTCTAGACCTTCTTAGTTCCCCTCAGATAACCTCTCAATCGAAGGATCACCCAACACCACTAATTAAACCGCAACCATGGTCAAGGCTGGTAAGTTAACTCTGTTGCCTCGAGCTCGACCCTGCCTGTTTAAAAAGCTCGTAATGCTGACGAGGCCATAGTTGTTGCTGGCGCCTCGGGCGGTATCGGCCAGGTTTGTCTAAAGAGAGATATCCACCGAAAACAAGAACGAAGATGTCGAAGCTGATACTTGTGCCACTGTCGATAGCCCCTCTCCCTTCTTCTAAAGCTATCCCCCCTCGTTGACGAGCTTTCCCTCTACGATGTCGTCAACACCCCAGGTGTCGCCACCGACCTTTCCCACATCTCCTCAACTGCCGTGAGCAAACCTGCCTGTCCTCCTAACAGTGGCGATGTGACTTCTGACACACTGGATAGAAAGTCACGGGCTACCTGCCCAAGGACGATGGCGGCAAGACCGCCCTGAAGGATGCCGATATCATCGTCATCCCTGCCGGCATTCCCCGTTTGTCTTCCGATGTCGTCCGAGAGTGTTGGGAGGACAAGCAACTCACGTGGTGTAATTTGCAGGCAAGCCCGGTATGAGTCGTGACGATCTCTTCAACATCAACGCTGGCATCGTTAAGGGCCTGATCGAAATCGCCGCCGAGGTGGCTCCTAAGGCCTACATACTGGTCATATCCAACCCGGTCAACTCGACTGTCCCTATCGCCGCCGAAGTTCTGAAGGCTAAGGGCGTCTTTAACGCCCAGAAGCTGTTCGGTGTCACCACCCTCGACATTGTCCGCGCTGAGACCTTTGTCGCTGAGATCGGCGGCCAGAAGACCGGTTCCGAGCTGACTGTCCCCGTTATCGGCGGTCACTCTGGCGAGACTATCGTCCCCCTCTTCAGCAAAGTCAGCCCTAGCGTAACGATCCCAGATGACAAATACGATGCTCTTGTCAACCGCGTACAGTTCGGCGGTGACGAGGTCGTCAAGGCCAAGGACGGCGCCGGTTCCGCCACCTTGTCCATGGCTTACGCTGGATTCCGGTAGGGTCTATCCTCCCCTGACACAACCACGGTTAAATTAACGATCTCCTAGCTTCGCCGAGAAGGTCTTGAGGGCCGCCAAGGGCGAGAAAGGGCTTGTTGAGCCCAGCTTCGTCTACCTCCCTGGAGTCCCGGGTGGCGACGAGGTCGCCAAGGCGACTGGCCTAGACTTCTTCTCTGTTCCGGTTGAGCTCGGAGTAAGTAATCCTTGGGAGATTCGGCGACGAGAATGCTAACAACCTGATAGCCCCACGGTGTCGAGAAGGCCCTCAACCCCCTGGCTGGCATTACCGAGAAAGAGAAGTCGCTAGTGGACGCCGCCGTACAGGGCCTCAAGGGCAACATCGAGAAGGGCATCAGCTTTGCTCACAACCCCCCTCAAAAGTAACTACCCCCTTGATTCACCCCTGGGAGAAAATTGTCTGGCATGTGCGGGAGATTCTCTAGCCTGGCTATGACGTGGTGTGTCCGGTTACGAAACGCTCGGCCCGCGAATGAGTGCGGTGTATAGACAACGAGACAATCTCGGTAACAATTCAGGTCAAAGTGACTGATACTTATATCTCGGCTTAGGTTGTAAGAGTGATTTGATCAACCCACCCGCCTCCCACCCATAAACACCGACTACACTCTCGCTCGTCGTAGCGTATGGGGAGCGAAACATCGTCGGATAACGCTGGTATGGTATAAGAATAGGCAAGCCGCTGGATCACCTAGAGAGAGTTGTCGCGTTGGAAGCTTTAATGAAGTCCGGGCTGCGAAGGTCTCTCCACCGACGACGGGGGCGCGATTAGAGGGTACATATTAAGGAAGCAAACGGGCAGGCGGAGCAGACAGATAGGCAGGCATCGGACAACTTCTATAGAACCGAATGCCGAAAAAGAAAGTCGTGATCGTCGTCATCTTTGGGGACCAGTGGTAGATATCTCGGGTAACCAAGCGCCCTTCTTCTTCCTTTACTCCTGTCCCCCCCAACGCTGTTTCCTCTCCCTCTAAATTCTTTGCTTGCGCTTGCTGCCATAACGCAACGGGGTCCCTTCCCTCTGCCCCCCTTTTTTCTTTGTTTATACCGAATCTCTAGGCCGCGCCTATGTACGGTTGGACGCGATTTCGTCCCATAACCACCACCGCCGCCGCCGCCGCCAGCGCCCCACCGATCTCGGCAGAGTGATGCTGGTCCCGGCTCTTTCCCACTGCCCTCCCTCTCGCTACGGGCGAGCTGGTCGGGTGCGAGGACAGACAGAATTCGCTGATTCTGTCGTCGCCACCGTCGTTGGTGACGAATCGCAATTATTAAATCTTTTTTTTTTGAAAAAAAAAAGAATCTATATATATGTGTGTGTGTGTGCGTGTGTGTGTGCATGTGCCGATCACTGCGACGACGGCGGCGGCGGCTTGGCGGGGGCGGTCTTGATCTGGAAGACGGCGCCGGGGAGCTCGCTGGTCTCGGCCTGGACGGTGGCGGCGATGCCCATGGCGGCGAGGGCGCCGCGGACGACGCCGCAGGGGAACCAGAGGAACTGTGGCGAGTCAGACATTCCCGGGGGTTTCCTTGTCGAAATGTGTTGTCTGCGAGGAAGAAGGAAAAAAAAAGGGGGGGGGGGCTTGGGGGGGGAGAAGAAAAGAGAGGGAAGAAGAAAAAGAAAGAAAAAAAAAAAACTACTCACGGGCTGCGCCCGGGCGACGGCGTGCCCGCCCGCGTCGGTGCTCATGCGCGACAGCGGCCGGAAGGCGTTGTCGGTCAGGACGTAGACGCCGCGGTGGTTCGTCTTGAGGTTGTCGACCTGCTTCTTGAACACGAGCATCCACAGGTCCTTGCAGACGAACTTGATGGCGTCGAGCGCGTCGTTGAAGCGCGGCCGGTCGCGGGAGAAGCTAGCAGGGGGGGGGGAGAAGGCCGTTAGTCAGGCTGCTTCTCCGGGGGAGTAGGGGGGAAAAGGCGGCGGCGGGGGGGTTTCTTTCTGTCTGCTGCTCGGGTAGGATGACGGGACGGTAGACGGGGAGGGGGAGGGGAGGGGAAGGGAAGGGAAGGGAGGACAGGACAGGACAGGACAGGAAGGCAGAGAGAAAGCACGCACCGCTCCACGAGGCCGAGCCCCACGCGGTACCCCAGCGCCTCGAGGCGGAAGAAGACGGCGTCGCGCTCCTCGTCCTCGTCCAGCTTGCGCGGCTCCCCGCTGCCGTCGGGGGGCGGCGACAGGACGACGGCGGCGGCGGAGGACGGCGGCGGCGGGTCGGAGGCGGAAGAAGACGCGGGCGCGGGCGCGGGAGACGACGGAGGCGCGTCGAGCTCGTTGGCGACGCGGTACGCCATCGGCACCAGCTCGATCATCAGGAAGTCGAGGCACGACGTGCTCAGGAAGGTGGCGCTCGGGTCCGACGCGTTGAAGGGCGGCATGGGCTGGTCGAACGACATCTTGACCCTCTCTTCTCTTCTCTTCTCTCCCCCCCCCTCTTCTTCTTCTCTCTTTCTCTTCTCTGTCCCCTTCGATGGTCTCGCTCCCCCTCTCGTTCTCCCCGTGGCAGCTAGCTGCGTCGCTCGTCCCGCCGCGTCTTAGGCCGCCCTCTCGAAACCGTCCTGGTGTGTGCTCGTGTCGTTTCCCTTTCTCTCTCTCTCTCTCTCTCTTTCTCTCTGTTTCTCTCCCTATTTTAAAGCGGAGGAGCCGGTGCTCTGGGGTTCTCTCGGACGGCTGGCTACCTACTGCCAGTGCGCCCCCGCTGGTAGCTTGTGGGGACCGTTGGTGCGGCGATGGCGGATCGTTACGAGCCTGAAGACGACGTATGTTTCCTCTACTATGGGCGCATTAGAGGGACGGGGGGGAGAGGCCCCGATTGGCGGCACGCGGGCCAGCGAGCTCCCGAATTGTTCGTCTGGTAGGTAGATAGAGTAGAGAGGCGGGTGAGTGGGTATATCTGGCTTCGTCCTTTTCGTTCGCTCGGTCGTCGAATGTGCGGCGGGGTTGTGTAAGCGAAGGGTCGTCGTGGGGCGGAACCTCTTTGTCGCTTCACGGTACGGTCGGTTGCGGTAGCTCAGACAAACCTGGGGAATGGATCTCGCCTTGGTACGGCTGAGGATTCCATAGTGGGGCTAAGGATCATGAAGGGCTAAGCCAATTTATTAAGCTATCGAGTACCCCCATAAATGCATACATACGATAAGTACTAAAGGGTGGGTCCATTCCTCGCAACGTACTCATATATGTACGTATAGATGCCTCCCAAGATAATAGGAGAAAAGGGGGGGAAGGGGGCGGCTTTATTGTCGAAGGCTTACAGTTCCAACTTCTGTAACAAACCCTCGGTTGCTTCCGCCGTAACGATGCCGCGAGCCGCCGTTATGTAACCGTGCCATTTTGATCGTACTGCAGAAGCAAGACCGCGAAAGGGGTCTGCTAAATCTAATCAGGCGGTCCCCATCTTATCCGTCTTTTCCTAGCAAAACAGAGGGTATTCCCCTCCCTTTAGAACGCCAAGGCTAACACTCCCCCTACTCCGTTGTGTCCATATGCGTACAAGGATACCCTCCCAAATTTTATGTACAAGAGATCCGAGAACCGAGATCGAATTACTCCGGACTGTTTCCAGGTCTACATGGCATCTCCCATCATCCAAAACGGAACCGGCCGAGAGATATACCGCGCGAATGGCTGGCTACCTGGCGCTGGTTTGGCCGTCGAGGTTGCTCATCTCCCACCAGATGTCGTCGCTTCGAGGCATCATCCCGCCGTAGATACTCTCCCTGATCGTCTAGTAATCGCTGCTGCCTAGACTGGCGGATAGCCCTCGGTTCTGGCGCTTCAGGGGACGGATGATGGGCTCGTCATCCTCATCGCTACTAAGTGTGAGGTCGATGACTTCGGCCGACCGCTTGTTGCTCCCCGATCTCGATGCGCTCGGCGTGCCTTGGTATCCTCCGCTGGGTGCTCCGCCGCTGGGTATTGATCGGCTTAGCGGTGTGCTGGTGTGAATGCCGTGGGAAACGATCGAGAGATCGTCGTCGTCGTCTATCTTGGTACTGTTACCAGACCGCGACTGGCTCGAATCGGCTCGCTCCGTCTTCCTCCATTGGCCGTCCGGTTCGATGGTGACCTGGGTCTTCGAATCCGACGTGTGTTCTAGGATATCGAGGACGTATTCGTCAACGGCTAAGGTATCGAAGGGCGCATTTTTATGGCAGATGGGGCAAAGCCAGGTCGGCGCTTGTTCCTGGAGCTGTAGGTACGAGTTCGCGTCAAAACACTGGATGTGGCTGCAGGTTGCCGACCGACAGGGAACCCTCAACCTCGTATAGCTCAATGGACACAGGAGAGAGAGAACCTGCGAGGTCGCTACGACGTCCGGGTCGTTGGCTTTCTTGGCCACTAGACGCAGATTAGCACGACGGTGGCGGGGTGATATGGGAGGATTCTCGTCGTACTTTCCCTGACGACCGAGGCCTTTGGGATCATCTTGGCCTTGATCTTCGTTACGAGGTCATCGATTGACGTCATCTCAACGACAAATAGTGCCAGGTAGAATGTCTGTTTTCCAATGCCGTTAGGTCGGGAACTGCTCTCATAGGCGGCGCCTGTAGCTCTACTTACCTTGGTGGTGAGAGCGTATGTGAAATCAATGCTGTTCTCGTAGCTGACCTGTTTGAGGCGCGTGTAGCTCGTAATGTCGACGGGGAGCGTTGTCCCCGGTTTGTTCTTGAGACCTCGCAAATTGGCCTTTACATCCTCCCCATTCACCTTCAGCTCGGATTGGTGGGGAAACTGGACATCCTGAGGGCCTTGTAGCGCTGTCCCGCAGAAAAGCATAAGCCGCCTCGACGGCTCTAGCGGCCAATTCGACAACGAATGACGAAAATCGCCCGACTTAAACGTAATCTTAACCGAATTCCGGTGGCTGTTCATAACTGCAGGCCAACAGTCAGCCCGATCCAATTATCGCTTGACGGGCACTCGAAAGCTAGGGTGCCTTACCATCGCACCGATGAACCTGGCCGATCTGGAACTGGGCCTTGTAGAAGGGAGTTTGCTTGAATAGGGGGTGTTGGTCGTAGTCGTATCCGTTTTCATTCTGATAGGGCGTAGGGGTAGCGGAGATGGTGAAGGATCTACTCGCCTTGTCTCGACTGATCTGGGTCTGAGACTGGCTGGCTGTGCCCGGGGCCGGCGCCATGTTGGAAAAGGGGATATTCTGGCTCGACTGTGGCGGCTGTCCGCCGCGGATGCTTAGGATGGTGTGCCGGAGCGCACCATAACTGTAAGGCTCCGAGTGCTGCTTTTCAGCCAACGCTGGACGCGCACAAGTTAGCTACGAGATTCACGGGCGGGCTTCGAAGAAGACGTAGAGAGGGAGAGGGAGAGAGAGATGGGACTCGACGACGGCAGAGCGGAACACGCGTACCATTCTTGATCCGGTTCTGTAGGTCGGCCTTGACCCCGCTCGTCTTCAACAGGTGGGCGGCGCAGATCTGCTGGAGCTGCTTGTTGAGGAGGGTCGAGAGGATTCGCTCGAGCGATCGGATGTCGGAATTGGAATTCATGGTTCGGGTCTTGCCACCGGCCGGGGAAGTCGCGCGCAATCCGGGCGAGGCCGCTCATGGGGAAGGACCCAACCCGTGCAGACCCGTGCAGGCAGGAACGATACGCACAGGTGCCGACGCGAGAGGAAGGCGCGCTATCGAGATGGCTGACGGTGGTTCCTGCCAGGCGGCCAGGCTGCCGGCGTATGGTTGTGTGTTGGCAGGCGTGATTGCTGGAGGGAGAGAGGCGAGGCAGGCGTGTCCCACGTCGAGACTGCCTGGTATGCTGGCGTGTGACCTGCCCGCCGATTGGGCGAGACGCCGGGCGCCGCCTAGTCGATGAGCGAGCTCGCGCGACGGCGAGCAGCCGTGAGGTCGGCCGGCGACGTAGCTAGGTTCGCTTTGCGTAGCTGGCTAGCTTCGCTGCTGGATAGCCTGGCGTCTGGGAACCGGTGGGTTGGCGGCTGACGGAGGTATCGGGACCGGGAGCCTCTGGAGGGCAGGATCCCCGGGGCTAACGAAGGCTACCGCGGTGTTTCCTGGTGAGAAGAAGAAGAAGGGGAGGGGGTGATAAGTAAAAAGGAGAGGGAAACACGCCTAACAAGTTAGGTCTGAGAGATGCAATGCGGCTGATGGAGAAAAGACGTGCATGAGCTACCTGTGGAGGTATTATATGAAGAGTCGTGATCCCTGGTAGGCTGGCACGCGCAGGCCTCAAAATCCTGGCTAGATTTCACCCGGCCAAAAAAAGAAAAGAGACGACGACACCGCCTGCCTTATAGGGCCAGTATCTTACAGGTACACATGCGGATTATGTAATGCCCGCCTACCATTACAGTTACGTAGGTAGGTACCTACCTACCTGCGTACCTCCTAAGGTAGGTAGAGTGCAAGACCTTAGGTGTCTCATACAGATAAGTTAGGGTACCTGAGGCAGCAGGTGTAGGTACCTTAGGTACCTACCTACGCTGCCGTCTGGTGGTATAACATTTAGGTACCTTATGCGGGATCTACACCACCGAGACTCCGATTTGCCCACAAACCCCCCCGCCCACTGCCTAGGTACCTACCTGGAGCGCAACGTGCTGTACCTCTAAGGGAACCTGCTAACATTTAGAGACGGGGAAAAATCAATTTCCTCATCTCATCCGGCAATTTTTCTAGCAACTATCCCACACTCCCAAATCTCCCTCCGCACAGGCTCCCGTAAGTTCCGTCATCGTCATATGCATCGAGTCTTCTCCCTTTCTCTTTTGCTTTCTCGTTTCCTGTGGTAACTCGCGCGGAAACCTCATCGTCCCGTCTCCCCCGCGCCCAAGCACGAACTTACCTGCCTAATCTCTCTCCATCGCACGCATTGGCCCGACTGCCCCTGGCGAACGGCCCCGGCCTTCTATTCTCTCGCAGGAACTAACCAACCCCGCCTCGGGCAGCCAGCATCCGTCTCCCTCTCGCACGGCAGCCCCCGCCCGACGCCGCAGAGCAAGCCAGCCATGGCGAAGAGCGCGCGCGCGAGCTCGCGCAAGACGAACAACCAGCGCCTCAAGGCCAAGGTCTTCGGCCCCGTCGAGTCCGCCCGCGCCGAGCGCCTCTCGGCGAGGCTGCTCGAGCTCGCCGCCCAGCCGAAGCCCCCGCCGCCGGAAGCGACCCGTGGATTAGGTATCGTCGACGACGGGACCAAGATGGACGAGGATACCCCTGCTGCTGTTGCTACGGCGGCGACGGCAGCGGCAGAAGGCGCCAATGATGACAGTAAGCAAATCACCGCGTCCCGCAGAGTCGCGGGACGCTATGCGGCAGTGCCAGTTCCGCCGGCTGACTCCTTCTCTTCGTCACAGCAGCGATGGATATCGACGGTGCTAAGCCCACGTCGACGAAGCGCGGCAGCGGCAAGAAGCGCGTCGAGAAGCGCCGGAAACGGAGCAGCATTGTCTTCCCCAAGTTTGGCGACAAGAATAAGACTAAGAGGCGCCACTCCAAGAAATAGTGACGGATCATACACGATCCAAAGGAAGATCGGGGCCCGGGGCAATACGGTGTTCGGCGTTTAGTTATATTTGGTGGTTCATCTAGGTCTAATCTTAGTCTTAAAATGATACCCAGCGTGGCGATGCCACGCGCTCCTATTGATCCCCTGCTGTGATCGCTGATGTACTCGTTGCCGCAGCTGGGGTCGCCAGGGCTAAGGTGGTAGCCGGGGCCGGGTCTGAAGGCGCTGTTAAAACTGGTGTCGTTTCCGGGGCCCGCGCCTCCCCCTGTGCGGGGATAGTCGGCGCCGGAGCCGGGGTGGCAACTGATGCGAGCGCCGGTGCTGACGCCGGTGCTGACGTGGGGATTGATGTCGGCGCGGCCACTGGTACGAAGGATGAAGTTAGAGTTGGAGGTGGAGGTAAATCTACTATAGTAGTAGCGGTCGGCGTAGGAGGTGCTAGATCCAAGGATGTAGGCTTTCCCTTTGGTGTCACCGGCACTGTCATTGTTACCGGTGTTGCCGGTGCGGCTCCTATGACCCCCTGGTTCGGCTCTGGAGCAGGCATATCACTTGGGGGATCTTCCGAAGGCTTCGTTTCCGCCTTCGGCGGTCCTGGCGCGCTGGGGTCCAAGAACCGAGCCGGCACCCCTCTCGCTGCATACGAGCCGCTCCCCACCCACGCCTCTATCAGTCGACTCCATTTATACTCACCCCGCTCTACCTTCCGGATCTCCTGGAATGCGTGCGCATTATAATAGGGGAGCCCGGTCTTGGGATCCCGATAGCGCGCTGGGTGGTTAGTGATAACACATCGAGGTGCCGGTGTCGGCTCTGGATTATTATCGGTTAGTGGCCGAATCTAGATGGTTGACTGATGCGGGTGGTGAGTCGGCTTACTAGGGAGCTTTGCCATATCCTTGCCGAACAGAATCTGGTTCTGTACGGCCTTTTCCTTCACCGCATTCTCATTGAAATTCCGGAGGATGATGCAGTTCCGCGTGGCTTTACCATTAGCAGGAGGCGACGGCGGAGGAGGCGGGGACTCCTTAGCCTGCTGCCGCTGGGCATTAACCTTGGTAGGCTTGCTAGCACTCAGAGGGGGCTTTGTTGACGCACGTCGGGGAGTTTGGGTAGGTGTCTCGGCGGACGGCGGTTTTGCTATGGGTTGGATGGAAGGAGGCGGCGGCGACGCAGAGGGGGGAGCGGAAGGGGGAGCGGAAGAGGGGGCAGAAGCTCCTATCTGAGGCATAGATCCTGCCTGGGGCATGGATAGAGGCGATTGCCTCTGCCCAGTATTAGGGGGTGCTAGAACAGCCAAAGGCTTGTTCATGTTAGACATAGTATGATAACCGATCATAGGCATAGAAAGCCCACCCTGAGTAATTCCGGCTGGAGGGGCCAAGAAACTACTCGAGGGCGGTTTCAGCTCTGGAGGCTTCATAAGTGGCGGTTGCGAGGGAAGAGCAAACATGCTTGTAGTATAGCCGACTGTCGTCGGAGGAAGCATGCTCGGCGGTTTCGCCTCTGGGAGCATCGTTTCGGTGGCCTTCCTCTCTTGTGTCTGGGGATTCGGTTGGTTTAAGATCGGCACCTCATGCCGTGGCGCAGCACTCGAAACTGCGCTCGGAATCGAAACCGGAGCGACATTTGGAGCTGCAATTGGAGCCGGAGATGGTGCGGTAAGATGCGTGTCGATTGTCTCTTGGGATGATGATGGTGGTTGTGGCAGCGGCGTCGGCGGTGGTAGAGGAGCTAAGGTGGCCATAGTGTGCGTCATGGGGGCGGACTTCTCACTTTCAGCTGCATCCTTGACAGCCTCAGTCGCAGGTGCAACCCGGTCATCAGACCGATTTCCTCTAGGCCCCTGCGTCCCAGTTGCTGTCGGCGCCAGTGCCGCCGCTGGCTCGTCGTCGGCGGGCTCGCCTACTGCAGATTGCGCGGGCTCTTCGGACACGACCCCCTCTTTGCTGGTAGATTCCCCCGTCATTTCTTGCTCGACGACGGAAGCTCGCTTCTTTCTGACCGGCTTCTCTTCGATCGTGACAATTTTGCCGATGTGCTTCAGCTTGCCATCCACCCACTCCCCGACTCCGCTCCAGAAGGTGATCACGGGACCGTTGAGGGTCCGGTTATTCAAGGCAGCCAATTTGGCCTTTCGTTCCTCTTCCCGTTGCTTCTCAGCCTCCTCCCAGTGATTCAAGCTCTTGGCATTCTTCTTCTCGACGATGGCAGCCTCGGCGAGCCTCTGGGCCTGTGTCATGGGCGGCTTCTTCAGCGCTTCCATCTTCTTAGCCTTCTTTTCCATAGCCTCGACCTGCTTGAGACGTTTGACCTCGCGCTCGATCATTTGTTGGTGCAATTGCTCTTTACTAAGCATGGTGGTTTCTCGCTTCGAGGCGCGCGTTGGCATGTCGGCTGGTGACGGCAGCCAGCTAATCCTTTCCGATTTCTTCTTGGGCCTCGGGTTCGGCTCGGGAGCAATCTTGACCTTCTTGCGGAATTTCATGGGGATGGCCTCTTGAGCTTTTCTCTTCCGCGCAGCCTGCCGGCTTTCGCGCGCCTGTTTCTCCAGCTCCTTTTCGCCATCCAATTCGTCGGCATTTTCTTGCGCGTCCTCGTCGTCAGACGACGAGTCCATATGTACGTCGGAGGCATCATCCCCCGCATCAGTGAAACCGGCATCGTCTTCATCTTCGGCAAAGAGGAGCTCGAGGTCGTCATCGGGTTCTTCGGCAGCAATCATAGACTTCATGCGATTGCCAGCGGTGGATCGTTTGGCTCGCCCCGTCACTAGCCACTCCACTGACGGAGAGGCATCCTCATCGCCTGAGTGGCCATCTTCGCTGCTGCTCAAGTCGGTGTTGCTGGGATCGGGTTCAGCTTGAGTTGTTGTCGCGCGTCGCTCGTCCCTCCGGGTTGCCATCTCTAGTGGACACCTTCAGTTGACAAGCCCGTTCATGTCATTAAATTCGGCACCGATAATAGGTAATGACTGTCGGCATCTCGAGACAGGTGTTGAAGGCTGGATGGTGATGCGCCGGAATGTCAGCGGAAAAAATGCCCATAGGTCATACCAAGGGTGAAAATGGTACGGTTGGCCTTTGTATTCGTCAGACCTAGTCCGAGTCTTATCAGGTTGTAGGGAAAGAAAACAAAATTAAGGTCGGAGTGCCTGTAAGGACGTCATTAGTCTATGCAATTGTCCAAGATTCTATTATGGCAGATCGTATGCTGCATATTTGCTTATCTCAGAACGGGTTAGATATATATATACAAGGTGTGTGTATAGAAGAATCATTGTCCAACGTATATTTTTCACTCGTTATACCTCTATATAAATGTATTCGCGATATATGCATTCATGTTATTGAAGTGGGTATATCTATATAATACACGGTTGACAGTTGACAGTTGATTGCTTTACCTTTAATAGTCCCTGATTATTACCTAGCATCAGTTCAAGTCCCCTGGACAATCTGGCAAAACACGTCCTCTAGAAACTTACATTCAATACACACCCATTTTGTTACTTACCGTTACAGATGTATTAGCATCCGTTTGAATTACAGAAACTCGGCCCGCCAGTAACAAGCCGGAAATCTCTTACTACCACACAATCCAGTTAAAGGCGACGATAGCTTGGCCGTTGAGACATCGCAGGGAATTGACGTTTAGATTGGGCTCTCCTACTTCAGACCTCCAGAACCGTGGCCGACATTTCCGGCGAATGGAGGCAGTCGTGGGGTCCTCGCATTTGTCAACCCAGCCCAGGCGTACGATCAGTACGGTCAGTCTAATGTCAACACGACCACGAACCCCCCGTCGGAATCCCTAACTTGGCAGCCGGGAAAACACGTCGACGACGCCTGCGCCCTGTTATATGCCCCAGCCATAAAGTATAGGCTCCGGCGGCCATCGCACAAAAAAAGGGTGTCTCATTCATCAATTGCCCCAACCCGGTGGCCCCAGTTGCTGACAGCACAATATCAAGGTTAACATGCAGCGGCGGCGAGTCCATACAAGCCCGAGCGGCTACCTCGGCCTTACATGCATTGCATACCCGCATGTCCATGTCGATAACATCATCAGCTCGACACACCCCGTCGAATGAGTAGGGGGGTTCAGAGGGCCGGCCACGCTTCCTCGGCGCCCTCGCGGAGGAAATTGGAATGTGAGAACAGAATTCCCACTGCATGAATCTTGCTGCCCAACTGCATGCAATCCGGATCCAGCAGGTATTACACGCCCCTAGGACCCGTCGGAACGTGTCGGGCCCCATAGTAGACGGCCCTGTTTATCGGGACCCGAGCGAGAGCTGGACAGAGACGAGAAGTCGGTCAGCTTATGGCCCCAGACCGGTGCCCGGACCTACTTACACAAGCTCCCCGACGATAATAGCGTCCTGTTTTATATGCTAGGTGGCAGGTGGGCTCGAGTCGTAAGATATTATCATCCCATACTTCATCATTCTTTCCACCTCCGCAGCTCTCCGTGCCCACTCCCACGTGTAGACATGTCAACCGGGCAGACTGGATAGTACGCCGGACGGGGTAGGGGTTGGGGTTTCGTAATCTGGAGGGGGTCAATCGCCGAAGCTATGTTGACGAAAATGATAGAAGAGTTTTCAAGTACTAAGACAAAGCACGCACACACATGCATATAACATACCCATATAGGAATGAGAGAGAGAGCGAGAGAGAAGAAAGGAAGAAGGTCACCAGTAGAGGAGGTCATCTTCAGATGAGCACATCCACGTACCTACCAAGCAAAGCAACCAACCAAAGGGTGGTCTGCATCAGGCATTTCCGAGGGATGCGATAGGTCAGCCATCCATCGACACGCATACATATATATGCATATGTATCGCGTATGTAAGTCTCGGACGCCGGCTGGGAGCTAAAATGGCTTCGCCGAGGTCTTAAGAGGTAGAGGTAGCGAGGGCCAGCGCGAGCACTGCTACATACCTCGCAGGACCGCAACCTATGCCTACCTCTTGTGTACGATATAGGTAGGTATACACGACATGCCCGTCGTCAGCCAACCATAGCAATACGCCTGCATGTATCCCCTAGACGTGTGAGGGAGTCCGAGTCCTGCTCTAGCGGATGTAGGTAATAGACAGGCAAGTAAGCAGAGTTCGGTGGCTACGGAAGCCGACGAGCAGGATGTTGTAATCTGCACGTATGCGCGCATATGCGGGATTCGCATCGAGAAGGTGATAATGGGAAGAGAGCCCAGGACACCCCTTGACCGCGGCGGGTTGGTCTGGTTGGTAGGTAGGTAGGTAGGCAGGTAGGTAGGTAGGTCGATCGGTCGGCATATCGTCGTCGAAGCATGGCCAAGGCGAAGCAAACATGCAGAACCCCGCCGTCGCTAGGACTAGCCAGGACGGAGATCGTCGAAGCCTGCGCCTGCAGCTGCAGGTGGAGAGGGGGGGGGGGGGGGGGAGGGGAGAGAAGAGGGACGAGGACGAGGCCGGCAAGCTCGCTGGTCTGCCTCGGGAGGGGGGAACAGGATACGGGAAATGGAGAGAGGCAGACGGGCAGAGACAGACATAGAAGCATGTACACACACACACACATGTGTATGGGCACACGCTTACGACACGCACTCGCACGCACATCCGCACGCCATACGTCCCTCGCCTCCCGCACATAACCTGTCTCTCTGCCATCTCCTACGTAGCACCGTAGTAATATGATGTATGTATGTGTCGACGCATGCGCACGCCTAGGTACGCCTACGCCCGCGCGCATAGGCATAACCTACCTACCTACCTACATATCATGCATGTACGAAGGGCCCCTCGCCCCCCTCCCTCCCTCCGCACGGTCGTCCGCCGACCGGCCGCGGACGAAAGAGGCAAGGCGAGAGAGAAGGCGGCGGCGAAGGCGGCGGCGACGGCAGCACGCAGGCGGGCAAGGCAGGCCAGGGCCGCGCCCCCCCTCCCCCTCCCCTAGCCGTAGGGCACGTATGACGGCCGGCAGGGCAGCGTAGAAAGGAGAGAGAGAGATGGGAGGGGGACAAGGAAAAAGGGCAAAAAAAAAAGAGAAAGCGTCGCAGCGCAGCGCAGATCCCGGGAACCTGGTATCACCCTACCTGGCTGCCCGCCTACCACCGAGCCTACCTTGGCCGTCTGCCTCACCTCTGCTGTCCCTCTCTCTCTCTCTCTCTCTCTGCCCGTCCGCCCGTCCATCTGCGTCCCCCAGTTCTCCCCGCGCCCGCGCGCCTCCCTGCCTGCCTGCCTGCCCCCCTGCCGGCTCACCACACACACACACACACACACACACACACACACACGTTCCCGCAACCCACCGCGCCACACGCACCCTGCCCCTCTGTCTGCGCTGCGACCCCCTTTTTCTCTCTCTCGCTTTCTCGCTCTTCCCCGCAGAGTGGCGCGCGCAGCGTACGTGTCAAGGGACGAGCAGGCGCGCGAGAGAGGCGAAAAGCACAGTCCCTCGCTCGCCCACTCGCCCGTGCGCACATCGGGGGGGGGAACCCGTCGGTCGGCCGCGAGAGAAGAAAGGGGCAGGGGGGGGGGGGGGGATTCCCTTGCCTCCCTGCCATGCATGTTACGCGGCATACGACCGGCTGGGCGAACCCGTCTGTCCCCGGAGGCGGGGAGGGTCCTGGTCCTGACCTAGCTAGGAACGGTCGGAATCTGAGACGGTGAGGAGGGGGAGGGGAGGGGGGGGGAAGACGTATACCCCTCCCCCCGTTATATTAATCCGGATGTTGCTGGGTTAGGTAGTTAGAGGATGCACCCATGCTGGCTGAACGGAGGAGTTAGCTACAACCGGATCGGTGAAGGCTAGAAGGCGACGGCGTCGACGGCGTCGGCAACGACGCGGTAGCAAAAACTATGTATGTATCTGCATTCCCATGCGTTTGTGTGCCTTAATGTACGTACTGTAGAGAGGAAAGGGATCTGGGATCCCGCTATAGTGATGATGAAGGCTGATCCGAGTGATTGCGCAATTACTACATCGATCCGTGTGTCCATCCAGCCGTCTTCCATTACTTCGTCCTGTTGGTCGTACAAACAGCGAGTCCCTCTTCCTCTGCGTTCTTCCTCTGTATTCTTGCCCCTCTTCTCCCGTTCGCCGGCTAGGCAACCCCCAATCGTCCATCCGCCTTCTCACCTCGAAACGTCGCGGGTCGGGCACTAGGAGCCTCGAACACGTGTAAGGAAAGTAAACAACAGCGACCAAAATCAAGAATTTCGTGGTATATACCGGGTCCAGGGAAATGCTAATGCCAAGCAGCCGTGAGCGGAGCAGAAGTAACGCCTGTCTCCATCTGGTTCAATCGGCCGTCCAACCTGGCCCGAGAGTTTTCCTTCAAAAAAAAAAAAAACGAGACAAGAGTTGTGTGGATATAAGCAATAAGGCTGAGTGGTGGTGGTGGTGGTAGTGGTGGTAATGATAGAGACTGATAACCCTGAACCCACGTCAAAGGGAACAGGAACAGAGGCCAAGATAAAAGATAAGAACTGCCCGAACCAGTATGCGCCGGTTACTATTCCCATGCCGTTTTTTTTGATAAATGCCAGAAAAAACACCCACTCCTGCTCTATCTATATGCCGCACTGTTTTTTTCTCACGAGGGAGGCATTTCGCCTAACTCTCAGATTACTGCTGAAGAAAGGAGACTAAGGAGAAGAAAATGGAAACAACGAGAATACCGAAGCGGGTGATCCGTAGTGCCCCACAAATGCCGGTGAATCCGGAATACCCGGGTGTCTGGAGTACAGGTTGAGTCGGGTTACCGGTTCCCGACCCCCCCCCGGTTGCCCAGCTCCCTTAGTGACGCCGAAGGCAGGTCTGGACGTGCAGTGCCCCAGAACAGCAGGCACCCTTATTGTCACAACAGAGACACCGGGAGTGGAGGGAAAGAAGGGCCGTAGAGCCAATAACTTGAGCCGAGTCGGGTGCCATGGCGATTGCGCGATTGGCTACAGCTGCTGAGCTTGAGGCCGTGGGGAGAGAGTTGCATCGTTATCTCCCTCCCTTGCGGTCTGGTGGGAGACACCCCGCACCTCTTCGATGTAACTGAGCCATAGAGGGCCGCGACGTAAATAATGCACGTAGTAAAGCCTGGAAATCGACCGGAGACCCCCACACCGTCATGCACCGATCTGAGCTGTTGAACGTGGCAGAGTCGGTCGATAGTGCGCGAAACTCTCCGAATCTCACGTCAGCACTGTAGTAACCCAGGCAGTGCCCCTTTCCGGATTCGTCGCTCAGCGACCAACTATCGGCGTAACTAGCTCGATGCTCTTGGGTCTCGAGTAAGCGCCTGGTCGTCGCGCAGGCAAGGGACGATCCGAGGTCGTACCCCCACCTTGGCCGTATTTGTATCCTGTAACGATATATCCGTTGTCGTACGTTGACGGGTAAAAGCTCGGCGACGTCTTCGTGTACGAAGTGCTAGGGCTGGCGAGGGCGCTTCGGGCGAACGACCACATCGCACTGCCGGCCATGGGCGACGTCGGGCTCACCGGCCGGATGCTAAGCGACCGCAGGGCCGAGACCGCGCTCGTATATTGACCGTTCGTGTATTGGCCGCCCGTGTGTTGACCGCTCGCTGGCGTTGTGGGGGGCGACCAACGGGATGGCGATGCACGCGGGATGATATCTCGGGGCTCTTCGCTCCCAGCGGGGTAAACAAGTGTGCTTCCGCCGAAGCTGTCATGCCCCCGTGCCGACGCGTGTGATGACGAGGCTCTAACACTGACATTCTGGTCACGTTCGCGGCATCTAGCCTGCACGTTAGCGGCAACGGCGATCTATTGGCCGAGATTGAGGACAGCTTACGCCTCAGAGCAATATAAAAACTTTTCATCCTGCGGGGTGAATTGTTTTTCGCAAGTCATGCTGTGAAATACGTGATCGGTCAGAAGGTGATGTCAACCCGGGTGGGATGCAGGAACAATAGAACTGGTTACACCAGACACCCTGGAGGCTGCTGATCACCCGCATGGCACGAACAAGAGGTGATGGTGACGCAACGGACACGAGCATCTTGGACAGGCATGAGGCTTGCGTAGAAGAGACGGGGGGGAGAGAGTTGCCGATCCCCCCCTCCTCCCCCCCCCTCCTCTGCCTACCCTCCCGCCTCTCCTAGGCGCATTGTGACGTTTGAAAAGACATCGAGAGATAGCGAAGGCTCGCCACTAAGGGTCTTGAGGGGCCCAGGGGGTAGGCTCTTATACGCAAAGAAAGCATACGTACCAAAACTGCGGGAAACTCTCCCGCTCGTCCTCAACCCAACGCTCCTCCTCCCATTCCCTCTCGCGGTCCCTGGGATTCTTGCCCAGCTTTTGGGCCGTTTGCGGGGTGGACTTCCTGACAAGGGTCTGGGGCCGTCTGGACTTGGTGAGGTCCGAAGTGGTCATAACCTTGCGGACGTCGGTGGTTGAGCTATTCGTCGAGCCATGGCCGGATTTACGACGATTGTGATGCATTGGGACTGGATGTGATCGGCCTTGGCGGTGAGTCTTTATAAGGCCAGAGCCCGCTGGCCGAAGAATGCAGCAGATGAGGCCTCACGCTGTCGTATTGAGTCTCCGAGTAGTGATCCGTCGCCCCGATATATCGAGGAGCTGCGACGAGAGACCGTCTACGCGGGCAGGTTTCGCACGTTGGGGAAGAGGCCCTGGAGATGACGTGGGACCCTCGGAAGACTCGAGGGGTTGTCTCGCAGTGCTTTCGGGATGGCGATAAGCCGGAATTGGCGATCGGGGGTGCAATTGGGAAGTTGGACTGTATTCGTCTGGACCCGAGTTCGTTCCTCGAATTGGCCGGGTCTAGTGGGCGAGACAGTAGTGCAGGGGAGCGAGAGCGAGAGAGTGTGAGAGAGAGACAGGGAGAGAGGGCAATTGGTAGTTATAACAGGCCAGCGGACAAAAGCCAAAGGATAGCAGGGACGGGTCTTTGAGTAACTGATTGCGTGCTCAGCCGGGAAATGCAGTCAAACGCAGATGACGGCATTGACGGGCGAATTGTGGTTCGGTAACGTTTTGCAATGGCCTCCGGCAGCCCTTATTAGCTTCCAGGTCTAAAAGCTGATGGTGGTAAAGATCGAGATGGTTATGTACCGATACCGGTGCCGTCTCCTGTGACGTGTTGGCGATGCGGGCGGGCGACCGTGGTACGCGGAGGGCAGCAGAGATTGGGGGGGTGTAACAGGTACCGGGGTGTCTGAGCCAGCCTAGGCAGAGCAAGAGGCGCCGGCGTTATCTCCCTCGGACTTCTCGGCCAGTTCCAATCTCTTGGGTAATGGAATCCGCGAGGAAACAGGAAGCCAGCCGGCGTTGTTGCGGGTAACAAGGATGCGAGGACGGCTTATACACCGATATATACGGTATATATATAGGCAACAACAGAGATAGTTATATATAGATGCGGGTGTGTGGTGGCCGTATGGGTAGTGCGTAGGTAGAGAGATAGAGAGATAGATAGAGAGATAGAGAGATAGATAGAGAGATAGAGAGAGGGAGGTTCGAGATTCGCCCGCGCTGGCAGAGGCGGGCAGGCAACGATGCGAGCAGAGATAACAACAGGATCGCGCAGATCGACGACGGCGAGGAGGATCAACAAGCTTGGAGGGGGGTAGTTGAGTTGAGCTGAGCTTTTCGAGGGGAGGGAGAGACGGACAGGACGAGGAAGTCGGGTAGATGATATATTCAGGTACCCTGCAAAGCGTTGGCTGGTACCTTATCTGGGGTACCGAACCCTCGCTCGTTTTTTCTTCTCGTCTGGCTTGTGCTTTTCCCTTCTGGCTTGGCCTACATTAACCCTGCGTGGGAGTACTGGACGGCGCTGATATCACTGTAACCTAGCCCTAGCTCTACAGGGCAGGGTCAGGTACCTCCTCTCCGGCCTGACCCAGGGGTGCCCAGGGTACATGTGGAGGGCTGTATTGGACGACGGTACGGGCCAGATGACGACTTAGCACCGGACAGACGTTGGCTCGGTGGGAGCTAAGGCCGCTGTGCCTACTCATATGCACGATAATTAGGTAGGCACAGGTAGGTTAGGTAGGAGGTAGGTAATCAACTATGACTCCTTAGCAGAATTTTTTATTTCTTATTTTCACTCTCTTTGTCTCGATTTTCTGGCCTGATGTTTATTTTTAACCCAGTCCCCCTTCTTGCCTTCTAAGTGGTGGTTGCCTGTGTGTGCCTTTGCGGACTACTGATCTAGCGAGCAGCGTCTCTCACCACGCCGAAAGCGGCGCTGGGCGCCCGTGGGCTTGGGGAGCACCCTATAACGACCGTGCCATGACCACATTGTCTCAACCGTGATTTACGACTGACCTGTGGTGTGTGGCGCCTTAGCTCTGTTGCTTGGAGCCAGGTGAATGAATGGAAGAGAACTTGCCCAATATGGGGATGCGTAGTACCAGGGAAAAGGGGGGGATTTTTCGATGGAACCAGGGGGAAAATAAGAAAAGGAAGAAAAAATTTTCTCCCCATCTCCTCCGCTCTTTCGTTCCATTTTCTTCTTTTCTGTTTCTTTCCATCCCGTTCGTGATATTCTCCTTATTCACCCTCGATTGCGTTATGCTTTAGTGTTGATGCGATTTGTAGGCTAATCTTAGTAGTACTAAGGGAGGTAGGCAGGTACCTATGAGCAGATAAGGTACTTGTCGATCCCGCGTCTCCCTCTGACTTCTCGCTCTCTTCATCATACCTTAGGTACCTTACCCTCTCTACCTACCTCTACCTACATAATAATACTGCATGTAGGCACATGCAACGATATCAAGTCCAAACGGCAACACTGGATATAGCCCAGACCTGTCCCATGTACACCCCTATACATACATACACGATGTAGATGGCCTCCTCGCCTTAGTAAGTTCCCGTACCACAACGCAACGGTCAAGCTCGCCATAAAAGCCACTCGCCATGCAATGGAACGCGCAGCGGCTGCATGGATGGTGATGTAGGTGGTATGGATCACTTGGCGTTGAACGAGTTCTATGCCAGTTCTATGCCCCACGTCCTGCCTTCGAGTGCTCATATACCTACCTCTCTTTACATGTTAGGAGAGAATAGGTGGTACCTACATTTACCTACATACACACAACTACCTACCTACCTACCTACGGACATGCGTACCTACATACATACATACATACATACCCTGCGTGCTTCCAATACACACCTCCTAGGCGCCATGCACCCTGAGAACAACCTTGAGAGCAGATAGGCAGACGCACACCGAAGAGGCTTGCGGGCAGGTTCCTAAGGAGGTGTGTTGGACTGATACATAAAGAGGCACCTAGATATGTGTGAGGAGGTAAGGCATACAATTGGACCGACGAGAACCATCGGGGAGGCGAAAGCAAATGACAGGGGGTTGGTTGTCCTGACTCGGGATTCCCACCCTGGACTCCTGTTGTATGTAAGTTGCTGTACACACTCGTCTATACGTACATATCTATCTATCCGGGTATCTCCTAGGTCCCTGGACCTCCACCTGACCGGTCGTTGCAGTGAGGCACGTACGTCGTGCGTATACCTGATGCGTACGTATAGAGGTAGAAGAGGAGGTATGCGAGCAACGTAAAGCTCCGCCGTGGTTCGCGGGAGGAATTGCTACACGCTGAGGTTACCTGCGCACGAAATTGCGTACTGCATTGCGTGTAGGACGACCGTATATCACCCTAGCGGCCTTTCCGCCTGGCACCGGGGCCGGCACTATACGCGTAGCAGAGCAGCAATCCTGACGGAGGCTTCGCGGACGTTCGTATCTCTCGCGGGGCGCATTAGCCTGGCGCTAGGAAGCAGGCCGTAGCTGGCTCCGCCCCGACGTGGGCGATAGGGAAAAAGATCCATATCTTTCACCATCGCTACCCGGATTCCGCGGGCCCATTTCTTCTTCATCCCTCCAGGTCGCGTACCCGCCCATCCAGGTTGAATATCTCAATACTCATAGGTGTAGGTATACATGCATAGGCGTGGAAGAGACATCAGGTGTTTTTCTTGGCCGAGCTGGTCACATATGCTAAGTATGAGAGGTAGGTAGGTAGTTATTCGTCCGCGATTCTGCGATGCGGTCAGCAGGACGAGGACCAGACAGGGCTGCCGTATGCATATACTCAGATACATGCGTGCGTAGAGGTAGAGAGACGGAAGACCGTGGAAAGAAGGCCAACCCGAAGGAATATTGTGCGTATGTATGTAAGGTAGGCGTGTATGCGAGTAGGTACATAATGCAATACGTGCGCGACGTACCCTCCGGTTCAACGAGAACGGGCGATCCATATGGTGCCGTCTTTAGGTAGGTACCGCATACCTCGCAGACGTCGATGCTGGGCGGGTTTGGGGAGGCGATGGTAAGTAACGGTGACTTGCACCGCGGGTTATAAATCCGTGCACGGGTTGCCGGACCCGTCAATTGGCCGGTCGCCGTGCATAAAGCACCTCCAGCTGCGTACCTGTGTCCATGGCCGGCAGACGGCGCTCCCACATGGAATGCCGCCTGCATCTCGTACGCACATACCTAGATTAGGTGCCTCGGGAGGCAGTTGGTTGTCCTATAGCCAAGATGCCCACGCACGCTGAGATTTGTTACGCTCTGGTGGAGAGGATGGGTTATGGGTATGGGAGGCATGTACGGACATGCACATGTATATCCATGTGTTGGGTGCATAGAGTAGACGCTGTCCTAGCTGCGGCCATGCTCCTAGTACCAGATCTAGGTCTTCTCCGCCCCCCTGAAGAAAAAAAAAAAAGTGACGACGCTGTTTCGAAATCAGCTCACCTCATCCATCGTCTCGAGCACGTTTTGACAATCTCGACTTCTCCCATCGGTGCATAGATCTGCACGTGTTTCGGTTCGTCGATCTCGAGAGACGGCCGCCGCACGTTGTCCCGAAACTCCACGAAATTGGCTTTTCTTAGTGTGGCGATGCCTACCTATTGTGCGCAAATAGCATCGTCCTTTTTTTCTTAGGTTCCTTCTTTTCTCGTCGCACACTCCGCTTCTCTCCTAGGTCTAGACATTCGGGCGAGCCTCTTCCTCTGCATTCTCAGCTGGAATGTGGACACTAAAAATCCGAATGGGTGTACGGGTGTGGGTAGGCGAAGTTGCTCTCCTCTGGCACGTTGGGATGGAGTCGGTACCTCAGGGCACCCATCCAGCTCTGCATCCATCAACCCTACGTCAACCTATCCGTACAGTGCGCATGCAAGGGTTGGGGCCCTGTTCCGCCGCTGCGGTATTGCCTACCTGTAGGTAGGTGTACCTAGGCCAGGTAGGTACCAGGTAATTAGACGTACAGCGCGGAGGCACAATAAGTGCAGACAGACCTGTCGTTAGTGGGACCGCCCCGTCACTGAGGGGCCACTGACTTAGGTAGCCTCGTGGATCTGTTAGGCAGGATAACCGGGTACCTAAGGCTGCGAAGGCACCAACGACGTCTAAGACGACTAGGTGCACTACCTACCTCCTCCTACCTCCTAAGGTACATGCCTGATGCTCCCGTCTGCATACCTACCTAGGTACCTCCCACCCACCATCAAACCCGCCAATACCATGGCTACGTGCCCACCACGTAGACATAGGACAGGCTGCGCATCCAGGACCCAATGTTCCCTATTCCCGTGGGATAGGCTTAGGTAAAGTCGCCAAACCTGCTACCGCCTCTCGGCCTCGCGGCATGCGATCAGTCAGCATCTCTCTCCCTCTCTCATCCAACACACACACGCACACACACACACACATACACATCCTTGGTATGCATGTAGCTGAAAACTTCCTGCGACAGCTTCGCTCGACAACGCGCCGCGCCACCGTACTAGAAAGCCACCACCATCAGATGGATTCCTCCTGCTCGCTTACCGTTGCAGTGGTTCATTTGCCCGCGCTATCTACGGCCTGCACGTATTATCATGTCTCGAGAGTTTGTCCGACCTCGCATCCCTACTCCTCCGGCCTCCCCCCCCCTCCCTTTTCCTCCCTTGGTCGCCTCGCACATGACTGCCGATCGAGCACTAGAGATTCTCAGAGATGCGAGGCCAAAGAGGCGCCGCCGACGTGCCAATTGACTAGTTCCCGCCTTCGGCTATCTGCGATGATAGTTGACCAATCTCGCTTGCCAGACGCCTCCAAGCTCCTCGATCGCCCCGAGCCCTTGTCTCGCCTCCAGCTCGGTCCCCTCCAAGCTCGGCCGGACGGGGTTACTATACTACGGTGGTACGGTTGGTGTTGCGAGGGCTCATTGCCTGTTTCGTCTGCCATTGCAGGCTGCCTCTCGACCCGTGCAACTCGTGGGGAAGCTCGGGTTTCGCGTCGTATTTACATTTGGGCGGAGAGGCGACGCAGTGTAGCCCTCCGAGCTGCGTGTGCTACGTGTGATGTGTGTGATGCGTGCGCACGCGTGGTGTGCTTCATCCGCAGGTGACGAGACCAGTCGATGTTGAGGTAGAAGGCAGGCCGAAGGTAAGTATCGCCGCGAGCGAGCGAGTAGCAGACCGTCGCTCCAACGACTGACATGGGCCGGCCCGCATCGAACGTGCTGCGCCCTGAGTCTGAGTCTGCATTCCTCCCAGGTCGGTATCGTTACATCATCATCCAGTGCAACGACGTCTGCAAGGGAGCTCCAGAAAGTACTGGCTCCTGGGTCGCGCGAGCCTGACCGGCCCAGGGCAAGCTGCTCAAGGCCCTTTGCGACTTGCCGCAAGTCCGCTCTCTCTCCTCAATATGGATTCATCTGATTTATATTGGCCTCCCATCTGCCGGATTGCCCAGTTTGGGTCCTGCTAGGCCTTCGTCTAGGGTGAACCGTTATCACCCCACGTTGGGGTATCGCGTCGTGATAGGCTGCCTGGTCCAGGGTTCTCTTCACGATGATAAGTCCGTTCCGTGTTTGTCGATATTGCCCTGTATGTATGTGGTTGATGCGGAGATTCCGGACACTGTCGAGATGCTCATACCCTCGTCGACGGCGTTTTTCTATTGGGCGATTGCAATTCTGTAACCGCCATATGCCATCCTTCCTCCCCTTCCTCCCAGCGTACCCCGACATAGGCGTTGCGATTTCCTTGGGTGCATAGTATGGCGAGATAATCGTCGTTGGTCACCAGGACCGAGCCTGAGGGATGGCAAATCTCGGACGGGGTCACATCCCTATCCGGCACAGTAATGGGCATAGTTACCCCCGCGACGATAACCATTGTACGAGTATTGCATAGGGCTTATTTCAGACGAATTCCTTCCAACGGCCGTGCGTGGTGGCCACTGGCGCATCAGACCAGTATGGATTCGGCGGGCTTCGGCGACTCCAAGCTCGGAGTGGAGTCCAGTCGGTCAAAATGATCATCTCAAGAGCTCGTCGATGGAGACGTTGGAAAATTTTCTATCCATACAAGACAACACAACAACATATCGGCAACGACCCAAGGGCTCACGAATCTCTCACACAGTCTGCCTGCATGTACCGGGCAGTCAGGCCAGCGATAAGAATTTTTCTTTCCTGCAATAGCATGCATCTTCATATCGCTATGCCCCATCTCGTCTCTGCCATCCATCCTCCCAGATTCCTGCAGGTACCCTAGACGTGGACACCTATCCGGCGATATCAGGTCGAAGCATCCATACCTTATTACCTCAACAGACCAATCAGCAGAGGCAACCGAGCCTTCACAAGTCGGGCCAGGCCAAGATAGACTCCCATGTTCTGCTTCTGGGTTGGCCTGGCCTCCGCTCGCGCGTTGGCTATCTCTCCGAGAGGTAGATATCTATCAACTATCAACAACAGCTAGGCCGAAAACAGCTTCTCTTGGTGGGCAAAATGTCTCCGTGTTATACACGGAGCCCTGGGACCACCTCAGCGGCATCGGAGCCGATTCATCGTATCACGGTTCTCGCTCGTCCGTTACACGACAAGCTGCTGCTGCGGTGCGCCGCGAGGCTCTTGCGGCACGAGCATGGGCCCGTCGTTGGAACGCAAACTGCAGGTATTCCCATGCGATCTACCTAACAACACGTCCCCTTGCCTGCTTTTGCTGCTTACTTTCCTATTGCAGTCGTGCGAGGCAGATGATTCGGTCAGCACGAGAGAAAATAAAGTAAAAACAGCGAATCTGACGCCTCCCAGGGGCTTTGGCACGTAAGCAGAACGTGACTCGGGATAGCGTGCACGGCTTACTACTTGCCCTTCTTCCTAGGAGGGCTTCGCCTTGCCAGTTTGAGCCTCAGATTCCCAACACGGGTCTGTGTTTTTTGTCTCCTTTTCTCGCGGGCAGGGCGGAACCATGATCGGGTTACCAATCGGAGATTTCATCCGTCTTCTCTTTCGTTGACAGCCACAGCCACAGACACAGACACACAAGCACAAGCAAGCACTGCCATATTGTAGGTATGTAGCATGCGTCTGCCTGTCTGCGTCTTACTTAGGTAATGTTTTTATAAGCGAAAGTCGACGATTTCCCCATTAGACGCCTCATCCTGCTAGGGGCCGGGGGCATCGCGATGACCTCATCTAGGGCACGACTGACGAATGCGTAGGCATCCATACTGTTATTATTTTCATAAACGCGCGGGTCGTGTCAGTTTCGTTAGCTGGGATCGTCTATAATTCCGTGCCAACAGTTTTTACACGCCACCAGAGCCACTATTGACGAATAGGACACCCGAGCGTCGCGAAATTGTGCGAGAACGGGTGGGAATTTCGCCAAACTCCCAAAACAAAGCCGTCCAAGCGGGCGAGCGACGGCTTATTGGCTCGACTATAAGTAAGAAGCTGAGCAGAGCATAGTGAGCATGGGGTTATACGATGCATACCAACATGTCACGATTAAGGATGTGTATCTCGACATCGCCCCGGAAATCCAGGTGCGAAAAGGCTTCGACGGAGGAATACCAATCATAGCCACCATACTCATTACGTACACCCTCCTCCTCCCCTTCGGTCTTTGCAACTGGGTCATGAGCCTAGTCTTGGCTCTGTCCTCCCTTTCAGCCCAAGTTTAGCGGTCTATCGTGGAAGAGAAACCTGCTCTTCACCGCCACAAGAGAGGGGGAGAAGAACCCCCCCGATCTATTCCTAAAACGACGGAGTGGCCCCCCTTCTCTGAACACGCAAGTGGCCAAAGGGCACTACCCTCCGCCTCGTGCTACGAGATGGGACGACCCCAACCGAGGGTCTGGACCGCCAAAGGAACCAAACAGCATTGACGTTGCCGAAGCTGGCCTGCCTACCTTGTTTCTTACGGATTATCTGTATCTCTCTCTCTCAAACAGGGGGCCCGGCCAAGTCGACCGACTGGTTTTCGCCCTGGCCGCTCGCCAGGGGATGCTTGTCGGGAGCATTCGCCCCATCCAACCACTGCGGCAACCCCCAGATTCTCCCCCAGTCCCGATGACTCCGGCGTTCCCGCACGGATGCGCGCGCTCGACCCGGATAGCACGGATCCGCCAAGTAACTCCCTATCCGATGTACGTACACCTATGCAGGTACTCACACACATCCTCGGCTTACCTATACACACGCAACGCGTACATATGGCCCACGGCATCCCCGCGATATCCCCGCGCTCGTACACGTGGATACGAAGCGCCGCTCAGATAGCAGCAATCGTGCCACGCAGGCTATTGTGCTACGTGCCGCTCTTCGACTACTTGAAAGGAGGCACGGTATATCCCGAACGTAGAGGTATGTGGGTAGGTACATCGTGCGAACAACTAGTACCATAACGATGGCACTGCTTGCTTTTCTGCTTGTCTGCTTGCTAAAGCTGCCCCTGCTCGGCTCGGCATCTCGATGAGACCTGGTGCAGCATAAGGGGGGGGAGGAACGTGTACATATGTGCGTATATGCTACGTGCTATGTTATGTAAGTGGTTACGGAGGGTCCGCGATATTGCGCCCTTCCGGTGTGCCGTGCGATGTGCTGTGCGATGCACCACCCCAACAGCGCCCTCGGGCCTGTGTACCATCGCATACCGTTGTTTTCGCGCAGGAAAGGGTTTCTTGGTCACCCCGTGGCGAGAGCTCGGCGTGCCCTCGGTATTGACTGCGTAAATCAGCACCCTGCGCAGGGGACGGAAGGGAGGGGAGGAGGAGGAGGAGGAGGAAACAGATATTGACGAACGACGGGCGGGTAGGAAGACGATGGGCGCAACCAGAAACCCCTACGGAAGGCAAGGGCCGTTGTTATGGCCGGCGAGCGAATACGCAGCCGGGCGTAACACGGCTTCTCTCCCTTCTCGTAACCACTCGCCAGGTACGAGCTGTATGGAAAATTTCGAAGCCCCCCTCTCCCTCCTATCCAACGGCGCGGTTAGCCAGTTTCATGGCCCGCCGGCCGCCTACCCCCCCCCCCCCCCCCCCTTATTCCGTCTTGCCCGGGCCCCGAGAGATTCTGGGCACCTAGGTCTAGATCTGTTCAGTACGCACGCCGGCCCGAGTGCCGGTTGACATTCGTATCCGACTCTTAGCCCTCTCTCTCGGAGGGTCGTTTTCTATCTTCTCCCCGTGCCGCTCTTCCGAGGGCGCTAGAAGGAATGTGTATGTGCATATACCTGCTGGGAACGCGGAAAGGGGGATTGGAGTGGCTGCTGCACGATGACACCGAGTTTGCGGTATTGGGTGCTGTACGAAACTTGCAGATACCAGAAACTGCCCAGTCTGCCGTCAGGACCCCGAAGGATTTACCGGGGCGTTCATCGCCCGAGAGTCACACTGCACGAGATGGATCAATCATCTCGTCTATCCCCGACATCAGAGCAGCCATGCCGACTCCGTCGCCGATCCAGCCACCGCGCCACAGGGTTGTAGGCCGCTAAGGGCCCCAGGGAGGGATTGCATATGACTGCCGCTATCTGTTCCGTCCCGGTTCGATTCGCTGTGCGCAAGCGTGTACATACATGGCGCAGTGTCCAGCACGGGATGGTCCCCTTCTCGTACGTTCTCACCTCGTACAAACCCTACTTATCTATCTATCTGGGCCGTATCGAGCAGTGTCGGAAGGAGAGCCAGGGGGGTGACGGGGCGGCTTCTGCTCCTCTTAGCCGACCGACCGGTCGCGCGAGACCGCAACGCAATCTACTGATAACTCTGCTGCTACCTACGACACCGCCGTCCCAGAGCACCGGGTCGTGTGGAACTCGGTGGGCGAGCGAGTCAGCCCAGGCGATGGTGGACTGACCGACTGAATGGCTGGCGGGCCTGCGATAAGACCACAATCCGTCCCCCCCCTACCTATATAGATATCAGCCCGTCCCGGCGGCGCATCCGCATGCGCATAAAAACAGACACGTAGGCGACTGCACGGCACGACGCCATCTTCAGGTCCGGCCTGGTTGGCCATCCAGCCTGGCCGTCCTCTCGATGAGCCGTCGTACGTACGACCCCCGCCCCCCCTACGAATCGCTACAGTGTAAGACGTCGCTCGCATCTCGTGCCTCCCCCTCTATCCTCTATTATCTTGCCGCGTAATCTTAAGCAGGCAGGCAGGGCGGGGCGGGGCCTGTTTCTAATAAACCGAGCCGGCCGATCCGAGGAGCCCCCAAAAGGCTTCCCCGGTGAGGCGTGGCGCAGGGCCCGGGCTCGGGACGCGGTGCATGCGTGCTCTCTCGCTGGCCCTGCGTGCGCACATCTTGCATGAGCGCAGAGATAAGAGATATATGTCATGCCGCCGCGGGCGGAAAGCTTCGAGGTGTTTGGTGCAGGTAGTCCTGCGCGTGCGCTGCCCAACGAGGAGAAGTGAGGGGAGAAGGGAGTAGAGAGAGGGAGAGAGGACGGGGAGAAGGAGAGAGAGAGAGAAATAGAGGAGGCAGGGAAGAGAAGGGGGGAACTTGAGACGCCTTCGTTCAAAGTTGTGTAATTTTGTAAATACGGCAAGGGTCCGTACGTAAGTATACGAAAGGCAAAAGCCAACCTGGAGTCTTTCTCTCCCTTGCCTCGTCTCTCCGCTCGCGTGAAGTGTTGTCGTCGAACCTCTTGATCAACCTAGTTCAGGACTCGGCGGCCTTAGATCTGCTGCGTGGTTTCCTCTACCCCTATATACACAGATGTCCCTATGCCGCGAGAAGCGCCGCGCTGGATGCTAGGTGAGAAAAAAAAGTGAAGAAAAAACATAACAGACAACCTGTGCAGCAATGTCTTGCGAAATAACGCTGTCGCGAACGCGCCGACGATCTCCTCAGCCCGGTTTAGCCCAGCCCCTAGGGGGCTAGCCTAGAACAATGGCGGTCCCACCCATCCCAAGTCCTCTCCGCCTACTACGCCCTCCGATTGCCTCCCTGTCTACGGGGCCCGCTTATCTCGATTACTCCGGGCGAGCCGTCGATGCGACGCCAAGTCCCTATTTTCAACCTCCTGATGTGCGTGCGGGTGGGTTGCCAAACCGGCGCGTCGGGCGGCCGCTGGGGCTTGATCCCGCTGGGGCCCTCCTGCGACGACAGCCAGCGGGCGAAACAGGCCCGCAGCTCCCCCATCGCATCCTTGGCCGACTTCTTGCTGAAGATCCTGCGGATCTCCTCGTCGCTCTCGGTCGGGTGCGCCGGGACGTCGCCGTGGCCGTTGTCGCTCGCCTCCCCCTTCTCCTCCTCCTGTAGATCCGGGCCCGGCCCAGCCTGCTCCTGCTCCTGCCCCGGGTCGCCGCCACCGTCACTACTTGCCGCGGCCGCCGCGGCGTCGTTCGTCCGGAGGATGGCCTCCATGTCGAGCCGGAAGTCGCCGTCGTAGGTCGGCGCGACGAGCGAGAACTCGGGCGCCGCCACCAGCGCCGAGAGGCAGCTCCGGCTGTGGGCCCGGAGGGCGGCGCGGATCGCGCGCCCGAAGGCCCGCGCCCGCTCCTCGGGGGGGCTCGCGAGCTGCTGCCCTTCTTCTTCGCGGATGGCGAGGCCGCGCCACACGTGCCACATGGTGCGGAAGGCGCCCAGCTGCGCGAGGCAGGCGACGTACGGCGCGAGGGCCGGGCCGCCGCCAGCCGCCGCGATGAAGTCGCCGAGCGACGGCTGCGGGGCGCTCTCGCCGACCAGCTGGCCGGTGAGCAGGCCGTATAGCGCGAGGAGCTGGGAGGCGGCGTCCGGAGGGGCCTGGGGGCCGGCGGCGCCGCCGCGGCGCCGGAGCTGGGCCACCGAGGCCTGCAGGGTCTGGAGGGCGCGGAGCGCCTCGTCGTACCCGAGCTGGCCGCCGGCCTCGGCGAGCATCCTGAAGTGCATCTGCGTGGCGCTGAAGGCGCGGCACGCCAGCGAGGCGTCGTGAGCGACCCACAGGATCGGCAGCGGCGCGGCCAGCCCGCGCGAGCGCAGGTTCAGCACCACGTTGTTGAGGAAGGCGAGCGTGTCCTCGGCGGGCGCCGCGGCGGTTTGGGCCGTGTCCCGGCACGCCTGCCCCAGCGCCGCGGCGCAGCTCGAGACGAGCCGGCAGCCTGCCGCGGTCTGCATGACGTCCGCGACGAGCCTCTCTAGCTCGACGAACCGGTCGCACTTGCCGAGCGCGCGCCGCAGCGGCTCCTCGTCGCCCGGGCCGGGCTCGTCCCGCTGCAGCTGCCGGGTGAGCCGCTGTCGGCGCAGCAAGTACGCGATCGTCTTGGACGGCGTGTACCACGCCCAGTCGGGCACGCCGTTGCGCTCGAAGAGGTCACGGGCCTCGTGGCGGGCACCGCTGTCGCCGAGGAGAGACGGATCCTTTTCGTCTCCTCCCACTTCCTGCCGTCCTGCCTTCTCTCCTGCCCCCACTTCACTCGCCTCCCCTCCTCCCTCGACTTTCGGCCCCTCGGGCGCCGCGGGCGCCTCGTCGGCAAGCGCGGCGGCGAGCGCGGCGGCGAGCACGTCGCGGTCGGTGACCCGCCAGGCATGGAAGAGACCGGCGCCCAGGGTGGCGGCGAAGGCGGCCTGGCGGGCGCTGTGGTCACGCTCGAAAGCGGCGACGCGGGCGCGGACGAGCTTCTGGGCGCGGGCGCGCGCGCGGACGCCGCTGTCCGGGAGGCCGTCGAGGCTCTCCTGGTAGGGCCGCACGTAGGGGCAGTCCTCGGCGTCGAGGTCGAGCAGCAGCCTCGAGGCCTCGAAGATGCGGTGGCTCGCCCGCGCCGGCCGCGCCGGACCCTTCCGCCGGTGCAGGGCCCGGACGTGGCCGTGCTGGAAGCGTGTCTGCGGAGACGGCGACGGCGACGGCGGCGGTGCTCGCCAGGGGAGCAGCACCCGCTGGCTGCCGAATCGCTGCATGTCGACGGAATGGTGTGCGGCCCGAGTACTGAAGCAGGTATTGGGTACCAGATGGGGAGGGCTCACATCTTGGGCTTCAATCACGTCTCGCAAGTCGGCAGGCAGCAGGCCACGCACAGAGGTAGGTATAACCAGCAGGCAAATGGGTAAGCAGGCGGGTATATTATATTGTGTGGTGTTTTGGAGATGGTGCGAATACGCCCAGTTATGTAGGTAGGTATAGAGAGAACGCAGGTAATTGAACGGCTTCTCTACATGATGCACTGCCACCTACGCATCATGCAAGAGCCTCTCGGCGCTGCGTCGCGAGACCAGCTCGATAGAGACGCTGGCACGAGGGGAGGAGGGGAGGGCGGAGGGATGAGCGCCTGATGGGGGTGCCTTCTGGGCTGCTGCTCCTGGAAATTCCCCTAGCTAATTATGCCCGTCTAGGCTTGGGCTTGCCGTTAGTGACAGCTTCCCCGGATTTCTGGGGTAAAGGGGAAAATGGCGCTAGACAGACGGGCTTTAGTGGGTTAAATACCTTGGAAATGACCGTTACAGTATGTAGTTAAGCATGTATGAGTATATAGCGGATGCCCTGCCAATTGAATATGACTCTATGCGGGAGCGCTGACATAACCCGCTAGGAAAACAGAGTGTCTCGGAATTTTGGTGTCCCGTGCTCCGTGGGGGAGGTACCTAAAAACACTACCTGCGTTAGATTAGGCCCGCCCGGCCAATTCCATCTCTCACGAAACCACCCATCGCCATCACCGACACGCACCATCAACACCACTCATCTCCTTCGCAAGAACCTCGCAGCAAACCCGCTCCGTCTCCTCTATCCACAAATCCCCTAAAATGGCCCCCGCAAAGAGGAGGAAAACGACCAAGTCTACAAGGAAGACTTCGAAGGCTGCTAAGGCCGCCGCCGACACCCAAGATACCCCGGCACCAACGTCTACAGAAGAGCCTCTCACTCAACCCCCTGCTGTTGACGATGCACCTGGCGATGCGCCCGCCGATGTACACGTTGATGCACCCATAGATGCACCCATAGATGCGCCCGACGTCCCGCTTAACGATGCCCCCGAAAAATCACCTCACGATGCTCCGGAAGAAGCACCCCAAGACGTCCCTGAAGGCACGTTTGAGGACGCACCTAAAGATGCCCCTGAGAATACACCCGAGGTCGAGTCTGCGTTAGAGAAACGCCGCGAACACCTCAGCGAGGAGGATGAGCCAATGCCGACGGTAGCCTCTGCCTCGGAGCCCCCCCTGCCAGACACCTCGGCGGCCGACAAGGCGAGGGAGCGGATGGCGCGGTTCCGGGAGCTGCAGGCGCGGGCCAAGACGTCGTCGGACCAGAACGTGGCGGAGGCGGCGCGCGAGTCGCAGCGGCTGGCGACGGACCCATCAGCGCTGGCGTCGCTAAACCGGCGGCGCGACATCGCGACGCACAAGCTGCTCAAGGCGGAGACGGAGGAGGCCGGCGAGGACTTCGAGCGCAAGCGGGCGTGGGACTGGACCGCGGAGGAGAGCGAGCGGTGGGACCGGCGGGTGCGCAAGAAGGCGGCGCGGCGGGACGACAACGCGTTCCAGGACTACCGCGCCGAGAGCAGCAAGGTGTACCGGCGGCAGCTGCGCGAGGTGGCGCCGGACCTGGACCGGTACGAGCGCGACAAGAAGGCGGCGGTCGAGCGGGCGGCGGCGGCGGGCGGCCTCGACATCGTCGAGACCGAGGACGGCGAGCTCATCGCCGTCGACCGCGACGGCACCTTCTACTCCACCGCCGACTCGACCGCCTTCGCCGAGAACCGGCCCGACCGCGCCGCCGTCGACCGCCTCGTCGCCGAGCTCCGCAAGGCCGAGGACGCCCGCCTCCGCAAGCGCCGCGAGCGCATGGCCCAGAACGGCGACGACGGCGACGTCACCTACATCAACGAGAAGAACAAGCAGTTCAACCAGAAGCTCGCCCGGTTCTACAACAAGTACACCGCCGAGATCCGCGACAGCTTCGAGCGCGGGACGATGATCTAGGGAGGAGAGGGCGCGACGGAGTGGGATGGTCTTACCGTGAGATTGGCGTGCGCTGTGTGTGTACTGGTACATGATAAACTAGGAGAAGCCGGCATAAATCGTGGCGTTGGGTTGCTATGATACAGTCTACAATAGGGCGAAAAGAAGAAATTGACATTGGCCTCCCGAGGAATATAGCAGCCTTCCCTTTTTTTCGGCGTCTATTATTTTTAACATTACTTTTCCCCTAGATTTTTTTTTTTCCTTTGCTTTCTCTTCGTTCAGAGCATGCTCTTCCTCCAGTACTTGTTCGCCAGCTCCTCGATCTCGGGGGGTTCGAGGGGCCCGCTGACGGCGTCGTCGCCGAGCCCCTCGACGACGGCCTCGGCGACGATGTCGACCTTGAGGGGCTTGATGCCGGCGGCGCCCATAAAGCCGCCGAAGACGCCGCGGGTGAAGCCGTTGAAGGCGGCGCCGAGCCCCGTGACGGCGGCCATGCCGACGGTGACGGGGCGCGAGCTGTCGTAGAGGAAGGGGGGCCGGAGGAAGAGCCCGCGCATGCGCGGGAACCGGCTCGCGATGACGCTCTCGGCCTCGCGCTTCGTGCTGAGGTACCGGGCGGGCAGCCCGGGGGCGCCGCTCGCGGCGGAGATGTAGGCGAAGGCGGAGACGTCCTCGCGGGCGGCCTCGGCGGCGAGGGCGAGGGCGCTGTCGCGGTTCATGCTCTCGTAGGTGGGCCGGTCGGCGGCGGCGGCGGCGGCGGCAGGTGGCGCGGCGCCCAGCAGCCTGCGCAGGCCGGCGACGGGGGAGACCTCGCCGCTCACGACGCCCTTGTAGTCGGCCTCGAGCAGGATGCCGAGGCTGTGGACGACGAAGTCGGCGCCCTTGAGCAGCGGCGCATAGCTGGCCGGGCGCAGGACGTCGCCGCGCTCCCAGGACACCTTGCGGGCCCACGGCGGAGGCGTGGCCGACGGGCCGACGGCACCCCATTTCGGCTCGCCGGAGCGGCTGTCACGGGCGGATTAGCTTGGTTGCCTCCACGGGTGCGCAGATGGGTACGGCTGGAGGGGAGTTCCGTTACAAGAATCGGGCATAGCTGCAGAAGATGCACGTGCTATAGAAGAGCCATCTACCTAATTGAGGTCACGTCCCACCCGCGCGCCACAGCATATTTGCATATCCTAGACCCGACAAAGCCGTTGCCGCCGCATACGATCAGTCTCTTGGCCGACATGGCGGATGCGACGGGGACGTGGTGTGCACCCGGCTACGCTGCCGGCCCTGTGGTAAGATGGTGGTGTCGAACTGGGGGCGCAGGGAGCACCGTACGAATCCGTGGGGAGCCTATACCTCGGTGTCGAACGGGGCGTATTGCAGTGTTGTCGGAGTGCCTCCAGAGGAATTGTGACGCTGTAATGGCCGACTTAAACAAGCCATCGACATCATCGGATGATGGGCAAGGCTGAGCAAGAAAGGTATCCGCTGGTGTACCGACTACAAATGGGTACCTCCTTAGGTCCCTAGAGGCATGTTATCCGCCATGTATCTGCCATGTGCCTGCCATGGCTACGGTACCTACAAGATAGCTCGCTGCGTAGTACCTACACAGATGAAAGACGGGGGTCGAGCTTATCGGGCTACATTATTGGACGGCCGCCTCATACCCCTGCCTATCGACGAGGCTGAAAACACCCAGCAAAGAGCGATAGCCTTTTCAGAGATAACGACAGCTTCACAAGCTGTACCTAGGTAGGAAAGCTCGATCTTTTAACGATTCAAATATCCCGTTGGCCTGCGCCTGCCTAATCCGATAACCTGACATACTCAGGCCGCGACTTCTTACCTCAGGAAATAGTTACGTAGGTACCTACCGGCTTTCTGCCCGTCTTTGATTACATAATCCAGTCTCCATCCAGTACGACCGGTCCAGCAGAGAGTCCATCCTCCCTCGCCGTCTTCCTCTCTCGCCCCCTTCTCCAGAGATACCTATATACTCAACCCGACCTAAATTCCTACCGACTCCCCTCCCCTCTCCTCGCTCAGCTTACCCATCTTCGCTAGTCGATACACATCGACCGCTCCGCGAGCTACACACCGCCCGAGACCCCGTCATGGCGCCTCCTGCTGGCAAGCGCGTCAAAGGCGTGCAGATCTACCGGCCCTTCATATACGGCACCACCGCCCGCCCCTTCAACGACACCGACAACCCGCGGCCCCCGGGCATCCCCGCCGACCACACCCACTCGTGGCAGGTCTTCGTCAAGGGCATCGACGGCACCGACATCTTCTACTGGCTGCGGCGCGTCCAGTTCAAGCTGCACGAGTCCATCCCGAACCACCTGCGCACCATCGACGCCGAGACCATCGCCAAGGAGAACGAGGGCAAGCCCGCCGCCCAGCGCCAGCGCGCCTTCGTCGTCAACGAGACCGGCTGGGGCGAGTTCGAGATCACCATCCGCCTCTACTACGACAGCCGCTCCGCCGAGAAGCCGCAGACGCTGTACCACCACCTGCGCCTGCACCCGTACGGCCGCACCGAGGCCGAGAAGGAGGCGATGCGCAACGGCGGCGAGGTGGTCGCCTGGGTGTACGAGGAGCAGCTCTTCAACGAGCCGTTCGAGGACTTCTACAAGGTGCTGACGTCGGGCGCGCGCGACAAGGCCGGCGGCGCGGCCGGCGGCAAGGGCAAGGGCAAGGGCAAGGCGGCCGCGGCCGCCGACGGCGACGGCGAGGTCAAGGAGCGCAGCGCCATGATCCCGCTCGCCAACCGGCCCGGCCAGCCGTTCAGCCGCGAGACGGAGCAGCTCGAGATCAAACGCCTCCGGGAGGCCGAGGAGAAGGTCAGCCAGATGGTCGCCGAGATGGACCGCACCATCAAGGCCAAGGAGGCCGAGCTCGCCGAGCTCAAGGCCGCCGCCGCGGCTGCCCCCGGCGCGTAGGACGTCCCCCGGGGAAGCCAGGGCGACGAAGCCTCTCAAAGGTACCGAGCGAGCGAGCGCCGCGCCGCGCCGCGATACCGTCCCGGAACATGCTAACGTGGCGGCAGCACCACGACGAGACCCAAGCGCAACCGCCGCAAGCCCAGGCGCTGGTAAAGAGGGGGAAGGTACGGTGGCCTCGCCCGCTCTACCGCATCGCGGGCGCGGCGACAGCGGCGAAAAACCACAAGAAGAAAAAGGGCGGCGAGTATAGATAGCCTTGCCCTGTGGGCAAAGCCGACGGCACGGATCTCGGTATTGAAATTAGCGCATTTACATATCTGCACCGGTGTTTAGGCGTAGCATTAGGTAGGGGGGGGGGGGTAAGCCGCCCCGTCGTTTTTTTTAGGACCATCTTTAGAGACGCGTCGGCGCGACAGAAGTGCACACGCACCTTGGGCGCTGGTGTTTTCGACTCGGATCTAGGAAGGGCGGGAGGAGGGTGAGAGAGAGAAGACGTCGAGAGGTCTGCCTCGCCAGCCGTTCAACTTATCGATCCGTTCAACGCGGTGGCGATCAGGAAAGGGGGCTTCGCGGCAGCTAGCTTGCACGTAGGGCGGAACCGCCGGACGCTCGCCGTCTCCGCGTCTAGGGAAACGGGCCCGGCGCCCGGCGCCGTAGAGCAGTTCCATATGAGCCTCTCTCCCTCCCTCTCTTTCTCTAATGCAGCGTCGTATCCGCGACGCTAGGTGAATATGCGAATATGCCGACCGTGCCGCCTCGCCGCGCGCAGCCAACTCCGGACCCCCTCCAGCTCGCTCTCCCGTTCCTTCTTTCCTCTCGCTCCTCTCGAGACGTCGCTAAATGCTTCGACACCCTTCCTCCCTGCACCGCGTGCTCTCTCTCTCTCTCTCTCTCTCTCTCAGCTTGCCTCGCTACCCACCCCGACCGACCGCGCGCGGTCGTCCACATGTCGGAACGTAGCATGCGCCTCACCCCCTTACCGCACCGCGCCATCGCCGCCAGGTAAGCGGCCGCTGGACAACGATGCCTAGAGTGCGCGCGCGCGGGGCGGAGCGAGGGGGAAGCAGAGTTGGGCGTACGCTAAGAGCCTCTGCATCTCACACACATATCTAAACCCGGCCTCTACTACTGCTCTGCTACTGGCTACTACGACGACGACGAGGCCGAAGAAGAAAACGAGCACGTCTAGGAGCAAGTAGAGGGACAAGACGACGCCCCGAGTCCGATCTCTCTTCCCTTCTCGTGTATTGTCGCTTTCCTTTTTATTGCTCTATACTCGAGGGGGGTCTCTCTCTCTCTCTCTCCTCTCTCTCTCTTACTCTTTCTTTCTCGCAGGATGGATTGATTACTTACTCACATACACGTCGCCTTCCACGTCCACGCCTCAACCCCTCATCTTTCGTCTTCCCGCCTGCTTGCCCTGCTGAGAGAAGATGAAAGGAAAAGAAAAGGAAACAATCGAACGTCGAATTTCTCGAACTTCGGGACCGCGTAGCCCGTCTCTCGGGCGCTCGTGAGAAAAAGAAATCGGTGAAGGAAAACAAGAAGGCTGCCGAAGTCTCTCCATGGTATATTTATCATGCCTCCGCGGGTCTCCGCGTGTCCCCTCTCTATGCAACCAGGCCATTGCTATGAATCCAATAACATATTCGCGTCGTCTTCGGCTTAGGGGGAGTGAGGGGAGGGAACCCGGTCGACGCCGTGCATGTGGAAGAGGCGCTCCCTGGTGATATGCGCGACTCTCGTTCGATGAATGCACCGCATATCCATAACGATGCTACATGAAAATGCCCCCACCCTTCTTCTATGTCTCCCAAATGGCGACCGGCTTTTCTACGCAAATCTTGGGACGCAGATGAATAATCGTCCCCTCCCAACGCCGCTACTGGAGGGGAAATGTTATATGACGCTCCGGAAGCGGGCAATTCAGATCGCCGCCGGCAACGCACGGGGAAACCACCTTTGAGATCAAAACCCAACAATTAAGGAATAGGATATCGTCATCAGCTTTAGCGACGCGCGCTTATTTCGCGTGCTTTCGGAAGGCAAGCAGCTCGGAGAGGCTTCCGAGCGGGCAACCATGCTTCAAGAAGTCGTGCTGGAGGAGCTCGTCCGCTGAAGCACGGCTCTTAACATCGACGCAGAGGCATACGGACAGGAAAGCCTTGAGCTCCTTGCTCAGCTTCTCGGGCTTCTTCAGGCGAGGGGTACCGTTGGTTGCGATGAGATAGAGAGCCTTGAGAGGCTCCTCGTTGAGGTACGGGGGCTCGGACTCGATCATCTCGATCGCCATGATACCCAAGGACCAAATATCGACTTTCGGGCCGTACTCCTTCTGCTTCACGACCTCGGGGGCCATCCAGTACGGCGTCCCGACCATGGTCGCGCGCTTCGACTTGGTTTCGGTAAGCTTCGCGCAGAAACCAAAATCGGCTGTTTTCTTTGTTAGTCCAATTCTCCTGCGTAGCTCATCTAGGCAAACTCACTGATTTTCACGTTTCCGCGAGCGTCCAGGAGGACGTTGTCGCTCTTGATATCACGGTGGATGATGTTTTGGGAGTGCAGGTGTTGCAATCCACGGCACGTCTGCACGTACGTTTGATTAGCGTAAGCTAGGCAAGGGGGTTGGTTACCCGAATCTCATCACGCTTACCTCGAGGCAGATGGTAGAAATCTGTTCCTCAGTAATGACGGGGTTGTTGTCGATGACATCGGTCAAGGCGCCACCCTCCATGTACTCCATAACCACCCACAGCTCGGCATTGTTGTTGCGGAGGAAGGCGTCGAGGAAGTTGACAATGTTTCGGTGTTTGCTATCCTTCATGACCATGATTTCGTTCACGATGAGTTCCTTGCGCGGTTGGTGCGCGAGATCCATCTGCTTGATAGCCACCTGGGCCCTGGAGCCCTGGGAGCGGAGAACCTCTCGAGCGACGGGAGAAAGAGACGTTTCCTTGACCTTTGCCACGTAGACGGAGCCCGAAGCTCCCTGGCCGATCTTCTTCTGCTTCGCGTACGACAAGTTGGGGTCGTCCTTGGACACGACTTCGATAAGCCTGGCCATAACTTCTTTCTCCGACATCGTAGACATGCGAACATCCTGCTTCCGCTCCGCCGCGGACGGCTTAGCCGTAAGGGCGGCCTCTGCGGCTTTGACGCCGTCACTCTGCTGCTGGCTAGGCTTCGCCGGGACATTAAGAGGCTTAACAGTAGCAGGCAGGCGCGCGGCGGCGGCGGCCGCCGCCGCCTGGTTCTGAGCCTGCCCATTCGTCCGGGGTTGCGACGCGCCGTTACCGTTGTTCGGGTATCGAGGAGCCGACGATTGCTGTGGCGGCATGCGCTGAGCGGATTGGCTCGACTGGGAGGATTGCATAGAGCTCGCGCTTGACTGGGGAGTCATCACGGGTCGGTTTGCAGGCGCAGGATTCGATGAGCCGGGTGCTGGTGGAGCAGGCCGTTGCGCACGGAGACCGTTGACCTGCTGATTGGAGGCTTTTGGCGCAGGAGGAGCTGCTCGGCTAGGATTATAGCGGTCTGCTGGTGCCGAAGGGCCACCGTATCCACCAATCTCCTGCTGAGCAAGAGGTACTTTCTTCTTCGGCAGAGAGGCATTGTAGGCTTCCAATTCGCGTCGGCTCTGCTCTTCCATCTCTCGCTGCCTCTGGAGTTCGAGTTGCTTCTGACGTTGCTGCTCCTCGCGTGCCGCGTCCGGGGACTGGCCGTAGCTAGACCCTGTACTCTGCATCTGTGGCCGCTGCGACATGTCTGGTGGGCTGGGTCGCGGCGGAGTGGAAGCCTGAGACGGCGAGCCATAGTTGGTCCGTTGCTGCGAAGGCGGCATCGGCCGAGGCGGGGCGACAGAAGCGCCGCCGCCGCCTCCGTAGCTGAGCTGCGGCTTGTTCGGCTGGCCGCCGAGGGGCGTGGGAGTGGGACCCGCGTACTGTTGGGGGTTGTCTGCTCGCTTCGTGAGGTCGGAGTAGAAATCCAAGACCTCGAAGACAGCCTGTGGGTTCCGCTCGTAGTCCTCTTGGGTAATAGCAGAGGAGTTCAGCAGCTTCGACCACTCGGGGGGCAATCCCACGAATTGACCGGTCTGAGGATCGAACCCGACGTGTACCGCGTGAGAGAAGTTGGTCGGATTGCTCACGCCGCCCATGGTGGGACACCGACCGTAGAGGAGGTCGATCCAATCGTAGAGGTCATCGTCGCTCTTCACCCTGATGTTCAAGGTGCGTATCGAGCCGTCGTCGTCGCCGGGGCTGTTCGAAGAACCATTCGTGTGTCTCTTGATCTCGAAGATGGTGCCGGCGGCCTCGACTCGCCCTACATTGACGACATCCTTCAGGAAAAGGGTGTACGAGACCTTGCCGCCTTCGGTCTTGTGGAAGTCGAGGGCCTCCTTGCGCAGAATCAGGTATTTTTGCTTCCAGGGCTGGATGAAGTTCCTGCTCTCCTTCACGTGCGCCCAGCCCTCCTTGATGACGGCGACACCGCCTAGGCCATCCATCTGGTTGGATCGCTCGCGAGCTAGTGGTAAAGAGATAGTAGAGCCTGTGTAGGTGGAAGCGGCGGTGCGTGTAATGGGCGACGAGACTACGTTTGTCATGCTTCCGGGTAGGTTGGTGTTAGGGGTGAGATTGAGGCGTGGTCGGTCAGTTGGTGGTCGAGGTGCGGGACCAGGGTTCATAAACTGGCCAGTAGAGTAGGCGCTGTTTTTACGACCCATGGTCAGTCAATAATTCCCAAGTGGAGCAGGTAAGGCACGGTAGGAAACCGAGGGCCAGCCTCCATGATGGAGAGGGAGAAAAAAAACCAGGTCAGCCCGCACCCATAACCGAGCGAATGCGGGTTTTGCAGGCCTGGGATGCCCGCGGGCGCGCTGTGGACAGCACACACGGACACACACGATTTGCAGGGAGGCCACGATGATAAGCACCACGCCACGGCATAAAACCAGACGACCTGACTGCGGCCGCCCAACAAGCGAATCGCAGCAATTGCACATACCTGTTCGGCGCTGCCATAGCGGGCAGGATAGAGCGAGAGGGGTGAGCTGTCGCGGCGGCCGCGACGACGAGGCGGATAGAAGACGAGGTAAATTAGTAGCAGTTATTATTACGTCCGCCGGCGAGCCACGAGACGGGGAGGGAGCGCTCAGCGGAGACGGGCGCTGTTCAATCCGAGAGGCACTACGCGCGCCACGCCGTTAGTTCCAGGCCTGCCCAGGAGTCCCAGAGACGAAAGAGAGAGAGAGAGAGAGAGAGAGAGAGGGAAAGACGACGCCGCATCGAAATCGAGCCGGCATAGGATGCACACAAGGATACAAACGGGCAAGAAGCGAAGAGGGGAGGGGGAGGGGAGGGGGTGCACATCGGGTCAACTCACCCCAATGGATGCCGCGCGGAGGGATATCGAGGGCGCGAGGGATGGATACCAATTCGAACATGGGAGGTTCTCGTCGAGCCCCAGGCGGCGAGGTTGAACCGACTCGAGGAAAAGAATAAAGCGTCGCACGGCTCGACTCGCTCTACACGTTGGGTCTAGTCGAGGGCGCCTGTCTCGGGTTGATTTCAAAGAAGCCGGCCAAATCGGGAGAGAAAGAAACAAAACTGGCGGCTCGACTTCACATCCGAAACCCCAAGCATCAATGCACCCTCGAAATGCCGGGGTTCGTCTGCTACTAGTGCTGCTGCTACTAGTGCTGCTGGCGCTGGTGCAGGTATTGCCGCTGCCGCTGCCGCTGCCGCTGCCAGGACCAATTCGCTTACTGCGGTGACGAACTCGAACGGGGCAGGGTGGAAATCGACGGGCAAGGTATCGCGGGTCGCTCAACGGAGTCTCTCGCAGGAGGGTGTATAGAAGGCTGGACTGGTTCTAGAAGCGGCTGCGTGTGTGCGTGTGCGTGTATGCGCTGTATAGATGTGCATACGAGCGCGAGGAGGACGTATCCGCGTAGGTGCGTGGAAGCGTGGGTGTGTGCGTGTGTGTGTATAGGTGTTCTGTGTGCTCGGCGCTGGGTGGATATACGGGTATGGATATAAGATGGATACGGGACGTGGATGCGGACAGCGGACGTGGATATGGAAGTGGATGTGAGATGCGGATGGGATGGGAAGGGGGGGTGTGTGTCGAATGCGTGAGTGAGGTGAGCGAGGTGACGGAGAAGCCTGCGGATGTAATGTAATGTGTGGTGTTCTCTGTATGAGTATGCGGGTGCTTGGGGGGGATTGGGGGGGGGGGTGGTGTTGTGCCTGCGCCGAGAGGAGCAGGATGCAGCTGGCGATTGGTCCTCTTCATTCTAAAAAGAGACAGGACCAGGACTTTGCCAGGCGGGCTGACGGGGCGAAACCCACCTCGACTCAACTCGACCTCTCCTCTCTGCTCCCACACAGCACGTATCCGTCCGGTCAGGGGAGAGACACGCGTGCAGGTACAGACAAGACATACAGACATACAATACCCCTACACAGACGTTACGGTACCTACCTACACACCCTGGCCTTTTCTCTGGATATGTGTGCGGGTATCAGGTACCCAAGGCAACCCTACCTATTATAGATCAACGCCACAAAAATGATGGTGTTCCTCCCTACTCATACCTACAATCGACTCTCTCCCCCCTCCACTCCCCACTCAATCTCGAATATCCCCCTATTAGAGGGAACCGTGGGATCCCTCGGCCGTCCGTCAATCAACAATCACTACGAGGGCACGTCGAGCATTCCAATCAGGGACATACGCATCTGCGCGCAGGCGACAGACCAGCCCAGCATTTCCCTCTCTATAGGCTCTCTATACCTACTAGTAGGAGCTAAAAGTGCGTCGTCAAATCGGCGCCGGGTGCTGTCGCGGCGCAAGTCGAGTCTGAAACACTTGACAAAGGAGTTTGGGGGCTATGGAGGGATGCGACATAGTGGGATTCTGCTACTCTAGGGCTGTCAGCACCGAAGAGGCCCGGACGCAGGCGGGTAAGCCCTAAAGCTCAGCTAACGTTGGTGCTAGCAGCTCCTAAGGGCTCCGTGCCTAAGGGGACCTCGGTTGCCTTCTCGATTGGCGCCGCCAAGATTTTGTCCCTGAAGCGACCCGTAGCAAATGGACGGAACTCGAGGTCCACACCGAGCAATACAATTAGGTACAGAATAACCCGTCCACAGGGACAGATGGGAAATCCTTGTCAAGTACATGCCTACCTACCTGCCTACCACACCTACCAAGTACCTACCTACCTTAGGTAGACGTTCTATGTATAACAGTTACCTGTCTCCTAGTAATACGGGTGGCGAGCAGCCATATTAGCGTCCCGCTTGCAGAGGCCGATAACAGGTAAAGATGGCTAAGCTATTAGCAGCCTGCCGCTACGGGGATTTGCCCGGCTTAGGTAGCATGAGGCATACACACACGTACCTAGGTGAGATCTGATGTCTGTACGCACATGTTTGCGCGGGCGAGAAGTTACCTGATAGCCCGACGCCTTACCCAGTTACGTACTGAATATTACATGAGATGCTACCCGCTCAACCCCGTCCGCTGCTAAAAGGGACAGGCGGGAGGGGGGGAAACAGGAAAAGGAGAAAGGGGGGAGGCGAAAAGAAAAGGGGGAGGAGAGCGTCGAAAACAGTCCATCCTCCACAGTAAACCCCAACGCGCACGGCCCTGATGTATCCGGTACCTACCTAAGGTCATCATGTATTGGTAGGGAGGCAGAGGGATAATATCCCGTAAATCGATACACTCGTACTATATTGACACATGCCGTTGCATTAGATACCTGCATCCTAACACAGCCTATACAACTCTACACGCATACGCCAGCCATCCCGTGTCGGGACAGTTACGAGAAGCAGTTCCTTTCCGTAGGATCGAATTGAATCCCTCCCCGACCCCCATTACACCGAAACCACTGCCCAAAAGAAAGCAGAGACTTTATATATGTACGTGTGTGCTGTGTGCCAATACAGTCAGGCACCTGACAGAGCAAGTCGGGATCGTTGTAACAATAAGAATAACAGCAGGAAAAACACCCGTGCCCAGGGTGGTAAGCTTAACGCACCGAGCGACGATCCCTTCCGATTCCTCCGAGCCCTCCTGGCTGAGGTCCTGGGCGGTTTAGGAGGTGCTTATGTGTTACTATGGTTCTGTCTCGAGGTGTTGTCGAGTCGGAGACTTCTCCCATAGATTATTATTGCCATTATTATCACTACCGTTTGTGTCTGTGATTTATCAATTGATTGATCATAGATCGGCAATGCCTAAGAGGGTGCATAAGTCCACTGACCACATGGGATGCGCTCCCATCCCTCCCTCGCTTGCCCCCATTCCCCGTCCCCGTCCCCCGTTCCCATCCCATAATATCGTCCAATACCGTACTGTGTGACGTGCATCGAGCATCCGAGAAATTGGACGGACGGCTTCCAGTCATGCTTATCTGTCCCTAACGAGCAAATATGAGTACTCATATATACCATTATCCTACGCGCGCGCGCGCACACGTGTATAAATACATGACACCGACTTGTAAGTTCCCCGGCTCTCCAGTATTCCCGATGCCCGAGTGCGGCCGCGAATATTGCCAGTTAGGCGTCAGTATTGACGGCTTCGGCCGGTGTCATCATCTGCGAATAATAACAATAACATATATGTGTACATATATATTCTTAGATAAGACTCCGAGTCTAGGATCGCCTCTTCCCCGTGATTGTGTGTGGCTACCTACGACTACGTGCGGATATTATCACTGCGCGCTAACGGGATATGGGATGTCATCCTCTCTCGACCCGGCCAGCGCCCTGTTCCACTCGTCCTATGTGCAGACGAGGTTTTACCCGCCCTGCACGATTGTGGCGAGCGCCGCCGCCGCCGCCGCCAACGTGCTTTGCACGCGCGCAGCCGATATCGAAAGAGAGCCCCCAAGGGCAATGCCAATTCCCGTCTCGAATGCAACGGGGGGCAAGTCAAGCTACTATACATCCACTGGCAATGTCGTATACTTAGGTATGTGGCTGTAAACCTATATGGCTCTAAACTTATGTGCCTGTAAATGCCTACCAGGTGGATTCGTACGAGAGGGAATCGTGTCCAGGCCTGGGCGCTGACTACGCATGCGCAATCTGTTTAGTTCGGCAGCCAGCTCGCGGCAGGAGGATCGTGTAAGGCGCTAGGCGGCGACGCTATACGACGTGCTGTGAGAATGCATCCCCAGCCTTCGGTACCTCTCCCCTCCCCGCCAGAGCCTTCTCGATGGTCCCGAGCGTCACGGGAGGTGGTGGCCGATCCTATTTTGGTGCCGCGCGGAATCCATAGGCTCGAATCCCTCGCGTGCTACCGAACCCTCCCATATGCAGGAGGGAAGAAAGGAAACAAATCTACCTACCTGCAGCAAACAGGTAACGCAAGGGGCGGCCATCCACGCGCGAAACATCCATCAGGCTGGGAGCGCTTGCGACGGAGAGCGACTAAGAAGCGCTGCTACGCGTCTATGTATGCGCCACCTGCCTCCTCTCCTCCTTCTTGTTCTTCTTGTTGTTGTTATTGTTTCTCGATGTTTCCCACAAGCGTGGCGGCGATGGAGGCGACGGCAATGACGTAGAAGATGCCGCCGCCTACCGTTCCAGATGGCTTCCCGGCTGGCCAGGGAGCGTCGTACTCCGCCCCTCCATCTCCATCGCTGGTCCAAAGCGGGTTGGCTGTACCATGTTTCACGTACCAGCCTTAGCCGCGATCTGCCTCAGCATTTGCAGTGTGCAGAAGCGCGTGTCCCGAAGCGGCGAGCCTCAGCTGATTCCTCGGCGATCGCAGCCGCGCTTAGAAGGCGGCCGCGAATCAGCGAGGTCCGTCGCGGTGGATCTTAGCAGGAATAGGTATCGCAACCAGGAGGGCACCAAGAAGAAGGGGGTCTTCTCCTCTTGCACTGGTTTCCAATCTGCGGATCGGTGTCGCAGGATGTGGACGGTGCTTGGCATACCGTTGGTTCCCTCCTTTCGCTTTGCGACGCCGGACTGCACATGATCGACCCGGGAGACTCATCGGAGAGAGCTGCCTTCCAAGTCATCCCCGACCAGCCATTCTCTTATACACACTACGATTAATTATAGCCGCCGAACGCTGTGTGGCTTTTCAACCAGGTCCACGGCCACGCTAGTCACTAGACGATGTCTTTTAGAAGCATACTCAACGCCCCACACCATCCAGCCCTAGGAAAAGACCGAGAGGGAAGAAGGGGAGACCTAAAGTAAACCGAAAATAAATTCAGATGAAATCAATGATAAGAGATCGCGGCCAGTCGACACGTAGGAACGAGACTGAAGCCAACGAGAAGATTTTGTGATATCTTAATTCGTCTGTCTCGAGTCTCTGATCTTACCTCATCACTGATGCCCGCAAAGCAAGACTCGCTCAGCAAGCTACGTATAGGTATACATCCTCAACTAGCGGACGGTAACCTCGACCTCCTGTCCCTCGAAAGCGGGCAGCTCCGCCTCGACGTCTCTCCACCGCTTGCTGCCATCAACCACCGACTGAATCGCGGCGATGATCGTGTCTTCGTCGGCGCGCACTTGTTTCGTCGAGTCGCGGTCTCGAAGCGTGATCGAGCCGTCCTGGATGGTCTGGAAATCGACCGTGATACCTAAGGGCGTGCCTAGTTCGTCGTTGCGACTGTATCGCTTGCCGATCGTCGCCGAAGAGTCGTCGATGCGGCTGGATATCCCAATCTTCCTGAGCTTTTGGGAGAGTTTATGACAGGTCGGCCTGAACTTCTCGTTCGACGAGAGAGGCACAATAAGCACCTTGGTTGGGGCCACTGTCGGTGGGAACGACAGAACCTGGGTGAAATTAGCATTACACGATGGCTTGACGGAAAAGATGGAGAACTCACACCACGAGCTTCGTCGCCGCCATCGCTGGCTCGGGTCCAGAAGTTATGCTCCAGGATGGAGTACAATATTCTACCGATGCCAAACGACGGCTCGATGACGTTGGGCGTGTACTCCCTAACGTGCTCGGCTCTCGTCCGCCGCTCTATCGTGATGAGTTCTTTGGGGATCTGAACCTTGCCGTTACCCACACCGGCAACCTCGATGGTAATGCTGCCCTTCTCGCTTAGTTCTTTCGCCAGGGCCTCTCGCTGGTCCTGTCCAGTCCCTTCCACAGCAGCCTCTACCGCCCTGCCATCCTTCTTGAAATGCGGGCCAAATAGCTTCCTGTTGAGGGAAACCTGCCATTCCTCGATAACTATAGGCTCGGGCAGTTGCTCGCGGACAATCAGAGGTGCGCCAGTCTTCTTGGCGTGGACGCTGAGATCGTAGGCGCTCCGGTCCGCGCAGCCAACACACTCGACCCAACCGTACGAAGTGAAAAGCTCCGCGTCCCAGCAGTCAGCAGCGTAATGGGCCATCTCGTTCGCCATATGCTGCCTAAAGCGGATCTTGGATTGGTCGACGCCGATCTTCTCGAGGAACAGGTGAATCCGGGCTAAGAAGTAGCCCAGCGTCTCGTTATCAACAGTGCCGTTTGCCACAGCCTCGCCGATGGAGACCTCTTCGACGTGGGTTTTGCCGGCAAGCTGGGTTTCCCGGTTCAGGAGTACCAGCTTGATATCTTTAACCTCGTGGAACCGTGGATGCTTCTTTCCACCTTGGGGATCCACGAAATGCTCGATCTCGGCCATCAGGAACTCGCGCACCCGTAGCAAACCGGCCCTGGGGGAAATCTCGTTTCGGTAGGACCGGCCGACGGATGCGGAAGCGAACGGCATCTGGCCCTGGTTGAATTCCAACAGCTTCGAGAAGTTTAGAAATTGACCCTGGGCAGTCTCGGGCCGGAGATATCCGGGAATGTGGCCGCTGGGACCGATAGCCGTCTGGAACATCAAGTTGAAAGCGATGGGTGGCGAGGGCTGCACACCGGTATCTGGATTCTTAAGATCGTGCTTCTTGATCAACTCCCCAAGCTCCTTGCCGTTGTAGTTGTCGATCTTGGCCAATATTTCCTCGTACTCCTGCACAACCGCGTCGTCAAGCTTGACGGCCGCTGGCCCACCTTTTGCCTTCCTCTTCTTCTTCTTGGGGTCTGCCTGCTTCTCCTCAACCTTCACGCCACGAGCCTCCTTGTCGCCCTTCAGCCGGTTCTCGAGGATCTCCTCGACGAAGTGGTCGGCTCGAATGATCTCGCCGCTCTTGGGGTCCTTGCACATCCAGTCGGCAAACTTGTCCACGTGGCCACTCGTCTTCAAGACCTCGCCGGGCGTCAGCACGGAGCAATCGACCTCTAGCATATCCTCCTCCAGAACGAAGTGCTTCCGCCACAAGTCGACGATGTTGGCCTGAAGACCGCAACCAGGTGGGCCGTAGTCGTAGAGACCGGCGACACCCCCGTAAATCTCAAAGGCAGGCGTATAGAACATCCGCCGTCGGAGCATGGAGTCCAGGACGGGGCGATCGAGGGGTTGGCCCTTCAGAGTAGTAGCTTCTGCCATCGTTGGGTCTTGAATGCCTCGGGGGTATTGGGCGCGTATCGAGGCAGGGAAAAATCGACGATGGAAGCTTGCGGGCAATGGCTTTAGGGCACCGATCGCGACGTTGCAACTTAAAAAGAGTCGCTCGGTAGCCTTGAGGGCTCTCATCCACCTTCCGAGGTTGAGAAGGAAAAGAGGGACAGAAGTCAGCCTAACGCAACCTGTGAATCAAGGTGTTAGCAACATTGACTCATGGGTTGACTCAGGCCGACGCAGACTTACAGTCGGGGTAGAGACGAGGGCGGCTACGTGTTGCGGGACCGAATTTATTTTGCGAACCCTGGCGAATTTCTCGGAGGTGTTAGGCGCCGTACCTGTCAGTGTATCTGCACCCGCCCCGACCTGATGTATCTAATCTCAAGCTGGCTAATATCAAAGATGTACGAGGGCATCTGTGGGCAACTTGGCGAGTTCCAAGCGTTCCCTACTGAGTCACCAGGACCACCGGTATTTTCCCGTAATGCTGAGAGGTGCCCAGGGGACTCAATGCTTTCGCGGTGTACGCATCTTAGACCAAATATCCAAGTACCCTAAGGAGGTTATCAGGTAGGTTAGGTACCTTTATATGAACTCTGGCAAGGTACCTACACCTAGGTAGGTTAGGAGGTACCTACCTCTTACTTGACTCTGTGGCTGATTTACCCCTCCATCTAACCCCTCCATCGGCCCCTCTAAAAATATCAAGCCGACACTGGGGCTACGACTCGACGACTCCAGTATTACATAAGTGCCTAAGTACTGGTGTACATGCGCAGGGGGTTCAGTTGAGCTAGTCCCTGGCATTGGAGTCTCCATTGAAAATCCATTTTATTTTCTAATGCTGGTAACTGAAAATGAACTTGGTGACCAACCTTCGCAACTTCTTCTCATGGCCGGATCGATCAGACCTAATCAACGAACAAATATTCATCCAGCAAAGACGCGACAGATTACGCATTTTAGAAATACGCCCGAGCGAACCCTGCGACGAGGCTGGGAGGTATAGGCAGGGAGCGAAGAGAACAACGAAGGGGAAAAGAAAAAAAACGGGACAATGGGGCCCTCGAGATCTGTCTCGCTGTCTAAGAAGACAGGAAATAAACTTCACCGGCAGTCGCTGTACGTCAAGCAGAAGCAAGAACGAGAGAAGGAAAAGCGCGAGGCCCGCTTTCGAAGGAAAAAGGAAGAGGACAGAGATCCCGAGCTTCGGAGAGCGCGTGTTGCCCAAAACCAACCGGCGACCATCGACCGGAAGCGAGTTTGGGATGACGTCGACGATGATAGCCTAAGCGCAAGCGTCGATATGGAACAGCTGCTCAAGAGGAGGCGTCTGCGGCAAGAGGAGGCCGAAGAAAGGCTAGCCGCCGAGGAAGCGGAAGACGGCGATTCCGGAGAGGAGGACGAGGAAGACAGCATGTTGGGTTCAGGCGACGAAGGGGAGCCCCCGTCCGACGAGGAAGCTGCAGCAAAGGCTCGCGCGAAGCGAGTGATTCGAGACGACAGCCTCGCGCCATCGACAGTTTCGACGAATCTCGACCTCACGCCGGAATCGTTGGTCGCTAAGTTCCCCTCACTCTTCTCGGACGACGGGCCGGCGGTGCCTCGCGTTCTGATTACGACTACGCTGAATTCAACACTGCACGACGAAGCAAGGTTGCTCTGCACCCTATTTCCGAATAGCATGTACATACCGCGGTCAGCACACAAGTACAGTCATAAATACAGCCTGAGAGAGATCTGCAAATTCGCGACGAACCGAGGCTTCGGTTCTGTCATGACCCTCAGGGAAGATCAGAAGAAGCCAATCGGCCTCGATATCGTGCATCTGCCGTCGGGGCCGACTTTTCATTTCAGTATGTCCCGTCCCTACCCGCGGCGCGTCTGCGTGGCTGTAATGATCCCATCTTCTAATCCCAAGCATCGTAGGCATCTCGAATTGGGTCGAGGGGAAGAAGCTACCAGGCCACGGCAACCCGACGAATCACTACCCGGAGCTCCTGCTCAACAACTTCAGGACGCCGCTCGGCATCCTGACCGCAAGGCTCTTTCAGACACTCTGGCCGAAGGCGCCCGAGCTACAAGGTCGCCAAGTCGTCACCTTGCACAACCAACGCGACTACATTTTTCTCCGTCGGCACAGGTATGTGTTCCGAGACAAGCGGGCGACAGAGAAGAGCGTGGTGGGCGCCGACGGAAAAGAGTTGAAAGGGGTGGAAAGCATCCGCGCCGGTAGGTCCAGACGCCGCCCACGCTTCGCGTAAAGGGAGGCACGGAAGGACTAACTCGAGGGTTCGTAGGCCTGCAAGAGCTGGGCCCTCGGGCGACGCTCAAGCTCCGACGCATCGACAAGGGAATCGGCCGAGCCGGAAGCGAGGGAGACGATGCGGTGCAGTGGGAGTGGAAGGCTAGGATGGAGAAGCAGCGGACGAGATTCAACCTATAAGCCTACCTGTGACCGGAGTTGCAAGACCCGGTGTAATAGCGTTCTGTTCACGTGCGCATGTGTGTACCTACGGTGCGTTGTGTACAGTACAGGGAGGTACCTCCTAAGGACAGGTGGGTTAGGAGGTAGGTACCTATGTGCCATGGAGATCTACATTATATTAGGAGGTACCTACCAGAGGTAACATTGCTTGTTGGAGGTAGCTACCTGCCTAGGCAGGTACCTAACCTACCTTACCTTACTACGTACATTTGGCGGGAGGGTGCATTACATTAGGTAGGTACGCATCGTGCAGGCATCGCGGCAAGCCGCCCCCTTGGCGTGTCTGCACCTGTGGCTTAGTTATACGTACTTCCAATATCCGTCTCATCCATCGCAAGCCGTGCACACGCGTGATGACCTACCTCTCCGACTGACTGACTGACTGACCTCACCCCGTTCCAGTTGCCCTCGAGTATCCCCGTGCTCGTCCATCCTCGCCTTTACTAAAAGTCACGACCGGGTGAGATGTTGTCATACTACTTCGATGGTATCCGCTCGTTTTAAATAGCTCGCAAATTGCCTGTCGCTGGCCTTCCCCCCACCCACCCTCCTCCTTTCGTGCTATACCCGATTCCCTACCGGCCAGTCTTGGGTCGAATGTGAACGCGGAATCATCACAGCGCCCGCCAGAGCCGAGTCGATAACGGTGCAGTGCAGTGCAGTGCAGTCGGTCATGGATCGGCTCCGCTCGGTCTTCCAAAACAGGGCGAACGTTCGGGAGGAGTACCAACCGCTGAACGAGGAACCGCCATCCGTCGAGCCGACATCCCCAGACCGTCGCGAGACCCACGATGCGCCCTTCTCATGGATCGAGTACGGCATCTTCGCACTACTCGGCGTCGCGATGCTGTGGGCATGGTATACTTGCCTCACTTTTTACGAACCACACGGGTTGGGTGTAGCGGGCTAATACCGAGATTTCCATAGGAACATGTTCCTTGCCGCAGCGCCCTACTTCCAGCTTCGCTTCCGGGACGACAGATGGATACTCGACAACTTCCAGTCCGCCATCATCTCGGTGTCAACGTTGGCGAACCTAGGATCCATGGCTATCCTGACCAATATCCAATACACAGCCTCGTATCCGTTCCGTATCAACCTTGCACTGTATATGAACGTAGCTATATTCGCCCTGCTGACGACCTCGACTGTTAGCTGGCTCGACGCTTCCCCTTCGGGTTACCTAGCGTTCCTACTGTCGATGGTAGCGCTTACAGCGTGGGCAGCCGGGTTGATACAGAATGGCGCGTTCGCCTTTGCTGCGAGCTTCGGAAGGCCCGAATACATGCAGGCCATCATGGCTGGGCAGGGCGTGGCGGGTGTTCTGCCTCCACTCGTGCAAGTCATCTCCGTGCTCGTCGCACCAGCGGCCGACACCTCTGCCAGGGCACAGAACCCGTCGCCCGGCAACGGCAAGGCGGCCTTTATCTATTTTCTCACCGCGGTAATTGTATCCGTCACCGCCCTCGTCGGCTTCATCCCACTCGTTCGGCGCCATAACCACATCGTCGAGAACCGGATGATGGAGCAGATGGCGGCGTCGATGACGAGCATCGAGGACGCGGAGCGATCGGCGCGCAAGGTGATCGGCATGGCGGCATTGCTCAGGAAGCTGCACTGGCTCGCGGGCGGCGTATTCATGTGCTTTGCCGTGGCCATGTTCTTCCCTGTCTTCACGCCCAAGATCTTGTCTGTGACACCGCCGGACGAAGCCAGCCTGCTGCTGCAGCCTGCCGCTTTCATCCCACTCGGGTTCTTGTTCTGGAATCTCGGCGACCTGGGGGGGCGGGCGAGCTCCCTCTTCCTCTCGTTCCGCGACCACCCCGCCCTGTTATTTGCGGCGAGCATTGGGCGATTGCTATTTCTGCCGCTGTACGCCCTGTGCAACCTTCACGGGAAGGGTGCGGTAATCAATAGCGACATGTTCTATCTGCTCGCGGTGCAGTTCCCGTTCGGCTTCACCACCGGCTGGCTAGGCTCCAACTGCATGATGGCGGCCGGTGAGTGGGTGGAGGAGGGCGAGCGCGAGGCTTCGGGCGGGTTCATGGGGCTGGCCCTCGTGGGTGGGCTCGCGTTTGGGAGCCTGCTGAGCTTCACTGCGGCGGGGATATGATGTGATAGCGATAGCATGAGGTGACGAGATAGATACCTATTGTAGACCTAACCTACAACTTGGGGGCATAACGGCAGCGGGAGGAGTCAGGCAAAGTCTCGTCTGCATGCAGAGCCGGGTTGTCACTAACACAGCTTTAACCACCTTCGCCGACCGGGTATGTTTGGGGCTATGGCGCAAACCGGCTAGGGATCTGACCTACATGCATACCACTGTCCATGCAGTAGGACTAATGAAGTCTTGTTTCCTCGCCCTTCCTTTTCCCTTCGCTCTGCCTCTCTTGCTGCTCACCCTCTCTGGCGGCAGCAAGCCCCCAAGGTACCCGGCAGGCCAACCCACAGAGGGTGCGGAGGCCGTTAGATCGATGGCTATGCATCAGCCAGGGCGATCGTGCATACGTCTGGCCATCGACGAATAAGCGCGCTCACCTCATCTGCTGCGATCTACATCTGTCACTTTCTCCCTCGCGGTGGCTGACCACGGCGGCGGGTGTGCGTATACATCTACCTACCTATCTATATCCGCCTACCTCCTACCTACCCTACCTACCCACAGGCCTACATCCTTCGTGTACCTGCCGACATCCGTCCGTACGTGCATCCGTGCATGCACCTGTGCTGTTCTCTACGTGTGTTGTATTTGTGGTTAGACGCGAGAGAGGGCGAGCGAGAGAGGGCGAGCGAGAGGGGGAGAGAGGCAGGCAAACAGACAAGCAGGAAGAATGCCCAGACAACGCAACGCACACGCAACACGCACACAGGAACGAGCCTAGACGATGTCGGAGTCGGAGCCGGCGGCATGTGATGTCTGGATATTACTTGCTTATTCGACCCATCGAGTCTCACTGTTATATAGCGACCTCTATATACCCGTACCAATAATTTCCAGCCAAAAAAAAAGAGAGAGAGAGAGAGAGAGAGAGAGAGAGAGAAAGAAACCCGGAGACGCGTTAGCCCCTCTACCCGAGTTCTAATAGACGCCTCCCTGCTATTACCTAGAACTTACACGCCTCGCAGGACCTTTTTTAAGGACAGTTCACTGCGCCACTAAAGCACTCCGCAGACGCCCACGGCGGGCGGCCGCACATCCAATTTACTTTGTATGGGTAGCGGCAATTCGCACTTTTTAACATCCCTCGGCCACAGCCAAAACGGCCCATTCGGCAGCCTTTTCTTCTCTTCCTCCTCCTCGCGCCCTGCGTCTCCCTCTCTGACCTCGCGCGTTCGCCTCGCCCCAGCTCCAGCCAGGGGAGGATGTCACTATTGTCACTTTCTCTTTTTTCTCTCTCTCGCGGTTTCGACTCGTATATGGCCCGCTGCTGTCATCGTCTCTATACACCACCTATACATTATACCAACCAACCCGTACACTAATTATTACTTTTCACTAACCAGCCCACACTAGTCGCTAATACATCCTCCTCCTCGGATTTATTTGTTTTTTTTCCCTTCCCTATCGTCGCGGTTTTTTTTTTCTAAACAAGATACGTTTCCAATAACAACCAAGTTCACTACGGAGTAGCAGACGGAGGGCCGTTTCCCTATCGTCATCACCATACGAGCACTTAATTTACCTAAGGTTACAATTACTTGCAGAACAAAGAGAGACAGACGGCCCAACCTTATTATTGCCTCTCCTCCTCCTCCTCCTCCTCTTCTCTTCTCCAGCCAAAAAATTTCCAGATGCGCCGCTTCTTCTTCTTCCTCCTCTCCTCTCTCCCTCCTCTTCCCTCACCAAATGTTCGCGCTCCACTGCCCTGGAGCCTCTTCCATTTCCGGTTAACCGAATGCTCTCGTCATCACCACCATCATGAAACCTCTCAAGGTTATCTGGGGCGAGCTGTCGAGGCCCCTCCCGGACGGCGGGTCGGGCTCGCACGACCCGCAGCCTAGCATCTCAGCCAAGCAGCAACACGAACTCAGCCGCATGCTTCAGAAGTCAGACTTCTTCTATCGCGCCGAGGGCCGTGCGAACGCCGTCTTCAGCATCAAAGAGTCTGGAAGGGACCCGACGGTGCCTAGGGGCTACTTCCGCGGAACGCTGCTGCGGGTGCCCAAGGCCACTCCCAACGTGACGCCGTGTAACTACGAGACGCTCCACGACTTTCAGGAGAAGATCGTCGACGTCCATGTCGGTCGGCAGCACATCGTGCCGCAGATCCTCGTCAGCATAACCCCGGGCGTGGCCAATTCCCTCAACGCCAGGCGCGAGAGCGCCCTCCGCGTCAGGGGCGTCAGGGGCGACCAGAGCACCATCCTGGCCGGCTTCGCCATGCTGGTCGAGGACATGGGCCCGTCGCCGGACTACGCCGCGCTCGAGTTCAAGCCCAAGTGGCTAGCCCAGTCGCCGATGGCGCCCAAGGACGCGACGCGCTGCCGGACGTGCGCGCGGGAGGCCCTGCGCAACGACGAGAGGCGGAAGAAGGGGATGAAGATCTCGACGCCCGTATGCCCGCTAGGCCTCCTGCACCCCGAGCGGGCCGTGTTCATGAGCACGCTCGACAGACTGGCGCCGCAGTGGTCGGAGCGGGACCGGATACGGCTCGCGGACGCGATCAAGGACAGCGGCGTGCTCGAGCGGCTCAAGGACCTGCAGGTCGAGGGCGACTCGGCCGACGCGCTGTTCGCGCGGCCGTCGGACCCGCGCTTCGGCTTGTCGATGACGCTGCGTGACTGCTCGTGCTTCGTGCGCATGCCGTTCGACCCGGACGCGCCCGTCATCATCAAGCTCGCCGACGTCGACAAGAAGAACTGGCGCGAGAAGCAGACGTACTGGCAGCAGCGCCACAACGAACTCGTCAACAACGGCTGGTACAAGGACGGGAACGGCAACGCGAACGGCACCGGCAACGCCCACGGCAATACCAACGGGTACAGCAACGGTTATACCAACGGCTACGCCAACGGGAACCCCAGGGATCCTAGGTTACGCGGGCAGGACGCGGACACGCCGCCGCTGGCCGAGCTCCCACCCATCGAGACTGCCTGCGTCTTGCGTCTCGACCACTGCCTGAAGAACGGGCTCGAGATACCACTGCCGTTCCGCGCGAGGTTGGGGCGGTGACGGGGCGGGCGTGCCTACCGCAGGTGCGGACACGGTCACGCTCGAGAAAGGAAAAAAAAAAGAGATCTCTTCTTCCTGCCAATTCCGTCCGTCTTACAGTAATACGGAAAAGGAGGGGACATCTTTTTATTTGTCATCTTATCATAATTTTTTAAACCCCTAAAGTGCAGGTTGTTGGGTCTTCTTTTTTTTTGGGCATTTGCTTGATATACCATTTTACGAATGATCAACGAGGAAAATTGGGGGTTGGTTGGGGGGAGGGAACGGCCGGGACGCTCAAGGGATGGATGGCAGGGTTGCTCTTCGTTTTCTTTTTTTTTTCTTTTATTTCTTGCATTGGGTTGGGTTGGGTGGAACGTCAGAGTTACACGCATTATAGAGGTTTGGTCGCAAGACCGCAGTCAGCGTCGATTTCTTACTATATCTTTTGCTCTTTTTTTCTCTCCTCCTTCTCCTGTCCGGGGTGATCCCGCCCCCCCTTAGACGTCTAGATTCCTAGTCGGGTATGATTCATATAGGTAGAGGGTTAAAGGAGTTGGTTGGGTGCGTTCAGGTGTTGCGTGTATGGGCGGGTCAGGCGCGAGAAAGCATTGTCGTCCACATCTACTCCTCCAGGGCGTACAGGGAACGAATGTGACGGGCATCACCATCATCGTTGTCGTCATTAGCAGTATTCAATACCCTCATATCTGATTTACTAGCATAATCTCTGAAAGGAAATAGTGTGCCGTTACGTTCGGCGTCTGGGTTAAAGCGGAGAAGGCCATCTATTATTAGTTCTGGAATCCCAGCCTACTATACTACGTGGCACCACGTTGTTATCCCTAGGAATTGTTGGCTTGCGATCTCGGGCCCCCTCTTACCTCTATGCGCAGACGGTACATCGCGAGCGAAGGCTCACCCATAAAATTTGGAGTACCTAGGTTCCGCTGTCCATCGATACGTACATATGCTACCCCGTCCGTACGGGAACCCAGACGTGCTAGCATCCCGAATATCGTGATGCTAAGCCAAGGCCCCGCACACCACTACATACATCATACGGGAAGGCCATCACGGCGTCACGGGGTCCTCACATCACGGGGACGTGGTTAAGGCGCGTACCAGATCGCCATTCCTCTAAGCGTGTACCCGCCGGCCCATCACGCGCTGGGTTGGCGACAGAGATCGCTCCCGCTAAAAATATAACCGGGTAAGCTAAGGCTGGGTAGCGAGGAGGGGGAGGGGGGGGATCTACATACATCACACACACAATACACACGTACATTGCACACACAACTGCACGCGTGGGTTGGGTTAGGGAGTTGTCGGTAGGTAGTATGGTCGGCCGGGTTGATAGGGGGGGGAGGCGGGGGGGGGGGGGGGGGGGGCTACATACATGGGCGACGTAGGTGCAGGATGTAGAGAGAGGAGGCCCCTCTTTTCTCGAGGATGATATGCATCCACGGTGCAAATAGAAGAAGTCTGAACGGGCACTATACCCAAGACAACTGGCTCCGCCGGGGGCTGGTGGGCGGTGGCGGCGGGAAATGCGGGCTACGACAAGCCGTCGGGGTTCGGGGACCCGGTCTGAGGGGAGAGGGAAAGTAAGGGAGAGAGGGAGAGAGGGGATGTAGTGGTGGTGGTGGTGGTGGTGGTAGTGGTGGTGGGAGACAGAGGTCAAGTTCAGGAGGGGAGGAAAAAGGAGATGGCGTCACAAGGTGCAGCTACCGCCTCAGCCACAAACCGGCGCCAGCTCTAAAGCCGAAGGGTTGGTTCGGACCCTTCCGGTCTAGGTAGGTACCTCATTAGCGGCAATTCCGCCACGATTAGCAGGTTCAACTTACAACCTTCTAGGCTTAGTACCTTGATCAAAGTCCCCGTTTCCCCCTGCTACCTACGTAATACCTACTAGAATCCTGGGATCTCATGAAACCCTCGTCAACTCGTGTCTTACGTTCCATATCCACCTCGTGTGTATATGCCTCCGCCTTAGGAGGAATTCAAAATTGCCTATGCCTGTGCCTGTGCCTGCTACGCAGCACATTAGGTACCTTGGCAGATATAGGTACGCGCATGAGACCTCCCCCCCCGTGCGTCCCGCCTCGACTATTCCGATGCGCATATATATCTGCCTGCATCCAAGGGAGGCGTATCCTGCACCGGTATCTAATGTATGTGTTAGACATACAGGTGATACATGCCTGCACCTCCCTCCCTGCCTTCCAATGAGAGCAGCCTCTCTCGCCTCTTGCTGCCCGCCGTGAGATCCCGACCGCCGTCGGGCGAGGTGAGGTGCGAGATCATCTCGGGGGGCGGTTGCTGCTCGCGTGCTCGCGTTGTCCGCGTTGGCCGCGTCTCTGCCCCTCCCTTCCATCCCTCTTTTGCGTCCTGATGCAACCCCCAAGGGCCCAGCGGCCGGCCGCAGCTCACTGCCGCTGTTGCCCACCTAGGTAACCCGCCGGTCAGCCACCTGGACGACTTGGGCAGCAACCTGGCCACCTAACCCGCTGGTGCTGGATGCTCCTGCCAGGCCGGCTAATGAGACTCTGCTTCTGTCTGCTGGTCTTTTGTTGCGGGCATCTTCTTTTTGCTATGTGTACCTCGTCGCCGTCACCTCCCTACCTGGGCGATCTGCGCGGGGAGGGGAGCATTGGCGAGTCAGGTGTTTGATCGTCCGAGTTGTCAGCTGGTGCGTACGGGGAAACGGGGACTGTGAACGCGTAGGTAGGTAGGTACGCGGATAGGCATGTGAATGGGATTCTTCTATGCTGGCACGTCTGCCCTTGGAGAGAATGCTGTCCGTCTGCATCATGTGCGTGCGTGCCATGCCTGTTAATAGTAGATAGGTAGGTCCTCCTCCTCCTCTTCCTCCACGGCCGGGCCACGACGGGTTAGCCCAGACGAGTATAAACCGCTTCTGCCGGCAAGGATGGGTGTTATTGTCTCCGAGAGCCCCGCCAGGTCCAGCCAATCACTATTCACCTAAACCACCAAGAGGGGAAGCAGAGGGAGAGACCTGTCGAAGACCAAAAAAAAAAAAAAAACCCCCCTCCCCAAAAAGGTGGGAGAAGGAAAAGAGGGACCGGCAGAAAAGCCGCCCGCGATTCGACGGCCGCTCCGCCAATCTCCCACGGCATGCGCGCGAAAACCCCCATTCATGCATAGGACGGATATGGATGGATGGAGATGTCGCGGACGGACAGCGTCATTTCTCCTGCACAAAACGCACATTGCCCACGCACCACGCACCACGCATATGCATCCGCATACGCACACGCACACGCATACACATACACGCACACATGTATACTGTGAGTATACGCATACAGATACATGTCTGTCTGTCCATCTTATGTCTGTCTTATGTATGCGCGCACAACTCGCACCGCACCAACTTTCCGAGCCCCCGTCTCCGCTGTCCGCCCACGCCCACGCGCAACCGTCCCCCCAAGCGTTCTAGCTCCCACAACTCCGAGCCCTCCTCCTCCTCCTCCTCCCCTCCCTCTCTTCCTCTCGTCCACTCGCCATCACAATCATACGACCCTACGCTAAAACACCTTCAGACCGCCCAGCCTGCCCAGCCTGCCCACACCCACACCCACACCATCGCCAATTACTTTTCGATTTTTTTCTTCTGCGTGGTGTGGTCCGATCGACTAGGGAATCCCTTCCCCGCAGACCGCCTTACTTTGACCGACTGTCTGGTCCACATCCTGTCCTGCTAGTCCTGTCAAAACCCGCAACCACCGCTCTTTCGACGTAACCACTTCCGCCGCGAGCAAGACCGAAGGAGAAAAAAAAAAAAAACAGGTCGACACCCTGACGCCTGTCCCCTCGCTTAGGTTGTTCTAACCCACGACACGACACGAAAGCGACGGGGCGCAACTGCGAGGAAGGACATGCTCGCGATCCGACCGATGCCCGGCACCCTGTCTGCGATGAGAATATCTGATGCTGGTCTCTTCGATGCTTGATCCAACATGGCTTTCAACTTCAACTGGTCGCCGCTCACCGCCGACGCCGACTTCTACAGCCGCGCCCAGGAGCTCCTGACGAACGCCCTCAACAAATCCCCAAAGCCGCCCATCATCGTCGATGACATCCTCGTCACCGAGTTCAACCTCGGCTCCGTCCCACCCGACCTCGAGATACTGGAGATCGGCGACCTGGCCGAGGATAGGTTCCGCGGCATCTTCAAGATGTGCTACTCCGGCGACGCCTTCTTGACCTTGCGGACGAGGGTTCAAGTAAGTCGTTACTCTCTTCTCTCTCTCCTCTTCTCCCCTTCCCCTCTCTCCCCCCGCCTCTTTCTCCTTTCTTCTTTTTCTTCTGCCCTCTTCTCCCCCCTCCCCCACTGGCCCCATCGGCTGGAGAGGCATGTCGAACGAAAGCGCCTATGGATCCGATCCACCCCCGCCAGTTCTTCTCCCCATGTGCCGACGCTACCGCGAGTGACGTGGTATTGGGTGCTGTCGCGTCGATGCGCCGGGCTCGCCATCACCTACGATGATGCTTCACGGGTTTCCTCGCTCTGCGCCGGTGTCTAGTTTTCATCCCGTGTGGGCTCGGGCTGAGGTTGCACATACACCTGCGCCTCAGAGCGTGCCGTTGCAGTGCGATAAATCCTCCGGAACCCTCGCGCCCAGACTTTGCCGGCCGTGCGCCGGACCCCAATACTTTCTAGAACCTTCGCATCGATCCTGTGCAGAATCAGACCATTAATTGTCTGTTTCGCGCGCCTGTGGAGCTCGTGCATGAATTATCGGAATTAAGGATATGCGGCACAGGGGTTCACGACTTTTGTTTTTTTAATTAAAAATTTTTTGTTTTGCCTCTCGCTCCGAAGCTTCTCCGATTTACACCATCCCGTACTTCCCGTGCTTACGCCACGCCTCGTGGATCATAAGACGGCTAATATCACAACCGCAGGCAAACCCCCTGAACACCTATCTCTCCGCCAAGCCAACCTTCACGTCACCGCAGCCACTTGCGGCTGCGGCCAGCCTAACGATACCTCTGTCCATCACTCTCTCCGAGATCAAGTTGTCGGCTTTCATCATCCTAGTCTTCTCCAAGCAGAAGGGCCTCACCCTTGTTTTCCGAAATGATCCGCTCGAGTCCCTCAAGGTCTCTTCGACCTTCGACTCGATCCAGTTCGTTCGAGACTACCTTCAGAGAACCATTGAAGGCCAGCTTCGAAACCTGATGATGGATGAGCTTCCCGCCATCATCCACAAACTCTCCCTACGCCTCTGGTGTCCCGACCAGCTGCCGAGGGAAGAGCTGATGCCGAAAGAGGGCGCCGAGGATGAAGCTGTCATAGATCCCTTTGCCAACCCTCCCCCGGAAGCCGTGGACTCGAACGGACATGTGCTCGACGCCAACGAGGTGGCCTCGTTGTCTTTGAGCGGCGGTTCGGAGACGCAGTCGCTGTTTTCTCAGAAGAACTTGCTGAGACTGGCGGCCCTGACCGACTCCCAGCGGACCCTATCGCTGTTTACCCCCGGCATCCGCGACGTGATATTCAGGGCGTGGGCCGGGGTAGTGGACCGTCACGAAACGGGATACTCGACGCCAATCTCGCCTCCTAATTTGATGCGCGCACAATCCTTCCAGGGGAGTAGCACCACGTACACTTTCACCGATACAGGAAGCATAGACCAAGGCAGTCTACCTTCCCGACCATCTTTGGCCAGTCTCCACTCGGCTACGACGGGACTGGCCTTGGGCGCCGGTCGACATTCAAGAAGCTCGCGCCGAAAGAAGACACGCGTGGTCAACCTGCGACGCAGCAAAGCTACAAGTGAGTCTAGCAGTGAGCTGAGCGAGAGCGTGTCGGACGTCACTTCCACGGCCAGCCCGTATTCCGACATAATCTTGCCGACTTCGATTCCGGAAGAGCCCGACGAGGACGTGATAGGGCCCGGGGAGGTGGAGGGTAGGATGCGATTCAGGTCCAATAAAAGCGCACTGCCTGCCCGGCCTCCCCTGAATCTGGACATATATAACGACCCGGCGATGGACCACGAGCCTTCGGCCAAGCCGGCCGTCGAGGACGTCCTACAGGTCTCCTCGGCTCAGCCGGACAAGGGTCAGGAAACCTCTCCTACTTTTCCTTCCAAGGGTCTATTCGGGCCAGATCGGTCCCGGCCGATGAGCTCCGAGACGTCGTCCGTCATCCTCGAGCAGGCCTGGATCATGAAGATGGCCGGAGAGATCGCGCGTCGCGTGTACGACGAGAAGCAGCGCAACGCGAAGTTATGGGCCGAGTGCGACGACACTCCTCCCCCGTATCAAGCGACGCAATAGAAGGGCAGCCGGAAGACACGACACAAGCCGATCATGGATACATATTCTTTTTTCGTTTGTCTAAACGGTAGACTGCATATAACGGGCACATGGCGTTACCACAGGATAGTTGCGAAAGCGAGCCAGCGATGGAGATATCCGCGTGTTTCTTGATGTTTAACGCACGGTGGCCGCGGTCAGCAAGCACAGGCGTTTTCTCGGGGTGCCGGGTGCCGGCAGGGCGAACGGGTCTAGAAAAATTATAGGAGCATGCATGTTGAACAATGCGCGGGTCTCGGCGGTGCATCGGGAGGAGGGAAGAGGGTATTGGATAACCAAAAAAAGGGAAGGGAGGATAACGGAAGGTCATGGTGAGAGTTGAGAGGGACCGGGGAAAGGTGGAGGTAACTCGCGGCCTGATCCGGACGGAAATTGCATCAGAACTCTCTCTCTTTTTTTTTTCAAACCCACTTTTTACTCTCTCTTATACCCCTTCTTTCTTCTGTCTCTGCCTTTTTGACACTTTGTTGATGAAATGACGACTCACACACACATTCTCTCTCTCGTTACGAAACGTCTTCCTAGGGGGGGGGGTTCTAGATTGGAGATTGGGGAGCAGACGCAGACAGACAGACAGAACAGACATATAGTGATGACGAGACCAGTACATATTACGGTCTAGAGGGTTGGGGGGGGGGGGGAGGTGGGTTGAGGATTAGGAAGAGCATAGGTGACAAGAAGAGAGAGACGAGTAGAGAAGAGACAAGAAGCAAAGAAAAAGAATGGGGAAGGAGAGAGAGCCGAGAGGGCGGACCATTTTTTGGCGAGCGCAGTCTAACGAGAATGCTAGATTGAATGGAACCAACGTCCGATGACACATAGGACGCCTCCTTCTTGCTCGCTTCCCGCGGTGATCTGGCGTGCCAGTCTCTGGAGATCCTAGGGGCCTACGCCTTACTTACTACCCTCTCTCTCGCAAGCCGATCTTGTATTCACGTATTCACCTTGTGAAGCTGCCTTGTACGAGTAGGCTTGACCTACACCTAGGTAGGTAGGTAGGTAGGTACCGGAGGGAAGAACCGCTCATTACCTACGACACACACACCAACATTTATATATAACACACGTACGTATACGTAGTACGTGTGGTATTGAGGGGGCAAGCAACAGACATAGTCGTAGGTAAACTTGGTATTCGCATTACCCGCGCTGGCACCTGACCAGACAGCGCCTATCCTCGCTGCCGTCGCCGGTCGATGGCTCTGGCCCTGTCCTACCAAATAAATTTAAAAAAAAAAAAAACCGTACAAAAATAAAAAAGAATTCCGCTAGGCGCTTGCGCCGATCACGCAAAACGTACTACTCCGGCGCCGAAGCCGCCCCGTGCTCTCGCGGGGCCCGTCCCCTACGCCCTTTGCCCCTGCGCTTGTTGGCCGCGGCACTTCCCGCGCCTCTTCTGTCTCGCCGCGCCCTAGATTCCGCCCGCGGCGGCGTGCTCCGGCGCTTCCTCCTCGCCTCCGCCTCCTTCTCCCTGCTGCTGCTGCTGCTGCTGCTGCTGCTGCTGCTGCCGCTCTCCGGGGGGCGCGTCGGGACCAGACGAGGGGCCCGCGGCCGCGACCTCGCGGCTGAACACGGCGCGCCGCGCGGCGACGGTGCGGACCAGCCTGGAGTCGACCTTGCCTCTGCGGTGGCGGCGCCTGCCTTGGGCGAGGCGCCCGGCCGCCGTCGCCAGGTTTGCGAGCGCGCGGTGGCTGTCGGCGGCGGCGGCGGCGTCGTCGTCGTCGGGGGGCGCGGCCTTGACGGCGGACGTGGCGTTGCCGCCGCACGCGTCCAGGGCCGCGGCCCAGACGCGCCGCCGGCCTACCGCGCCGGGCGGCAGGACCCGGACCGGCAGGTGCACGCGCGACCGCAGCGGCGCGGGCAGGCGGTCGGGGCGGCTCGTCGTCAGGAGCGCGAGGGGCGGCGGCCGGCGCTGAGCGCCGCCGCCGTCGAGCAGGGCGAAGAGCCGGCCGAGCGACGGCCCCGAGCTTAGCCACGGCAGCAGGTCGACGTCGTCGAGCAGTAGCACGGCGCCCTACCGCGCGCAGAGCTCGCCGACGTACGACAGGCCCGCCAACGAGCGCGGGGAGCTGGGCGTCGCAAAGTCCGCTGGCGAGAAGGTGAGGAGCGGCCGCCGGGCGGCCTCCGCGATGGCGGAGGCGAGTTTCGTTTTGCCCACGCCTTGAGGGCCGCTGCGCGTCGAGGGTTAGTAGTGGTTGTCGCGAGAGGTATGTGGTCATCGGGGGGTCGTTGAAGTATAGGTAGGTAATGTGCGGGGGTGTCAAGGGGCAGGGAGAGGACACTTACTACAGTAGGCAGACTGTACTCGGGTCCTTGTACTCGACGACAATGTCGTCGTCGTTGCCGTCGTCGTCGTCGTCGTCGTCGTCGTCATCGTTGTCGCTGTCATCGTCGTGGTTGTGGCGACGTCTCGCGTACGCGGCGACGAGGAGCCTGACGACCTTCCTTACCTTGGTCTTTAGCACGAGCTTCTCGATCCCGCGCACGTTCCACTTGATGGGCTGGACGTTTTCGACATAGAAGTCGAAGAACGCCTTCTCCTCGAGCGAATATCCGCGTACCATCGACGCCGCGACCAGCGCGTCGTCGTCGTTCAGCTCACCGTTGGCAGCAATGCTGGAGGTCGACGGCTCGGTGACGCGGAACGCGGTGCCCGGCTCGAAGCGATGGCACGCTGCGGGGTCAAGAATGATGCGGCCCTGCACATGGACTGGCGGACGGCGGCTGCGGCCGGCCCCTAGCGGGAAGGCCGGCCCGTCGTACTCGGCGCAGCGCCGCCCGATGAACCGGCCAAACTTGCGGCCGCGTTCGATGAGCTTGTCGCGGACGATATTGGGCCCGTAATTGGGGTATAATTGAAGTGGCACGACGCTTAGCTTGTCGAAGGGTAACGTTCCCGGATAGTAGGAAACGGTGAAGGGCGCGTGGCGGATGCCGCGGTTCTCGCCGTCGAAATCGATGAACTGGGCATCGATATGCAGGTTTTTTTTCTCGCCGCTCATCATGTACAGGGCGACATGGACACGGAAGCCGCAGCGCCGGCCGTCAATGTCGACGCACACGACTTCGCCGGGGGCGAAGTGCGTCCACAGCTGATCGAAGGTAATGGATTGGGCGCGGCCGTCTATGCGGCGGGTGTAGTCGCGGATCTCGCGCGCGAAATACGTGTCGATCCATGTCGTGAGGAGGTTGAGGTGGGAAGTTGAGTCGTTGTCGTTGATGAAGTTGAGGCCGCCTGCGAGCTCGAGCTCGCGGCGCTTATGGAACAGCGGGAAGTAGGGCTCGGTGAACCAGACGTGGTCGTTGTCCAGGGGGACCGGGTAGTTGCGCATGACGTCTCGGCAGAGGTTCTGTAGCGGCTCGGGCTGCACGTACAGGCGGCTCGTCTCGAGTTTCAACGCCGCGTCGAAGCTGCGCACGAAGCACAACGCGTAACTCTGCCAGTCTGGCGGAAATTGCGAGAGCGGCAAGGCCGCCGCAAAGCTCGGCCCGTCCTTCTCATTGACGACTTTTACGTACCTCACCTCCAGCTGGATGGGGGCGGCCTGCGGCTGGATGGGGGCGGCCTCCGGCTGGATAGGGACGGCCTCCGGCTGGATGGAGACGGCCTCCTGCTGGGTAGGGACGGCCTCTTGCTGGATAGGGACGGCCTCCGGCTGGATGGAGACGGCCTCCTGCTGGATGGAGACGGCCTCCTGCTGGGTAGGGACGGCCTCTTGTTGGATAGGAACGGCCTCTTGCTGGATAGGGACGGCCTCTTGCTGGATAGGGACGGCCTCTTGTTGGATAGGGACGGCCTCCTGCTGGATAGGGACGGCCTCCTGCTGCTCCTCGGACTGCATGAGGCCACCAACGGCTGGCAGAATCTCCCCGGGTGTATATTCCTCCACGACGGGGCCTTGATCCTCAGCGGCTGGCTCGTCATTATTCGCTGCCTCATTCTCCGCAACAGGCCCTTCACCCTCCGGTGCGGGTTGAGCTTCGAGGGGTGTTTCGCCGTTCGCGTATCGCTTGAAACGCTTTTTCACCCAAAGCTTTATACTGTGTCTTATTGACGTGGACATCTTGGAGATACCTGAAGCGGGCAGTGAGGGGAGGTTATATATATAAGCAACTCTCCCGGATGGGTTGGTATGCAGGTAGGTGATGTTTTGTCCCTGAGATGGGACACACGGCGTATAAATGATTGCGAAGGGAGAGGCTAGCAGTGAGGATAGTAGTGATAGTCTGTAGAGCAGTGTTATGAAATTGGAAAAGAAGAGGACAAACTTGGGACCAAGATGGCGGGAGGGTTGAGGGAAGGGAGCCCAGTGTGTACAAGGGCTATAGCTGCCTAGTCTATGGGAGTTTTCCAGCTGGCAATGGTTTAAGGAGGTTGCTATCGAGACGCGAAGGCTGCCTTCGCCGGGAGTAGGGGGGAAGGGGGGAAGGAAGCCAATCTCATACGTCAATGGCCCGCGCCGAGGGCGCTCGAACGAGATGCATTCCGGCGGTAGCGACATGCCTAACCACGAAGGGGTGAGATTGGTGGTTACGTTAGGAGATGAATAGGGGAAACTCTTCCCGCCTGGCAGTGGCACGGGGAGGAAACGGGTCACAGCTTGGACCTCACAGCACGTGTCTTGACAAGGGCCTGCCCGATATACCTTCGTAGATACCAACTTCTAGGCTTGTGTGGTCCGTAAGGTAGTTGTACATGTCTGATCCAACTTCGATGCCTAACCCTGGCCCGTGCTCCCTAAGCCGGTAGGCATTCCCGGTCGTCCTCCGCCTCCGAGGAGGTATGTGTCAAATAGCAAGTCTAACCGCCCCAAAGCGGAGAAGAAATTATGCCATTTCGGGTATCGAAACGAAATCTCCTGTTGCGCGTCTTATTACCTACCTTAGGTAAGCCTTATAGTAAACAAGCACCTGGGAAGACCTCAGAGGGCATTCCCTTATGGAGATCGTGCCCGGGGACAGGCTTTCCAACATCTGGGAGGCGTGGTGGGACTACTCTGTCCTGGGCCCGGCTTTGCACGGGGAGAGAGCTATGAGAGGGAATCTGCTATGCTCCGGCGCTTACTGTGCCTTGTCTTTGCCCAGGCCACCCAATGCGTAGATAAGTTCCGAGAGGCCTCAGACAAGGGAGGCTAGGGATAAACAAGGTCGGGGCAAAAGGCTGCGAATCGAAAGCCGTTGTTGTTCATACCTACAATCCGATGCAGGATGCAGGGCACGTGAGGTGCAAGTAGTAGGTAAGTAGGTACAAGAGACGGGAATAAAGCACGACGGCAACGATAGTAATACGGACGACGAACATCACGATGCTATGAAGCAGTGTGTGTCTATGCGTGTATTGGGTTACTCGCTAAGCTCCTCGTATGGTGTTGTGGGAGCTTTATCGATCCTTATCGGGGTCTCGTCGCCACAGTGGACCCACAAGTGCTTTGGCCAATAATATACGCCGAGAGCGCCAAGCGGCCTGCCATTTCTCAGCCTCATCTTTGTCAACGAGGCTTGTGGACTTTTCCTGTTCTCTTGCCGTCCATCTAATCCATCCCCCCTTCATCAATGGCTTCCTATCAACGGCATCTCTTTTAATACTCGCCGTAACAACGCAGGCGCCCTTTTTTCATGTCATCTGCCCCCCGCTGCCTACTGCCCCGGTTCTTTAGGTCCCTCCCACAGTCGTCTCCAGCCGGAGATGACTTCTGGATATCTCGAGTCATTCCCTTGTTTGTGACCTCATCGCGTGTTTCCCGTCCCGTTTTCATCGTGTACTCCTGGTACCATCGACCGACCTATTTCCGCCGTTATCCCCGCCTCCCTCGCCGAAATCCTCTCGCTGTCCTCGGCCCCTATTTGCCCCTCCTACGATGGCCGCGACTCGGAACGGCCACGCGAATGGCGCCGCGGATGGCGTCGCGTCGTCCGTACCCATCAGCAAGCGATTCTCCGACATCCCTAGCGCCATCGATATCCCGGTCCAGGGTGACCAAGAAGATGAGGCTGTCGAGATTGATTTGGAAGACCTCGTCGATGACCCGACCGAGCTATGTACACTCTTCGAGAACGAGCGTGCGGCGCGTACCTATTGGATGACCGTTTCCCTCGCGTATGCGAAGCAAAAGAAGATTGATCATGCGATTGAGATGCTCAACCGGGGTGGAAATGCTATGCAGGACAACAATCCCAAGGAGAGGCTTAGCATTGTCACCTGCCTGTGCTGGATGTACCTCTGGAAAAGCCGCGAAGCCCCTCGGGTCGCCCCCGAGGGGACCCTCCTCTCGGACGCCAAGACCAAAGATTACTACCTGCAACAGGCCACCTCTTCCCTGAACGAAGCGTCGCGCATTAATCCTGCGTTCCCCCCGCTCTTCCTGGCCCGCGGCGTGCTACAACTCTTAAAAGCGTCGCTCCAGGCGCCGTCGAAGGCTCCGGGATCCGGCCACATCGAGCAGGATAAAGCCGATCTGCTGAAGAGCGCCTTGAAGGCATTTGACCAGGCGACTAAAGTCTCGCAAGGCAAAAACATGCTGGCCGCTCTGGGGAGGGCCAGGGCCTTGTTTGGACTGGGGAATTACAAGGAAGCCCTCGAGGCTTACCAGGGTGTCTTGAGAAGGATGCCCGACTTAGTGGACCCCGATCCTAGAATAGGCATTGGGTGTTGCTTCTGGCAGATGCGGCATAAGGAGAACGCGAAGACGGCCTGGGAGAGATGTCTAGAGATCAACCCGGACTCGAAAACCGCCAACATTCTCCTGGGCCTTTACTATCTAGATGCGAGCGGCCGCGTTCCTACGAATAGTCCCGAGTTCATCCGACTTTACAAGAAGGCCATGACCGAGTACACCCAAAAGTCCTTCAAGGTGGACAAGAACCAACCGTTGACATGTGCGACCTTCGCTGGCTATTTCCTGTCAAGCAAAAACCTCTCCCACGTGGACTCTCTGGCCAACAAGGCCATACAATACACCGACGTCAACGCGATCGCAAGTGATGGCTGGTATCTACTTGCGCGGAAAGAGCATTTCAACAGCAATGTTGAAGCGGCCACCGACTACTACCGCCGAGCAGATGAAGCGAGGGGCGGGTTGGAGAGAGGCTACCTGCCTGCCAAGTTTGGTGTTGCTCAACTTTCCGTCTTGAACAACGATCTGGGCGAAGCGAAGCTGCGACTCGAGAAGATTATTCAGTCGTCTAACAATAACGAACGGAACTACGAAGCCATGATCCTCCTGGGCACATTATACGCCGAGGAAGTGTTCGCAAATCTGCAGACCGGCGCCAAGGAAAACAAGACCGCGGAAATGCGCAAGGCTGTCGATTACCTGGAGAAGGTTAGCGCAGCCTGGAAGGATCCCCAGAAGAACTTGTCGCCGGATCCGGCGATTCTACTAAACCTTGCGCGCCTCTACGAGAGCGACCAGCCAGACAAGGCCCTTGAATGTCTCCTGCAGGTCGAGAAGCTCGAGTTGGACCAAATTCCGTCTTCGGAATACCCGGCTGGAATCGAGGATGAAGCGGCTCTACGCAACGCCTTGCGCAAAAACCTCCCCCCACAGCTCTTGAACAACATCGGATGTTTCTACTCCCAAGCTGAGAATCACAATTCGGCGAGTCAAATGTTCGAAGCCGCCTTGGGCTCTTGCATGCGAATCGGCGAAAAGGGCGAGGACATAGACACAGACGCTCTGGTTACCACCATCAGCTTCAACCTCGGCAGAAGCTACGAGTCTCAGGGCCTCACCGACCAAGCTGTTGAGGTGTATGAGAAGCTAGTGGCACGTCACGACGACTACACAGATGCCAAAGTGCGACTGGCATATATCAAATTGCGCAAGAACCCGAATAAAGAGGGGCCAGACACTGTCGCCAAGTTATACCAGGAGAACTCGTCTGACCTCGAAGTCCGCGCCCTGTACGGCTGGTATCTCGGTCGAATGAGCTCTCGGAAGAAGTCGGGCAATGTTAACGAGGACCCTGAGCTACGCCATTACAAACACACCCTCCAAAACTACGACAAACATGACCGCTACGCACTTGTTGGTATGGGCAATCTATATGATGGCTGCTCGCGAGATGCGCCGAGACACCGAGCAAGAGAAGCAGAAGCGCTCAGCAGGGTACACCCGCGCCGTAGAGTTCTTCGATAAAGCGCTGCAACTGGATCCGAAGAATGCTCACGCAGCCCAGGGCATCGCGATTGCGCTTGCCGAGGACAAGAAAGATTACAGGACCGCGCTGCGCATACTCCTGCAAGTCCGAGATACTGTTAAAGACCCCAGCGTCTACGTCAACATCGGACACTTACAAGCAGAGCTGCGTCAGTTTTCGCGGGCGATCGAGAGCTACGAGATTGCGTTGTCAAAAGAGGGCAAGGGGAATGATCCAAGCATATTGGCGTGCCTCGGCCGGGCGTGGTTGAATAGGGGTAGGCAGGAGCGAAGTCTGGATGCTTACAAGAACGCGCTCAACTTTGCTAAGAAGGTGAGAAGATTTAGCCCGGGAACTACGCCGTAATAAAACTGACCTGAGTTTCGATAGGCGCTTGAGGCCTCTCCGGACCAGGTCCACTTCAAGTTCAACGTCGCGTTCGTTCAGATCCAGCAAGTTCAGCACATTATGAATGTGCCCGAGACCCAGCGCACGCTCGTCCAGCTTGAAGAGGCCTCAGAAGGGCTCGAAGCCGCCATCGTTGGCCTTGACGAGCTAGCTACCCACCCCCAACCGCCATACCCAAAGGCGGATCTCGAGCAGCGAGCTAACATGGCTCGCAATACGCAACGCAAACAGCTCGGTCGACAAATAGAGAGCCAGAAGGAGTATGAGGAGAAAAACAAGGAGAAGCTCGCCGCGGCTCTAGAACAGCGGCAGGCAGAATTAAAGCGTCGCGAAGAGGAGCGTCAGAAGGCTATTGCGCAAGAGCGAGAGCGACAGGAAAAGATCCAGAAGGAACGTGACGAGATCCTTGCTCGTGATAGAGAGCTTGCGGAACAGCGAGCCGAAGAAGAGAGGACACGCCAAGCTGCCGAAATGACTACGGACAGCGAGACGGGCGAGAAAATTAAGAGGAAGCGAAAGCCAAAGTCGAGCGGCGAGCCCAAACCTAAGAGTCGCCCGAAGAAGAAGAAGGATGACGGCGACGAGTCCGAGGAGGAACGTCAGCCAAAGAAGAAACGCAAGCTCGCTTCTAAGAAGGAGTCGGCGAAGTACAAGTCGGCGGAGATCGTAGTTGATAGCTCTGACGACGATTACGACGCCCTGGAGCGTGCAGAAAGAGCCATTTCGGGTCGCCGCTCGTCTCCTTCGGACGGCGAAGACGCATGGAAAGCCGACAACGGGGACGGGATGGATCTAGACAATACTGCGAAGCAGAACGAGGACGAGGACGAAGATGAGGAAGTGACTACCACCCGCGCGCCCACCAAACGCGCCCGGCGCGGCAGAGTCTTAGATGATAGTGATGACGAAGAGGATGCGGAACGAAGAGGGCGCCACTCGAGCCCCAACGGCCATTCGAATGTGGGCGGGGCCGATACCAGTATGGCAGATGCAGCGGACGACGACGACGAAGACTAGGCCAACCAGCCGTTGTATAATATTGGTCGACATGTATAAGGTATGCGTTTGATATCAGTTTGCCCTCCAGAGGTCTGTTTTTACTACTCACAAGACTGGATGAAGATAAAGGCGGACTGCAAAACCCGCTCGTAGATCAAGGATGATGCCGGTGCCCATTGGACTGTCCGCATAGATGAGAGATGTTGGTCGACCCTCGGACAATCAAACTCGAACTAGCTCCTGGGCAACGACAACCACCGACGCAATAGAGCAGTAAAACGACGTAGCGTATCCCGGCGCAATTTACAGCTTAATATATATATTACTATGTAGCCAGTTGACTGTTTGTTGGGCACCGACGTTGATAGTCGGTGTGATGGCACTATGACTATGTTGCTAGTTAGCTATATAGCTGTACGGTTTCCCCCTTTGCAAGGGGGACGTTGTTGAGCGAAGCAAGGGAGCCACTGAAGCGTATAGACGACTGATTGCCTGTACGATCTGCTTGAAGGGGGAAGCGAAATTGCTGTATTAGTCTTTCGAGAGAGATTGTCTGTGTGTGTGTGCTCGCTCGCGAATGGGTCATATTTGCCACGTTAGAATACCGGCATACTGTCAAGGGAAGGATCGCGACAAAATTTCCAACGATAATACGAGTAGGTAAATAGATCGTTGACATTAGGAAGATTGCGTCAAGACCGAACTAGACCGAGTAATATACATATTGCTGCTCTACAAGACATCCCAGTTCCGCGACATGCCGAATAACCTAGGGCCTAACTGCCGAAGCACGACACTATCTGCTCCCTCATCGAAACCACCTCTACTTCGCGGAAGGGACAGGAAGGGGTTCCAGCACGTCGTAGCCCTGGGTAGCGTAGCCGGTGAAGAACTCGACGCGATGTCCGTTGGCGTCGGGGGGCACCTTGCGGGTGCGCTCGTAGCCGATGGCGAGGCGAACGAAGCTCTCGGGGTTGCGGATGGCCTGGCTGAAATGGGCGCCGAGGATGGAGCCGGTGTCGTAGAACTCTCCACCGTCAGGGTAGGTGGATTCGGAGCCGAGAACGAGGTGGAAGAGCTCGTGGAAAAAGACGTAGACGCTGGGGCGCAGGGTGGCAATGTCCTGGAGCGCGGGGTCGAACGGGTTCTGGGCGACTTTGGATAGCGGCACCGGTTGTAGCAGTGTTGAGTCGAGGTCTTGGTATTCCCATCGCCGCCACCGCCGGCCCTGCCCGAATGCGGATGGGCAAATTGTCAACGACGAGTATCCGGCCCCAGTCCAGTGGATGGTCACTGCGGCAATGTTTCCAGTAGTTAGCCTGGGCGTTCTCCTGACTGCGTAGGCGCTGGCCAGCCTTACGAGCCCCCCGTCCGATGGGTCGCAAGGAGGGTGCTTGTGGCTAATGCCAACAGGGCGGCGAGGTGATAGATAAGTTTGGCTGTTGGTTTCTCTGCTTCCCCCTCCCCGTTCTATTGAACAGTCACTTACTTCCATGCATTTCTGAGTTCTCGCAGAACCCGTAATAAATACTACTGAGTCCGTATTTCTGGTCGACAAAATACGAGCGGGTGTTCAAGTTTAAATACTTCGTAGACACATCAGTTAGCATAGATACCACGTTTTGTATATATGTATGGGCTTTCGTTGAACATACTACGGCAAGCTGATTTGGGAGAATCCCCAACTGTTCGGATTTGGCTTGTAGGTCGCCTAACACACCGGGAATATCCATAACCTGGATGGGGTTGCCGTAAAGGTCATTTAGTCCATTGAGCTCCGCGTCCACGGCATTGTCGTGCAACTTTTTTTTCTCGGCCCAGCTGTCGTCGCAAAACAGCCTGGCTTCATTGTGCTGGCGGTCGTTGACCGGACCGCCGTCCTTGAGCCAGTCTCGCACTTTACTGAACTGTACTGTGACTCAAGCGTGAGCCCCTTTCTCCCCCCCGAGTTTCTACCGTGTCTCATCCAACCCCGAGAGGGGTTGGTTGGCATAGATGACTGGTTCTTCCGGGACGCGACGAAATGAAAGGCAACTTACTCCTGATCTGGTAAAGTTCTTGTATGAGTTGGGGTTTGAAGAAACTATCGATGATCCGCGTGGCTTCAGGCGTGTCCGAGCCGCCGTAGTCATTGATCGCCCGGACTCCCGTATTAGCCAAGACCAGCGAATCCTCGACCAGCCTGTCTAACTTTGACAGGCCGACATACCAACAACCCCCTTCCTTGTTACTATCCATTTTGAACGTGAATAGGTCTTGGGCTTTTTTTTCGGCGAAGGCCTGGGCTGCCAGGCCTAGGAATGAGAACATAGTACACCGAAGAAAATGCATTGCGATGATCCTGGGGGCTCCCGCTTCATAGAACGGTTATTATTCAGATGCAGGTGGCTCGGGAGAAGGCTGGAAAGGGGTGCCGAAACTACAGTATGATCCAAACCCCCAAGCTGCCGGGAGAGGATGAGTTAGTCGTCGCTTATTAGGCTAATAGTTTGGCGTTAAATGCGAGGAAGGAAGAGTAGTTCTAGGAGGCGCGGCTACATTTATATATGTAAGGAAAATTGCATCCGTATCCTTTTGAAGGTGGAGATGAGATCGATCCGCTCCGATATACCTAAGGATTAGAGAAGCACGGGGGTACGGCGAAAGGTAAGTCTACCAACATGGGTTACTGTTGGGCGTTGAGAATATAATACCTCACGGGGGGCTATCGTTCCGACAGCGTGGATGCGGACATCATGATGTTGGAGATTGTAAATTAATATTTATACTAGCATCGATCGCGGATATATTATATTGTGGCAAACATCGTGGGCCGTACCGGGTTCTTGTGCCTACGCAGTTTAGTTCTCTCTACTCATAGTAGCCGTTATGAGATTCCTTCTAATATCGACTTGTGTTTTTTTTTTTTAAATATATATATGTATCTGAAGGGTCTCTCTCCTTTTCTACCTTTTGCGTTCCATCTCCCTCCCTAGACAAAGGTAAAGCTCTATTTAGTTTGTGCTTTGCACGTTGAGTTCTATTTCCTCCTATAATCAGCCGAAAATGGCTCTGCTAGCTTCGGTGGCTCTCCTAGCCTCTACCGCCTTATGTACTCTAACGCCCTTTCGATCCGATAATCTTCATGGATTGACTGGGCAATTACCAGTTGGCCCTCCCCAGGTATGTCGTGGACTCTCAGTTCGTGGGAACTTATAGAGTGAGCTGCTGAGCATGTATAGCCGGTTCCTGATTATGCGAGGGACAACACAAACAACAAGTTCGGCGCTGCGCCGGACAAGGGCGTCCTGAAGGGACCTCTACTTGGCCCTCTTGATTACTATACCATCCACAACCTCCACAAGAATGTGCCCTGGCTTTCAAAGATACCGGGAAATGCCACCGGGAGCCAGGCCCCGGCGGATATTCCCAAGGATGAGTTCTGGCTTGCAGACGTTGGGCACAACGGTCAAATGCCTTTTGCTCCATCTGGCTATCAGTTCTTCCGAAACGTGCGGGACTTTGGCGCTGTCGGAGACGGTGTCACTGATGACACCGCTGCCATCAACCGAGCAGCTTCTGCTATGAGCAAGGACAACCTTGGGGAAACTCGCTGTGACGCGGACTGTGGCTCGACAACGACGCTGGGGGCTCTTGTGTATTTCCCTCCGGGTGTGTACCTCATCTCCAGCCCAGTTATTCAATATTACTACACCCAGTTTGTGGGAAACCCGACAAACCGGCCGGTAATCAAGGGGGCCGCGAACTTCAGTGGCATCGCGTTGATCGACGGCAATAAGTATATACCCAACGGCGGCGGCCGCCAGTGGTATCTCAACCAGAGCAATTTCTTGCGCCAGGTCCGGAACCTATTCTTTGACTTAACCGAGATGCCTAGTGAGAACTGGGAGGGCGACCAGAAATATGTGCCGACGGGAATTCACTGGCAGGTCGGACAAGGAACTAGTATTACCAACTGCTTCTTCGATATGCCTATCGCAGACCATCCCGGTGGTACTACAGCGATCGGCATCATGAGTATGTTCGACAATTGCACCCCCATACTTCTCCCCGTTTCCCCCTCCTTTGATGAAACATATACTGACTCTTATCGCCACAGTGGAGAACGGCAGTGGTGGTGTAATCAGTGGTGTGGATTTCCGAGGTGGGAACGTCGGCTTCTTTGCTGGAAGCCAGCAATTCACCGCAACCAATTTGAGGTTCGTCTCGTGCCTCACTGCTATCAAGCATCCGTGGAACTGGGGCTTCCTGTGGAAGGGCATTTCGATTTCTTCCTGTATAGTTGCGTTCGACTGCTCCAGCTACAGCGGTGGCATAAACCAAAATACTGGTTTAATTACCGTTCTGGACTCGGAATTCGAGAATACACCCACGGGCATTCTAGTGCCGGAGGATGTTGACCAGCGGCCAAACATAGTCCTGGACAACTTGCGAGTGGCCAATTCCACGTCTGTGGTGCAAGTCCAGGATGGTGATGCTATCCTACCCGGGTCGGTTGATGAGCTTTACCTCGCATCCTGGGCCACCGGATATCAATTCACCCCTGGGGGTTCGGGATCGAAGCGGACCGGCTTCGTCACCCCACCTACAAATAAGCCCGAGATACTCTTGGGCGACACGGGCGGCTTCTACTTGCGGGAGAGACCCGACTATGAGAGGGAAAATATCGTAGTCGCTACGGACCACGGAGTTGCTAACGATGCCACCGGCGACCAGACGGATGCCATAAACACGCTGCTCTCACAAAACATAGGCTCGGTCATCTACTTCCCGGCTGGCGTCTATATCGTGCTTCACACCGTAGAAATCCCCGTCGGTTCTAGGATCATTGGGTCGGGCTGGAGTCAGATCATGGGCTCGGGCGAATTTTTCTTAGATGACCATAGCCCACAGGTGATGATCCGAGTCGGCAAAGAGGGCGACTCGGGGGTCATCGAGATTTCCGACATGATGTTCACCGTCAAGGACGGGTCCGCCGGCTGTGTCCTCGTGGAGTGGAACGTGCACGAGTCGCAGCAGGGCTCGGCTGCCATGTGGGATAGTCACTTCCGCGTCGGCGGCGCCGCGGGAACCGGCTTACAGGCGGCGGACTGCCCGCCTTACGCGAGCGTGGCCGAACGCAAGTGCATGGCGGCGGCTATGCTGATGCACATCACCAGGCAGGCGTCCGGTTACTTTGATAACCTGTGGCTCTGGGTAGCCGACCACGACCTAGACAACCTGGCTAACGCCGACTCGTACGAAAGCAACGAGGGCATCCCGGTAAATGCCAATCAGACTCAGATTTCCATCTACGCCGGACGAGGGATGCTGATCGAGTCGCAAGGCCCTGTCTGGCTGTACGGAACGGCCAGCGAACACGCCCAGTTGTACCAGTTCTCGCTGAGCAATGCTGCCAATATCTATATGGGTCACATCCAGACCGAGACGCCGTATTACCAACCAAACCCCCCTGCAGCGCAGCCGTACGTCTCCTTCGGCGACGGTTCGTTCCCCGGCGATCCGCTGTTCAATGACTGTAAGGACACCATGTGCAAGACGGCTTGGGGGCTGCGCATCATTAACTCGACTGACATCATCGTGTACTCGGCCGGCTTCTACTCATTCTTTAACAATAACACGCTGGGGTGTTCGGACACGGAGTCCTGCCAGCTTGCGTTGATCGAGACGAACTACTCCGAGCGGCTGTGGCTGTACAACATTTTCACCAAGGGCAACGTCCAAATAATTACCCCAAGAGGCGATGGAATGATGCCCCTGTTATTTAACGATACGACCAGACGTGGCTACACGAGCGAAACTGCCGCCTGGCTTGTCCTCTCAGTCAATGGAGCTGATAAAGGGGTCGACCCCACGGCAGATGAGATCTCGGGTGGTGTCCTCATCGACCCAGGCATATGGAGACCGGGCGAATCTGACGAATCGGGCACGATAAACTGTAGTCCTCCTTGCGTCTACGTCCTGCCACCCGTTACCCTGTCCTCGCTGACCACGATTACCTTCCCTCCCTCTACAACTTCCCTGGAAGTTGGCTGGATCACGCCCACGTTCTACACGGGCAACGACGACGAAACAACTAGCACGGATGAGTACACTAGTATAACTGTTACGACGGTCCTCTCGATACCAGCCCTGACGACGTCTATAATTCCCCTGTCCAATGTTCCCATCCCGCCGGGTGTCGACTCGTCCATTATTCAACCGGTACCGAGCATCGTTCCCCCCCCGTTCGTCATCACCGACAATCCGGACCCCGAGAGTGACGGCGCATCGCACCCTCTCAACACGCGTACAATCACGCCGACGGCTTGGCCCTGGAACACCGTCCAACCCGCACCAGCCTCCCAGAGCGAATATTCCTCTTCGACGCCCCCTTCTGGTGCGACGGGCCCTAGCTCAACGATCCCACCTCCTACAAGCACATCGGACGTGCCGAATTCTTCCTCGACGAGCAGTAGCTTCATCATAATCCCCCCGATAGTGATAACCCACACCTCCGGGGCGGCAGGGCCCCTCTGCACCGGAGGCTGCGGTAAGCCGGTTAAGCCGTGCGTGCCGTGGGAGAATACTAAGGAATGCGGCCCGAAGGAGTGCGGCGAAGAGTGTGTCTTAGACGGGGAGGACTGTAGCGGCGACCATTGCGTCGAGGGCAACGACTGCGACGGGGGCGACTGCACGAAGGGCGGCGACTGCACCGGCCCGGGCTGCAAGCGCGGCGGCGATTGCTGGGGCCCCAACTGCGAGAGCGGCGGCGGATGCTCCGGCGCCAACTGCGACCACGCCGGCAGCTGCTGGGGCCCGAAATGCCATCAGGGCGGCGAGTGCGTCGGCCCGAGATGCCGCCACGGCGGCGGGTGCGTTGGTATCCTGTGCAACCACGGCGGGGGCTGCTTCGGCCCGCTGTGCACGACGGGTGGCGGGTGCGGCCCGCTCTTGTGCCCACCGGGAGAGTGCAAGGGGCTGCTGTGCGGGTCGGGGGGCGGCGGCGACTTTCAGGACTCGAACGACCCGAACGTGCCTCGGCCGGCGGACCCGGACGAGTGCACGACGCGGACGTACAGCTCGTGCCGGACCGCGTGCCTGGCATCGGCGACCCAGCCATGCACGTCGACCTGCCGAAACGTGGTCGGGTGCGACACGACGGGCACGAGCTACGCGTCGACGGTGACGCCGGCGCCGATCGTCGACTTCGACGGGGGCGAGTCGTGGGACCAGCGCGGGAACGACAGGGACACGTTCAACTCGGCCCAGGCGGTCATCAGAGACCTCGGCAGCAAGGGAGACTTCAAGGGCGACCTCGACGGGTCGGCGACGGCGACGAGGGCGCCGCCGGAATCCGGCTGGCTGCAGGCGGAGTGGGTGCCGAACCCGACGCAGCAGGGGAAGTGCCAGTGGGTGTTCTTCATGGTGGGCGAGGGAGAATCGGTCGACGTCTGCAACGACATACCCCTAAACTCGTTCTACGTGCCCTGCGACAAAGAAACCAAGCTTCCGTATCTAAGCTTCACCCTCTACAACGCTTTCGGCGGCCAGACTTGCTACTACTCAAGCACCGGTGTTGACGCAGGATTTGTGGGTTGTCCCGGCAACCTAAACCCGTCAATGTGCCAGGAGGCGCCCAACAACACGGTGACTTGCAACCTGTGGTCGACCTTTAGAGATAGTGTCATTTGCAAGTACCCGTAACCGGGTGAGTTCATGGGTGGTGGCCGGGCTCATTGCTGGCGGGGCCAGGACAAACGGGTGCAAAAGGGAGAGGAGATCGAGGAGGGCATAAACACACAGTGTGGTGTTGGCATGTGATATTTCCGAGTTTTGGACGCAGGTTCACGTGTATTAGGAAGCAGGTATGAGCAAGTGTAGGTGAAGATAATGGCCTGGTGTAATAGTCCGCTGCGTTGACGGTCCCAGTGTAAGGGAGACGGGGGAAAGGAGGAGTTCTGATGAGTGATGTTTTTGACTAACTGCTTCGTCTGGTCTGGGTAGCCTTTGACTAGCCAACCTGATTATACCACGTGCTTCCGACGTCTGATCACTTGCCGCCACTATAAATGCACGTATGCCAGCTCTGCACACTCAAACCTTCCTCCTCCCTCCTCCCACCCAGATCTCTCCCACCCAGATCTCTCCCACCTAGATCTCTCCGACCAATATCATCATATCTAACCTTCAACCGCAATCACCGGACACGCCTGGAATAGCTCCAGGATATAGACACTTGAATCGTTGGCGGTGGCCATCAGACAATGCCCGTCCTACACAAGGAGTATCATCAGGTACGCCATCGAAACCCTGTCGCTACAGTTCTGTTTTTATGCCGCCGCATCGCTGACGTTTAACCCTATTATTATCACAGCCGGCGACAATTAAGCGGTATATCAAGAATGAACGAAACAACCGCACAAAGCGGTTTGTCATCGATAAGGTTATAAAACGGGCGCCCTTTATCTCCGACCGAACGACGACCTGTTGAATGCGCATCGCGAGGGGGGTGATTCGAGAATATCTGTATCGTTAGCCGGCCGAAGGGGTGAGGGCTGCCCCCCGCACCGCGTGATCAGCCGGATTCACGTCGAACACACTCTCTCAACTTAGCCCAGAATCAGCATCCTTACAGTAGCCATTCTACGACCCGAGAATTGCCCATGTGTGAGTGTGTCTGGGGCGACCCAGACACAGGGCCAGCGGTTAGGTAGGTACACGCTAAAGCCGGACTCTTTACGCAAAACAATTCCGTACAGCGCTTGACGACGTGCGTCTCTATACGTACCCATACGTTAGGTCCCTAAAGCCCACTAACCCGTATTCATAGTTAACAGAGGTTCCAGGCTCGATATATTTCGAGGGCCTTCGTACCTATCAAGGCGTGTTATATACCTACGACATATAAAGAGGCATGTAAAGCTCGCGGACTCCTTCGTGAGGCCGTATACTGCCTAACATATCTGTACCAACACCTATGGAATGGCCGGCAACGGCCCGAGCCGTGGCAGCAAGCGCGCCAAGATAGCTTACCCAGCACGCGAAGTTACGAAAGAGAACTACAAAGAAATCTACCGCACGATCACGGCTGCCCAGTGGCAGGCGATAGGTTTGTTTCACACAGAGCAGTAAAGTATTTTACGGCCACTAACATAATCGTATAGCCAGTCACGCATCCGAGGAAGCCCACCGCAAGTCGCGCAAGGCTTGGGGAAGGTTGGTGGGGGGGGCGAGTTGGCTTGGATGTAATATGTGAGTAGCCCCTTCGAGCGATTGGTCCTGCGCTGTGAGCTAACGGATTCCAGCCGTCCGTAACCGTACCGCAAGTCACGAAGGAGAATTACCGTGACACAGGCCAGACACAAGACCGGCAAGAGTTTTCTCGTGTCAAGACTATACATACCAGCATGTAAAGGCGCCCCTTCGCGTATAGCCCCATCATAGGTACGTTAGAGCATCTGTTGCCGTAGGTACGTTTCAATACGGTCGCGCACGATATCGGGCCGTGTCGTCACTCGAAGCTAACTTATGGTGGGCCTCCGGCTCTGTACGTGCCTGCGATACACCTGATCGTGACGTACCTACATCAAAGCCTTCGATAGCTGCCGCGTATGTACCTACCTTTGTATTACTCCCGTGGTACTATTAGCTGACCGGATTAGTTTGGTGTGAATCGCTTGTTAGCATGATGCGTAAGCTCCTAGAGCTATTTTACGACGATGGGAAGGTCCCGGCTTGGCCGGCGACCGACGCCTCCCGCCGTAGGGAGCACGCTGCTGCGAGCCCCTCTGGTCCCGGTATGCCACCGCCATTTAGAAACACGCCGCTGTTGCCCTAGATGGAAGCGGAAAAGTCCACCGCCTCCGGAGGTCGGCGCTAGACACCACGGCTACTGATACAGCTGTCGGTGCTAACCTCGGAGAGGATTGTCGATTCCTATGGGAGACGAGGGGAGCGGTTGTCAGAACCCCCAAAACCTGGGTCTCGGGAGGGTGACGGTATCTCTACTACATCGACCGCTTATCATAGTTGCCGAAAGACGCGGCGTATGGTATCGCGTAGGAAACGCACATACAAGCCCACATATCTAAACGGGGAAATGTAGGCGTCTATACATAGTAGATGGTAAAAGAAATGCGGCGTGGGGCGCCAAGAATCAGGGGGGTAAATTTGTACCCTCTACCTTCTAAGACTTCTTAAGCCCCCTATAGCTTACCCTAAAGCAGGTCCCACTACTACCGCTACTACTGCTATAGCCACCACTGCCATAGCTACCACTACTACTGCGCTACTACCACTGCACCACCACCGTTCACTATCATGCTGTACGATGCGCTTTCAGAGTAAAATTTGATTGCGAAAAACAATCAGTTGAGTGCACTTTCGTGCGGTAGTTAGAAATGCATTCAAGAGAAAATTTCTAAGGATAAAGCTCAGTATTGAATAGGAGCAGCGTGAGCACGTTATAATGGAGACCCGTATAGTAATGGTTACCCAACTGCCAACAACTGGCCTATTAGTGCCGATCGAACCAGATTATAGCTATAAACAGCTGTAATCAGTTGATCAGCCAGCTGAGAACAGCAACTAAGAAAGGAAATAGAGAATGGAAAGACTAGATAGCAATTAAAGGCATATTAAAAAAGAGTAAATTACTATAAACTAAGGTCTACCGTAAGTCTATAGGTTTAAGTCTAATCAATAAAAATCTAGATACGAAACCTATATAAATACTCACCCAAAAGGCTACGTAGCCTAGTTCCACCACACTATTTATTACAGTATGAAGCAGGTTTTTCGATTAATCCGATTATCTTAGAAGGTAAAAGGTAGGCATATATTTATACTCCTGCTTCTTGGCGCTTTATACTACATTACTTTTACCATCTACTATGTATTTCCACGCGCAATAACCCGGCGTGTTGTTAGTGTTGAGGGTCCTTAAGCGCTAGGAGGCAAGGAGCTAATAACAACGGCCCGAGAGTACGAGACTTGGATATATTATGCCGTCGTGGTCTCATATACAACAGTAAAGCTTGTTGCGCGCCTTAAAGGCTCGTCGTATCTAGGTATTGTGAGTCTCTTTTCTTGCGCTTCGGATGCTCCCGTTAGTACGAAACCCAATTGCCTAGATAGGTAACATACCTACAGAAGCACACCTTACTACAAATCCCCCTTTATAGATAATACACCACATTGTAATTACGACTTCGCCCGAGACTGTGCCGCTGCCAGGGAAAGACGGTCAAAATATAAGAGCCTCGAGCCCCCGGCTTCTCTCTTCACTCTCGACAGTTCCGCATTCGACCAGCGCCAACCTCAGCTGACGAGAAATATATCGTCAAGGCATAGATATGCCGTACTTGCGTACACACCACGCAAAGGGGCCGAGATCGGCGCCTTGCAAGATGTCTACAATCACGATTTCACTTGGGGCTCGACAAGACTCAGGCTACTGTTTTTGGAATCGATCTGAATTACCTAGACGATCTAACTTACAAGCCTTCAGGGGGAGGGTGCGGGGTGGTTAAGACGTGAGCTAAACATCCCCCTACCCTTACCTCATGGACCTAAAAAAAAAAACCAATATGTCCGCGCTGTAACTCCTTGCCTATGTGGAGTCGGAACCGCCGGCTCCGAATGAGTCTCTTGGGTCATGCCACCGACACGTCCGTGTACCAGAAGTATATGCTTGAATGCGTCTGCATGTAGAGAGGAAAGAGCATGACCATTTTCCCGATGCCTGATCGAATGTATGCTGTTACCCGCATGCGCGGACGTACGTACGTCTCATGATGCATGAAAGTGTGTTCGCGGGAGGTTAGCGTGTTGATCTGAGTCGTCGTCGCTATTCCCTCGTTCCTTTTAGTCGTATATGTCTTCTTCCATATCGTCGGGCGCGACGTCCTCGACGGCGTCCTCCTCGTCGATCAGCATATCCTCGTCGTCTTCGCCGAGCTCGCTGTCGGTGTGGTTGGGGACGACCTGGATCTTGTTGCCGACGAGCACGATCCGGGCCGACTCGCCGTCCCTGATGCCTCCGCGCAGGATCAGGACCGCCAGGCGGTTGAGCACTTCCTTCTCGATGAGCCTCGCAAGCGGCCGCGCGCCGTAAGCGGGCGAGTAGCCGGCGTTGCCCAAGTAGTCCTTGGCTTCCTCCGTGACCTCGATCTGGACGTTGCGGTCGTTGTCGGCGAGACGCTTCTGGATCTCGGTGAGGCGCAGGTCGACAATTCTGCGGATCTCGCGTCTCGTGAGTCTATTGAAGATGACGACCGAGTTGATACGGTTGAGGAATTCGGGCAGGAAGTAGTTGCGGAGCGCGTTCATAACGAGATCCCGCGTCGTGGCATCGATCTTGCCGTCTCGGCCGGACGGGCGCGCTAGAAACTCGGCACCCAAGTTGGAGGTCATCACGACTATACAGTTTTTAGCGTCGACGACGCGGCCTTGGCCGTCCGTAATCCGACCGTCGTCCATGAGTTGGAGGAGAACGGTCAGGACTTCCTTGGCCGCCTTCTCTACTTCGTCAAAGAGCAGGATGGAGAACGGCTTTCTGCGGAGGGCCTCGGTCAGCTGGCCACCGGCGTCGTGGCCCACGTACCCCGGCGGCGCACCGATCATTCTGCTAAGTGCGTGGCGCTCTTGGTATTCCGACATATCGAACCGAATCATCGCCTTCGGGTCGTCGAACAGAAACTCCGCTAGGGCCTTGGTAAGGAGGGTCTTGCCGGTACCGGACGGACCGCAGAAGAGGAAGCTAGGCGGTTGGTTGGGGTTGCTGAGACCTGACCGTTGCAGTCTGATAGCATTCGAGACGGCCTGAACAGCCTCCTTCTGCCCCACGACGATCTTTCCGAGCGCTCTCTCCATGTGGATAAGCTTCTCCTTCTCCGTGGTCTTGAGTCTGGTGACGGGAATGCCGGTCCATCGCGATACAATCTCGTTGATCTGATCTGGGCCGACGACGTCGGTAACCATGGAGCCGCCGATGTCATTCTGACTGAGCGCGGCGTCGGCGGCAGCCTTCTGGCGCTCGAGCTCCTTGATCATATGCTCTTGTTCGGGAATGGCGTAGTACTGAAGATCGGCAGCTCGTGCGTGGTCACCCAGCCGGGCCGCGTCCTCCATCTTGACCTTGAGCTGGTCTAGCTTCATCTTCGCCTCCTGGATGTCCTTGCCGCGCTTGCGCTCGCGCTCGTACTTCTCGCGAAGCGGTCTCAACTCCTCCTCGACGTTCTCGGCGTCCTGCTTCGCAATCTGGAGTCTGGCCTTGGATGCATCGTCCTTCTCGCGAGACAGGGCGTGGATTTCAATCTTGAGCTGCCGCAGTCTGCGCTCCAGCGAGTCGATAATTTCGGGTTGCGATTCTCGGGCCACTCGGACGGCGGCGGCGGCTTCGTCGACCAAGTCCACCGCGGAGTCGGGGAGACGCCGAGAGGTAAGGTAGCGCCCGGCAAGATTCGCAGCGGCAACTATGGCAGCGTCGGCGATGGTGACACCGTGGTGAACCTCGTACTTCTCCTTCAAGCCTCGGAGAATGGAGATGGTCTCGGGAATTGTGGGCTCCTTGACGAGAACCTGTTGAAATCGTCGCTCGAAGGCAGCATCCTTCTCGATGTACTTCCGGTACTCGGCGAGAGTTGTAGCACCGATACAGTGCAATTGGCCGCGAGCAAGCATGGGCTTGAGGAGGTTGGCCGCGTCCATACCGCCCTCGCCGGAAGCTCCGGCGCCCATCAGCAGATGGATTTCGTCGACGAAGAGCACAATCATGTCCTTGGATTCGGAGATCTCCTTGAGGACGCCTTTCATCCTCTCCTCGAACTCGCCACGGTACTTACTGCCGGCCACCAGGGCACCGACGTCGAGCGAGAGCAGCTTGCAGGCGGCTAGATTGTCGGGAACGTCGGCGTTGACGATCCGCTGAGCCAGGCCTTCGACGACGGTGGTCTTGCCGACACCGGGTTCACCGATCAGCACGGGGTTGTTCTTGGTTCGTCTGGAGAGAATCCGGATGACCCGCCGAATCTCTTCTTCCCTGCCGATGACGGGGTCGATCTTGCCCTCCCTCGCCATGCTCGTCATGTCGATGGTGAATTTGGACAGGTTCTCGTGCTCCTCCTCGGTATCGGCCGTTTTCGAGTCCACCCTCTTCGTCCCGCGAATGGTTTGGACGGCGTCCTGGACCAACTTGGCCTTGGGGATGTTAGCCTCCTTGAGGGCGGTGGCGATGGTAGCGTCCTCGGAGAGGGCGGTGATGAGGTGGTCAACGGCGATGTAGGTGTCCTTCTGGGTCTTCTGGAGCTCCTGGGCCTTTCTGAGGATGGTGTTGAAGGACTGGGCCATGGTGACCTGCTCGGGCGGCGGATCTTGGCTCGGCAGACGGACCAGCATCTTTTTGAGAGCTCGGTCGAAAAGCTGAGGGTCGCCGTGGGCCCTCTCGACCACTTGACGGAAGAGGCTGTGAGTAGTTCCCGGGGGAGCATTTTGCTGGTCCTTGGACGGGTCTGGCGGGGGATCTAGCAGCGAGACGGCCAGGTGGACGGGGAGCAGCTGGGTGTGAGCGTATTGCTCGGCCAGCGCCATGGCATCTTCGAGGGCCTTCTTGCCCCGGTCCGTGAACTCCATACGCGAATTCATAGCGGACAGGCGGGTTTGGTTCTAGACAGAGAGCGGGTGCGTGTCTTGTGTTGGTGTAGGGGTGTATCAGGCAGCGCCCGCAGGTAAGAGAGAGGTGAAAGGTGCGTTGGGTGAGGGCGGACACGCTAGCTGCAAGTGGTGGCAGAGACTAGTTTAGGTGTGTGATGTCGTTAGGCGGGGAGCTTAGCGGATGCACCGGCTTACCACCGCGAGTATTAGGGGTGTGTAGTACAGAACGAGTTGATTGATATCCTGCCCCGCGGATACAGCTGGGGATGTTTTCGAGTGGTGAAGAAGGAAACGAGGAGGAGGAGGAGGAGGAAGAAGAGGAGGAAGAAGACGGCGCGGAAGTGAAACACGTATTTATCTGGTCTGTCACGGGGGAGAAGAGGGAACATGCGATGATGACGAGACAATTACTCTCGGGCCGTGACGACTGGGTCCTGGTGGAAATCGCCAGCCGGTTCTCGACGGTGCCAGCGAGGAAAAGGTCATTCAGTCCAGTCTGCCTCGCTCTCGCTAGAAGTGTCGCAGGTGGACAGGCAGGCGAGTGCGGTACTTGCTGGGCCGCGGTCAGGCGCGCGCGACCGCATGTACCTACACCACACCGTCGGGTATCCAGGGACGCTGAGAAGCCCCGCGAAGCTTCCACAGCGTCGATGGTGGTGGGGCAGCGCCTGGGGGGGATTGTCGGACGTGCGACCCACTCTGGCCAAACCTCGCCAAGGCGGCCCGACGAGTGGATGGAACCACTGCCCTCGCCCAACTCCGTGCTGCTCAGCTACCTACCTATCTCTCAGGTGCCTACGTGTAGGTGCGCCTAAGCTAGGCCTCTACTATAACTTATAAGTGGTGATATGCCTAAGGCTAAGGCTAGGGCTAAGGTTAAGGCTATGCCTATGCCTATGCCTATGCCTATGCCTATACTCTAAGTACGGTGGACACCACCCAACTGTAGGCATGTCCATGCGAGTAAGCCCGCGAGGTGGGTTGGCTCACCTGCTGGTGTCGACCCGCTGCCAGCCAACGTCTGGATTCCGACCCGGCTCCCGGCGAGGCGGCCCTGTGGGCGTCATCATGGAACCTACGGATCCCTCGAGGTGGGATGACTCGATCCGCCCTATTAGCTGCCAGCTGGGCGCGGGAAGGACTCGGGCACCGGCCGGATCTTGGGATCACCCACACCCGATATGGCGTCCGATAACGAGAGCACCGCGATAAGATAACGATAAGCCCTGCCAAGATGGTGCGTAGGTACCTTTACCTACCTTAGGTACCTATAGGCCGAGCCAGGCAGGTTCACCTTCTGAACCTGAATAATCATCGTCGCAATCGGAATTTTTGCGTGGTGGCAGCACCGATACTGGCACCACCCAGCCCAGCCCCAGCGACCAGATACCTACCTACACCCGTCTATGTAGGTGGTATCCGGTGTCAGCCTCAACAACCCCAACCCCGACCGTCCCCCCCCGTCCGCCGTCGCCGTCGCCGTCGCCATCGCAATCCCCGCAGCCGCCATGGCCCTGACGGCCAATTCGATCGCGGCCCAGCTCGGCAAGCTGTCGCTGGTCGGCATCCCGCGCGCCCCCGTGCGCTTCAAGCACATCAGCGCGAAGGTCCGGAAGCGGCTGGAGGCCGGAAAGAAGAAGGTCCGGAAGCCTCATCCGCTGCCGCAACTCCCCCCGCACCACGGCGAGAAGATATGGGTCTTCCACCACTTCTTCGACGGCATCACCGTGTACTCCCATAGCCCGGTGCCCAAGGTATGAATGAAGGCGTCGCCCTCCCCTCCCCCCCCCTTCCCCGCCGAGCGTAAACCATTACGAAGCAGCATCAGCCGAAAAAAAAAACGACGCGCTAATCCCGTCCCCTCCCCCCCCTCTCTCTCGAAAAGGCCAGCAAGATGCTGCGCCAGATCCCCTTCAACGGGAAGAAGCTGCGGCCGTCGTCGATACGCAAGGACCTGTGGCGGCCGCTGGCCATGATCCAGTTCCCCGAGGGCAGCGGTGAGGTGGGCCGCAGCGTGTACCAGCGGCTGCGCGAGTGCCAGTCGCTGCACGCGCTGTGCTGGCCCGACTCCCTGCTCGCCGACCCCAAGGACGGCCACGTGCTGACCAAGCACGACCGCGGCCGCCGCCTCAACGACCAGAAGGCCAACGCCATCGCCGACATCGCCGCCGTCCTCGCCGGCCTCGGCAAGGGCAACAAGATGTGGGTGGCCGCCCCTGACCCCGCCGACGACGCCGCCGCCGCCGCCGACCCCGAGAGCAGCACCCGCCCCCCCGACGCCGCTACCCCCCCCAGAGCCCTGCTCAAGGCCGAGATCTGGTGGATGAACGGCCAGGACCGCGGCTACGCCAAAAAGTGGCCCTCCAACGTCACCCACCACCTCTTCGCCGAGGCCGTCCTCCAGCCGCTAGACGCGGAGACGCCGGACGGCGCCGCGCCGCCGACCGAGGGGGGCGGGAAGGAAGGGGACAAACCGCGGACGGCGCCAGCCGAGCTGGTGGCCGCCGAGCAGCTCCAGAAAGGAGGCGATCAGCGGCCTTCCGCGTAAGGGGGGGGGGAAGAGTCTACGCGCACGCCGTTTACATTGAGCCGGAGGAGGAAAGAAAACAAGGCTTCCTCAATAACTTTATATTCCTGCCGATTCGCGGCTGCGTCTCTGCAGCCGAATGTATTATCAGTCGTCTATCCGTTTATCACGGCGACGACCCCTCCGCCCCGCACCACCGCCGTGCCCTTTTCAAACCATGTCCTGATATAGGCATACCGCCATGGCACCTCCAGAAAAAATATACATTCTGAACCTCTGTACCGTAGCGCGTGCGCGCGCGTATGTGTGTATGTCTCTGCCTGCCTACATACCAATCTCCCGTCCCCTCGTCAGTTCCTGTACCCCTCCCTTGCCTTAGCCCAACCGCCCGAGACGAAATTCCGCGCCCGCGAGTAGAAGCGGAGGAGCGGGGCGAGGCGAGGCGGTTGGTTAGAAGGGTAAAGAACCGAATCAAAAGAAATGAAAAAAAAAGAGTAACGGGGCGACCCAGGCGTCTAGAACTTCATGGCGAACGACTTGAGGTACTCGTAGTGGGGCAGGTTCTCGTCGACGCAGGCGCGGATCACCTTCTGGGCCTCGTCGCCGAACTTCTGGCGCCACTGCTCGTCCTCTTCTTCGTCGGTGAGGGCTGCCTAGAAAACGGGCACGTCAGCAGGCATTCTTTTTCACATCGTCATCTCCTCTCCTTCCAAAAAGGCGACGGCGGCGGGCGGACGTACCTGGGCGTGGGGCCGGGCGGCGAGCCCGGTGCTCTGGATGGCGTCGTTGTGGAAGCCGCGCCACTTGGCGAAGGCGGCGGCGACGCGGTCCTGGCCGGCGGGGTCGCCCCAGGCGAGCATGTCGGGGCGGAAGGGGAGGCCGACGCGGGCGCAGAAGGCGGCGACGGCGGGGGCGGGGCGGTCGAGCAGGTCGTCGGCGTCGACGACGGTCACGTCGCCGCCGCCGGCGCCGCCGGGCGCCGACGACGCGAGCCCCCGCGCCCGCAGGTAGTCGAACACCCGCCGCAGCTCCGCGTACCCCGCCTCGCTCGGCAGGAACCGCATGAACCCCGTCACCGCGTCCAGCGGCGGCACGCAGCACCGGAAGTACGACGGGATCCCCCGCCGCGGGTGCCGGATCAGGAACGTCCAGTGGAACCGCTCCAGTACCGCCAGCGGCAGCACCGTCGGGTTCCCGTCTTCGGCCCCGCCCCGGGCCGTGTCGCCGTTGGTGCCGTTGGTGCTCGCCGCCGCGCCCCCGCCGCTGAGCGACGGCGCGATCGTCGCCGGCTTCCCGTCCGGCGGCATCAGATAGTACGCCATGTCCTTGATGAAGACGCGCTTGCCCTGCCGCCGCCGTGGTTAGCGGAGTGGGCTCAGGGGGGGGTCCTGGGACATGCGGTAGAATATACATATAGTATCGCCCGACGTAGACAACAAAGGGAAAAAAAAAAAAAAGGGAACTGCATACCTTGCTGCCGTCCTTCTCGAGGCGCTCGAGGACATCGCGGTACGTGGTGTTGGCGAAGCCGCTGCTTTCCCTGGCGGCGGGGTCGTCGGCGTACCGCTCGCTGAGCCGCTCCGGGCCGTAGTAGAAGCTGTCGCCGAACGGCTCGTGGACGCACTCGAGGATGTCGTCGCGAGTCATGAAGACCTGGGAGCGGGAGAGCACACAGTGTTAGCTCGTCCTCTCCCTCTGTGGCTGGCGTGGCCGGGGTCTGGCCCCTCGGCTAGCCAAGCTAAGCTCCGTACAGGTGCATGGAGGCGGATACACGAGTAGCGGCAGTAAGCAAGTGTGTGCGTGTAGTAGGCTAGCGGCCTTGGGATCCGCCGATCCGGTTTTTTTTTTCGCTCTTGACGGGAGGGACGGATCAGAATGACTTACCCTCTCGAAGGCGGTGGAACAGGCACGTGGGTGCGTAACGAGGAAGATGGGCTTCTCCGACATCTTGAGTGTTGCGATCTGGGTTCCGGATGGTGTGACCAGGTTGGGTTGTCTTCTGCTCACTCAGGTGTATATGCTGCTCGACAACGTATAGGCGTGTAGCGCACCGCGCGTGAGATAGCTAGTGTATAACGAAGAGATAGAGGAGCAAAGACGCATTTATCTGATCGATCGATCGAGGGACGGACGGGTTGCTTTAACTCTCTCCCGCTCGGACGGCGGGTGGTTCGAGGAAACAAGCACGCGCAAAGCTCCCGGTGGCAGGTCCATAAGCGGACTAGGTTCAGCTGGAGTCGGGTGACGGTGAGGTGAGAGGGAAAGCAGGCCTGGACGAACGCCGAGGGATCCCGGTCTTTCAAGAGAGGAAATGAGAGAAGGAGAAACGTGGATTTTGTCCGGCATAACCTCAGCTACGTATGCGATAGCCAAAAGTTGTGCAGAGTTGACGGACGAGGTTGCCAGACGGGGCTACGTCGACGTCTAGCTGAACTGTGCCTGTTGAACTTACCTGCCTCCTTAGACAGTTTAGGCACTTAGTCTGCTATACCTGGGTAAGCAGCTAGCTGGTGGATGCGATGCCGAGAACACTAGCCGTGCCTACACCATGGTCCGATACATCTGCGTGCATTTCATATCCATGTCTGAGTACATGGCCTATGACAATGTATATGTTCCGAAATAGACGACCGCCCAGCGGCCTCGAAATCTTGGAAGCTAGAAAAAAAAAAGACGCAGATGCTAGGCCATGCAGGCCTGTGTCCATGCGCTTAGTTCCTTAGGTAATAGGTTGTGATGTGGGTGGTAAGAAGGTAGGGATATCTGTGGTATACGTCAGATCGAGGCTGCTCATTGGCAAATCACAGACATATTAGGGGCAAGGGGGCAGAGATCAGAGAGTTGGGGCAAGTGCTGGCGTAGGAAGCATAGAAACTTGGACGAATAAGTCTCCCTTCTTCGTCTCTCTTCTCTCTTCTCTCTCATTTTCATCGTGGCCATGAGTTGAGAGCCGCGTTGAAACTGAAGTTCTACCTAACTCGCAAGTGTCGCTCTCGAACCCCCGAACTGCCCCGGTCCGTGTAATACTTGGGCGGTGACGAACCTGTACGCACTTCCGAACATGTACGTGGGCGCGCACTAGACAAGGGTGTTCACAGGCACGTAAGTGATTACGGTGCCGTTTTTACCAATGGTGGTGCCTCGAGCCCCGGCTTGGGGATGTAAATAGCGACGTCCGGTCCCCGTTGCGGGATCCGCGTGGGGGTTTTTGTCGGCTCCATCAAAACTCGTAATATCGGCTTCCTTCCAATTGGCCTGAACCAGTAAAAACTAGGTAATACGCCCACTTCGTCGCCTTCTCTTTATTTTCCGTTGGCCCCGGGGCCTGGCCTGGCCCTGGCCCTGCTGGGTCTGAACGCGAACGGGGATTCTCAACTGGGCTCGGTCCTGGTATGCCCAGCAGATTTCCGCCGGATCTTTGCTCGTCTGCCTCTGCCTTACCTCACCATGACGTCGTTGAAGTCCAGCAAAACGTATGCGTTTCGAGGATTGACCCTGCGCCTGCGGAGTAGCATGCGAGAGTTTTGACATGCGGGCCGTGGCCGGGGTAGACCGCTGGTATGGTTGAGGCGGGCACTCAATTCTGTCGGCTGTCGGCTCCTGTTACAGGATGTGCCAGAGTCTTCAGGCGACTGTGCCGTTAGGAACTATGAGATGAGCGATAGCCGCCTTGGAGATGTCTGATGAATGTATTTTTGGTTATCTTCCACGCTCAAGGCACCTAGTAAACTCGGCTTGACCGCGTATATGGGAGGTAGGCATCTACCTAATTAGTTGTGTCTGTCGTGTCGTGTGGCTGAACGGCGACACGAGCCTTAGAGGAACCCAACGGAATGAACTTCCTTGGCCATGTCTCGCTTGACTTGCTTTTTTTTTCTTTTTTTTTCTTCCTAGAAGTGGTGTCCCATCCTTCATAGATCCGGAGTGTGGGCCATGTAGGTAGATAAACCCGCTCTCCCCCTAACTGAGCCTGCCCCAGCTCCAAATGTTGAGGCCGACCTTGGTTCCTTTTCTCACTGTCACGAAATCAACTCGTTAGTGTACTTCCGTCTACAGGACGGGTTAGGCTGTGCGTCATGAGCGAAGCGCTTATAACTGGCCTCGTAAGACGAAGGAGGGAAAAGTGGCAATAATCGCACACGTACCTGGTAGACCCGCGTGCCACGTCTCATCCCACCCCCTACCGGTCCCGTCGGGGCGGAAGTTTTCCCAGTACACCGCGTTCCCCGACACGGGCTTGAACGTAACACCAACGCGGGGCCTCTCGCCGTCGCCCCCGGTGCCCCTTTTCCCGCCCGCCGTCTCCTCCTGCCCCTCCCCCGTCTCGCCGGAGGGGGGACACTCCACCCAGCGACACCACTTCTCGTCGGGCGCGCTCCACGGCAGCAGGGGGAACTCGGTGCCGCCGCCCTCGACCTCGCCCGCGCCCAGGCCTGCGCCGTCGCCGTCGGCGTACACCCACGCCATGAAGCTGCTCGCGCGCCCCCAGCCGCGGCGCCCGGACCCCCAGTCGAAGTGGTGCGCGTAGTGCTGCGCCGGCCCGCGGTACCGCTGCACGCGCAGCCGCTCGAGCCACAGGTCCGCCCGCCAGCCCTGGAACCCCCGCGCCCGCGCCTCGATGCACCGCACCTCCGCCGTCCTCGGCACCACCGCCACCTCCGAGTCCCGCACCGTCGCGTCCCGCTCCGTCGAGCCCCCGTCGTGCGTCACCGTCGACGGTTCGAACAGTGGCTCACTTTTTATGCGTCCCCGGACCCGGACGGTCAGCGCAATGAAATACGTGCTCGGTAAGAGAGAAGGCGGCAAAAGAGGGACGTGGTGAGGCGTCGGAGTATATTGGAGTGAGACGGGATGAGATGGGGGACGAGGTGAGACGAGAAGGAATACAACCTAGGTAAGTATAGACGTACCTGATCTCGAGCAAGTGCGCCCGCTCGTCCGCCGACAGGAAGTTCTCGATGTACACGACGATGGGCGCCTTGGACAGGAAGTGGACGGTGTACGTGTGAGGCGGGCAGTCCGTCTCATTCGCCGCGTCCATAGCCAGCAGCGACTCGTCGATACGTGGGCGCGGCGTGTGTGGCAGCCGCGCCGGTTCCCGCGGGGAGTATCCCGACGGCGAGAAGAACCGCAAGATCGGCTCGTAGGCGAAGAGCAGGACCGCGAGGCCCGCGAGTATCCACGGGAACATGACGCCGGCGGCGCAGCGGCCGAGAACACGTAGACAGGTAGGCAGGTGGATAGGTAGAAAGGTAGAAGAAGGGTAGGTAGGCAAGCCGGCTGGTGTTAGCAAAACGGGTTAGGGACAGGTGCCCGAGGTCAACCAGGAGGCAACGCTGTCTGCAACCACTACCAGGTGTGTCAGTAGGTAGGTATAGCAGCCCTCGAGTAGCTAACTAGAGGGGATTCTACGGTAAGCCCACGCACGCTGTTACCGCATCCCCCAAAAGCCGAGTCTGATGCGCTGGTGGTGCGCCTGACCCGCTATTAGCGTCGTGTGCATACTCCCTCCAGTACTGCCTCTAACTGCCTAACGTATAATGCAACGCAACATGGTACGATCAGGGAATGCCTTAAGCCCAAACCGATATATATACTCTACATGCATAATACCCTATACCTGCATGATGACATGACGCGGCCACACGCGGCCACATGACTGTAACGCTTGCTAATAGATACATACCTGCAATCTGCAACAACCCCTTGGGGGTATATACCTTCGTAGCTCGAAGACGACGATAGCGGACCTCGCGCGAAATCATTGCCTCTTCTTATCCGACTCTTTCTCTGCTTCCTGGCTGCCGTAGCCCGACCTCAGATACACGGAGGCGAGCTTAAACACTACGAAGAGGAATCCGGCCAGAACCACGGCCGCTGTCCCGGCGCTGATCCAGCTCGACTTCAGCAGGTCGAGAACGGGGACTCGGATCGTGTGGTAGAGGTTGCCTCCCGACTCTGGCCTCGGATCGACGTGCCAGAAAATTGTACGCTGACCGAACAGTCCGTCATACCCGAGATTGACTCTGTCGAACGGATTGCTGGGGAACTTTGTACCGTCCTCGGCCGTGCAGGCCCAGAAGACCGCCGGCCAGGGGACGTGGATGCTTCTATATCCGTGTTCTGCAGGTGATAAGTAGCGAAGGTGGAGCGGAATCTCGGCTGTCCATGGCCTATCGTCCTGGACATCGGGAGGCTGTAGCTCGAGGAGAACGCTAGAGCCCCAGAGTTTGATGGCATAATCGGGTGCCTCGAGATCCACGGGCTGGCTGATGTAGCGCAACGATGTCAAATTCTTGGATGATAGGAACAGACCGTCCCCAAGTTGATACTTGTCGGCAAATATAGCCCGGGGTAGCGTCAGGTACGTGTGCAATGAACAATACGGCCCCTCCATCGGCGGCTTGCTTGAGCTCACGCGGAGTTGCATCGTCGGGTGTAGCCCCGACGGGGGTAGGAACCCGGACGCAAAGCTGACGCCAGCGGCGCTTTTGTGACGCGAAGGGAAGGAGAACAGAGCTGGCGAGGGTTTCGTGTCTTGGCCTAAAACACTGAGCAGCCCCGTCACACCAAACTCGTGCTGTTCGAGATGCGGAGGTATATCCGGCGTCATTATGCCAACTTCGGCTCTGTGATCCGGATGGGAGTCGACAGATAGCGGCTGTGGCTCATTCGGCCACAAAGCTGTGACCTTGGCTACGTTGGAGACAGCGTCGTAGGAGAAATCCACCGAATTTGCCTTGGCGAGCCGCTGCGCACGCTCTTTGCATTCGGAGCCAGGGGAGACGCACGCACGCTTCTCGATGTACGATGCGAACTGCGCTAGGCTTTCTAGGACCTGGTAGTATTGGTATGCGGTCGAATGGGAAAATCGGTCGTTTGGCAACTTCGTAAACGAGTCCTGCGGGAGGTCAGCGGGATGAGAACATGGCGTCGAGAGACCGTCGTGATCTAGTTTCTATGGCGGTCGCTTACAGATATCGACGAGCAGTCCAAAGGGCCGAAAGCAGCCTGTAACAAGGGGCACAAGCGTTCGCCTTCTAGCTTCCGGCCGTTGCTGGGGGTGTAGAAGACATGCAGGCCGGGAGGCAGGCGGGAGCTCCATGGGCCTACAGTTTGGTAGGCGACGGGGCTCTGCCAGCGTATGTAAAGTTCCTGGGATTCCTGAAGAAGGTCTCGAAGCTCGGCGGGGAGCTCGTCGAGCGCTAACGTGATCCGGTCCTCGCGTTCGGCTATGATATCGGGGCCGGCGATGGAGCGACCGGCCAGCTTCAGGGAGTCCGGGTCGACGCCATGCTCGTGCCTGTGGAAGAAGGTGATTCTTTGGCGCATTTTAGAGGACAAGATGGAGGATAGCGCATTCCTGAGCTTCCAGTCTATGATCTTGGTAAATCTGCAGGAAAAAGAAGTTGGTGAGAAGGAGGGAGACGGGGTTGGTGTCGCAGGTATAAGTGATCTATCTGTCACGAGGCGAGCTGCGAGGCGCGAAGGTGCAAGGTGCAAGCGAGGTAGGTACCTGAAGGTACCAAACCCAGGATGGCCCAAGCTCCCACCACCATCACCACACGTCAGTGGCTTACAGAAGACTCGGTAACGTGACCAATGTCTACACGCCTACACGTCTACACGTACATCTACGAAGTGGGCGTGTACTGTAGTATATCGCGAAGGCATATCATGCCGTTTACTTTCTCAAGCATCCACCGGCTCGTAGCGGACATTCACATGCACGCCGGTGATTCACGAAAATCGAGTGCATTCCGTAGCTCTATTACCAGACGGGTTGACTCCTATCGGCTCTCAGCCCAAAGGTTTGCCCTGCCCCGGGGCCAGCTGAGTCGCGCCTAGCTCTGTAATAAATCCTCTTCGCCCTATTTCTCTTGTAAAATAATGCCACAACCTTCGGTGCATCCCTTTTACCTCCCCGTCCCCAGAGTCAAAAATGGATAGATGTGGCCAGTATACGGCAGAAAAAGAAAAGAAAAAAAGATAGTGCCGTTCAGAGTTCCGACCCCGGGCCGGGACCAAGATGCGGACCCAAGCCTGAGCTGATCTTAACGCTTTCACATACCAGTTAGGTTGTTGAACGGCCAACTTTGGGGAGCGCTATACCGGCGACCGTAGGTCTCGGTTAGATAGACAACCTTCTCATACAAAGCGGTAACGCCGTGGTTGCGTTTCTCAATCCCAGCGACGGCCCTCTCGCTCCGCTTCGAGGCGCCTCATGCGCTCTTCCTCGTCCTCCGTCTTGACGGCTTCGCTACGACGGCTCTTTCTGCGACCGCTGCGGTCGTCGCCGCCTTCGCGGCCACGCTTCACCCCTGTGCGACTTGCTAATCGCTGTGCCTCCTTTAGGAGGCGCTCGCGGTCTCGAGCCTCGCGCTCCAGCGTGTGCGGATCCTTGGTGGCCGGGGGAGGGGCTGACCTCGGGCCGGCGGCAGACGATTCGCTCTCGCGCCTGTTCGAGTTGGAGGGTTTGCTACTGACGCCCTTGATCTCGAGCCCGGGCGGCGCCGATTTGTTGCTAGCTCCCTTGATTGAAAAGCTCCCCCTGGGTCCGGCCGGGGGGTTGAAGCTTTTCTCTGCAGGCTCTGTCGGAGTCGGCAGCGCGGTAGAGCTCTTAGTGCTGCGGTGGCGGCGATCTTCGTCGTGGTCGCGAGCGCGGTCCCGGTCCCGGTCCCTCTCTCGCTCTGGATCTCTCTCGCGGTCCTGGTCGCGGTCCCGGTGAGGACGATGGGTAGACTTCCGATGCCGATCGTAATCGCTGTCCTTGTCAACTTCCTTCTCGCGATCTCGCCGCTTCTCCTCGCGGTCGCGGCGACTCCGATGACTTAGATGCCTCTGTTCACGGTCGACAGGAGAAGCAGACCTAGCACGTTCCTCGTACTTCCCCTCTCTAGCCCGACCTTTGTAGTCGTCATCGTCTCTAGTCGATTGCTTTCTGCTCCTATGTTTGCGGCGGCGGCGGTTACCGTCACGTTCGTCACCCGACACGGATGGGGATCGATGTCGCCTGTGCCTGCGAGTCTCCTTACGATCACCGCGGCTGCGGCTCCGGCTCCGCGTCCGACTCTTGGAGATGGTATATGTCCTAGAACGGTCACGATCTTTATCACGATGACGCCCCCGGCTTTTGTCCTCATCATCACGCTCTCGGTCACGTTCACGATGACGCCGATCCTTATCTTTAGACGAATGCGGAGAACTACTCCGCGACTTTGGCCTATCTTCCAACGGGCTTGCCACTACCGGGACCGCATTAGCACGCGGACTCGGGTTTCTCTCATCAGTGATGTAGCCACGTGCTCTTAAGTGGTGAAGACTAGTGTTAGGGAGACCCTGGCGCATGGCCTTGGGGCCCGTCGGCGCATTCAATGGCACATCCGGGACCGCGGGTTGGGGATGTGTCGGACCAGCAGGTCCACGGGAGAGACCCCGAGGCCCCGATTGTGGATCTCTAGCAGAAGAAGAAGATACGTCACCCTGGTTACTTGCAGGATCGCCCTGCGCAGACTGCGATCTTTCTTCCTGGGGAACCTGTCGCGGGTTCTCTGGCGTTGGCTTATCGGATCCGTCAGCGATAGCACGATCCTGGCTACCTCCCGGTTCTGGGTTCCCATTTTCCTCGACCGGCTGTCCGTCCTGGTCCGATCCCGGTCGCGCGACCCGGCCAAATTCGTCCACGCTGCTAGAGTCTTGTCCTGGTGCCTGGGAGCCGTCCGGTGCTGTCGGGACGTCTCTGTCGGCCGAGAATTGGGGGCCTTGCTCAGCCCAGCCTGCGTTTAGGTGGTTGTTATATCCTTGATGGTACCCGCGACCATAGCCTCCGTTGTTGAAGCCTCTGCCACGGCCTCTTCCTCGGTAACCATAGTTACCTCGACGGTAATCATTGAATTGGTTGTGGTGACCATAATTACCTGAAGAAAAGCCTGTACGGAAACCTGAGTTAAAGTTGCCAAAGTCACCATTTCCCATTCCAGGAGCATTTGGATTGAAATTATCTTGGCCGACGTTCCATGATTGCTGTCCGTTCCAGTCATTGCCGCCACCATTGAACCCATTCATGCCCATATTCATGTTCATGCCGTTCATGCCCATGCCTTGCGAACCAAAGCCACCGTTCATCATCATATTCTGCATCGTCATCGGATCCATCATTCCTAGATCGCTCAAGTAAGCCGACAAGTCTCTGCCATTCGCACGGCTGGCTAAAGAGTTCTTACCCATCATGGGAAAGGAGCCGAAAGCGGCCGGGTTCATTCCACTTTGTATGGCCAGCATCATCTGCATCTGGTTCATGTCCCCGTTGCCGAAGTTCATGTTGAAACCACCATTTACCGAGTCGAAGCCAACGCCCATCCCGGGCTGTGCTAGCTGATCCTTGTCATTCCCACCTTGACCATCCTCTCCCGTTTCTTCCGAGTTTGCCTCACCTTGGCCTTCTCGTCCTCCGGGAACGATGGCTTGAGAATCTCCTTCGTCCGGGAGGGGATCCCGGCGCTGCCCGTTTACATGCGAGTCCTAGAGAATTGTCAGATTAGGCTGTAGAGCACGAAAACTACGATAAACTAACCTGTTTAGGTAGAGCATCAAACTTTGGCTTAGAATCGGTAGCCTTGGGCTCTTCCGAATCGGCCGGGGCAGAAGGTGCGGAGGCTTCTACAGCTTGAAGCTCGGGGCCGTCCTGGGTGGTTGTCGCAGCTTCTGGAGGATGCGGCTCCGCAGGGACGCGTATCTGGGTGGTCGGCGTGTCTTGTATAGGGGTCGTTGGTGTTGAACCGTTAGTCTTGGGGCGGGCAGCCTCGCGCTTCTTCTCTTCGGTCTTCAAAAAGACCCTGATGGTAGTCCTGAGGGACTTGTAGACGGTGCAGTCGGATCCCGAGACGGGAGAATGCTCGCAGACGGGGCAGGCAGAGGGTAGCGTGGATTGACCTAGCATCTGTCAGGGCCTACACCTATGACGCAGCCGCACCCAGGCCGGGCCAGGCACGGGAGGATAGATCGGGACAAAGAGATATCTAGCTTACATTTTTCGCATATGGCGGTCTCGCAGCAGGGTAACCTGAAAGCGTTTATGGCCAACTTACTGCAGACGGCACATCGCAGCTTCGTAGGCAGCTCGGCCGGGGTCAGAGAACTGCGAGCTAGGGTTAGCCGGCTGACCAGAACGCGAACGCGAACGCGAACGCGGAGCGGTGTATCCGAAGGGGAGGACGACATACTTGGCGAGCTCGATCTGAGCTGAAGTCAACGCCGTCATGTTGGGCACGGAAGGCGTTGCGGGCGAGATGGGTTTGCATGTGGTAGATGGATAGATTGCGCTAAGAATGACCGAGAAATTTCTGCTGGATGTAGGAATACGGAAGCATAGGAGGATGCGGTGACGGGCAGTGTCGAAAAGACAGGAAGCCCAAACGACGTCGTGTGTCGCACCGGTTTCGAGACGCAGGCTGCTGATATGGATGGGTCGCCTCGTTTGGCTGGGAGGGAGGACCGAGAGAGAGACGTGGCTATGTGGTCCGGAGTAAAATCGTAGACCTCACGCGCAAAACAATGAGGGAGACCTTGTTCGTGGAGTTTGTCGCTTTGGACCATTTTAGGTAAGGTTGGGGTCGTCTAGCTTAGGCGGGTCCAGAGGTCTATACGCATATCGGTGGTTTGTTTATAAGGGTACTCGTAGCAGTAAGAGGTACCTAACCCAGCCTCCAGGCACCCACGAACATTCAGTACTCGCATATTCAAGAATGTGTAGAAATCGAGGTTTGTCACAATCGGGTATGGTCATCGATTACGTACAGTAACAGAATACCGTAAGGTAAGGTACCTCTTACATTACCTATCGTACCTACCTAGATACCTAAGGTACCTAACCTAACCTAACCTAACCCAAGCTTCCAGGTCCACGTAAAGCACCTCGAATATGGATTGGTGGCGTGAGCGATGACACTGCCAATACGCAGCAGTCCTACTCGCAACCCGCGGTCGTGTTGGCTGTACCTCATGCGTGTTGGCTTATCTCCATAGTCATTTATGGCTGAGTGAATAGAGGGTGATTCGAGCAGACGAACACACATGGTACGCTATACGCATCATATATATAGGTAGGTATAGGCGCGCAAGCACGTAATCGGTTACGTATAGCTATAGGGTAAGCCCTGCCCTAGCGAGGGCTAATCGGGATATAAAAGGTACGTAAAACGGCTCTAAAAGGCTACGTAAATAACTATAATTTAATTAACTATTTACCCGTTTCTTAGATGGCTATATGGTAATACCTTATACGTTTCGTAAGCTTATTATTACGTTATTTTATTATTATTTAACTACTTACGTTACGGAAGTAATTAGGTAACGAAAGCTCCGATAAATAAGCGGCCTAGGGTAACCGTATAATTACGATTAACGGTAAAGAGAGGTTATCGATAAGCTAAACGATTAAATCGCGAGGATAGTTACGAGGATAACTACGAGATTATAAAATAAAGCGGCCGAAGAGGGAACCGAATAAGAGATTACGTAGGATATTACGTTAAAGGACCTCCGTAAGAAAATACGTAAGAAGCTATAGGAAGGCTTACGTAAAACGACCGAGTATATTAATTAACGTATAAATACCGTAAAATATCTCCTTAAGGAGATAATAACTAAGCTAAAAATAATAGGCGAATAACGGTAAGGAAGTTATCGCTAACCTTAATAAAACGTCGCCGATTTAGTAAAAAAAGGCGACTTTACCGACGCTAACGAAGGTAAGGATAAACCTTATATTAAAGACCTAAAAACTCCGAGGAAATTAAATAAATCGGCTATAAAAACTTAACGAGTCTACGGTAAGGACTACCGTAAGAGCCGCGAGGATAGCCGCTACTATCGTATCTCGCGTTTAGCCCGGCGTAAAAGCTACCGCCGCTAGGGCCGTAGCTTAAGTAACTTATTAGGAAGCTTTTCCGATAGTAATTCCGATTACGGTAAACGACGTAGCCGGAAAGTAAAGAGTAGGAATAGGGGTACCGCGTTTAGGAAGGACGGTAGGATTAATTAAAAGAAGTTCGTTTTTAACCCCGATAAGGACGCTTATCTTAAGGGAATCTCGAATTAAAGCTTATATCGGGATATACTTATGCTTTTTATAAAGGAGGTAAGGTATAAAGAAGGGATAGAACTCGACGAATAAAACGAAATATCCCTAGTAAAAGTAATCGCCGGAACCTACCGGAATTAACCCTTATAATTAATAACGGACGTACGTTTAAATATAAAGATACTAAAGATATTCGATTAAACCTATGCCTCTATAGGAAAGGCTCGTTAATAGGAATTATAGGAATAACTTATTAAAATAAAATACGACGGTAAGAACCCGGTAGAGTTTACGTCTAAGTAATAACTAACCGTTCGTTAATATATAGATACCGGCCTCGTAATCGACGAAGAATAATAAATTACGATATTCCTTAGCTATATATAAGATAAGGTAGTTAATTAGGTTAAGATCGTAAATACTATAACTAAAACGAAACTTATAAACCTATTAAACGTATTTAATAGCTTCCGCGGAAAGTTCCGTAATAAGATTAATAAGTATAAGGGTAATAAAAGTAACGACGGTAATAATAACTAGGTTAATAACGCCTAAAATAAGGAAAAGGATAAAAAAAAAAAGCCCTCGTAGAACTAATAAGGAAAGCCCCTTTGCTTTAATTATAAGGAATATAAGCATAAGGCTAAGAATTACCCGAAACCGCTAAAGGAACGAAAGAATAAGGGTAACGGCGGCGGTAATAATAACGGCGATAGCGCTCCCGGCGGATTAAGGAACGGTTCGAAATAACCGTCGACGTAATATATTACGTACGTACCGTATACGCTACCTTAATTCGGTTATTACGATAACGGAAACGGGGTATATCGAATAAAAATAAATACGGTAGAGCTCTTTAAGCTAATAAGCGCTTATAACGAATTACGCCGTAAGAAGGACCTTAAATAAAAGCCTATCCTTATTAACCCCGGTAATAACCTAACTATAACTAACCCGTTAAAAGGCGAGCGGCCCGTAAAGCCTTTAAGAATTAACTACGAAGTAAGGGCTAATGCTTATAAAGATTACCTATTCTTCGATATAAAAGCTAACGTTTACGTTACGAACGATTTAAAAGATCTAAACCTAAGAACGGTAGTAACGTTACTACCGGGTTACGTTATTAATACGGAAGAAAGCCTTATAAACGTTACGAAGATAAGTAAGGCTACTTATTACCTTACCGGCGACGACGGGGGATATAACCGAGCGTAATTAAATTATACGTTATTTATTAACTTCTTTTTAGTTAAGATCTTCTCGGGAGAGTTATTTTATCGTAGCGGAGGCTTGCTAAATAAAAATAACATTATAAATCCTAACGGGACCGTCCTAACGACCCTAAACCCTAAGAAACGAGGTTTCTTATTATGGAAATATAAAAAAGAGGAGCCGAAACTCCTCCCCTTTAAACGGTATTAAAAAGGCGCGCTAAGGTATTAATTCGATAAGTTTAACGAAATACTATAAGCGATATTAATATAGCTAAACGATAATATTATAAAGTAATTAATACTATAGCATCGCTACCTTTATTACCCTAATACGGAAAGACTTATATAAACTATTAAAAGGTCGATAAGGATCGACCTAGACCTAGTATTTATAAAAACGGTACCTTATTACGCGTATAATTAGGTAAAGATTATTAGGATACCCTCGAAGGATCCTTAGGAGCGTACTTAAACTCTTAAGGAAATTACTTAATGCGACTTCGGAAAGTTATAGCTTCTATCGATCGAAAACTACCGTTATTTTATACTAATCGTAAACGACGATAGCCGAAATAAAAAGTTTACCTAATATAAGTCTAAGGAAAAGGCTTAATAAGTATTAATAACTTACCTTACCCGAGTTTATTAGTTACTCGAGGTATTACCGAGCGTCCCGGATAAGAACCGGCGACGGATAAGAATATTACGCTTTAACGGCGGCCGAAAGTTCGGTATAAACGCTATCGAATAGTTCTATAACGAAAAGGATATTACGTTAGATATCTTTACGCTAAATAATTAATATTAAAACGGCGTAACGGAAAGAAGCATACGCTTCCTATAGAACGATACTAAAGTAATCTACGTTTAAATAAAGATCCCTACTTACTTTTAGGACTACGTCCTCGTAATAACGACGTATACGATTAATAGGACTAGCGTTTCGTCCGTAAAAAAGCTTACGCTATACGAGAAATTTATAAACGATATAGAGCTAGGAAAGAACCATAAACCTAATAACGTATATTTACGTATCGTCGGTAGCCGTTACGTAGCCTATATCGATAAGAATTATCGGGTAATTTCCGAGAAAATAAAACCACGTAAAGCCCGCGCCGTTTTTATAGGTTACGAAGGGGAATATAACTACCTAATCTAGCTCGTAAAAGGAGGTCGTTTCTTAAAAACGCCTTACGTTATCTTTTACGAAAAACTAAGAGACTCCGAAAAGGCCCTAGACTTAAGAAACGTCGTTAGGTCCTTACCTAAGTACGTTTAGAAACGGCTACGGTATCGGAAGAAGATCGCGGCGACTAACGTTCGTAATAAGGATAATAATATCGTCGACGAAAACGTTATAAACGAAAATAAAGGCAGAATACGCTTCCGGAAAGGACGCCCGAAGAAGAAACTACCTTAGATTTATATACTAAAGGTATTACTTAAGTTAGATAAGGTACGTTCCGCCTTAGCGCTAGGCGGCTCGTAAGAGAACGAGTTAAAGGAAGTATTTAAAGGCGAATAAAATACGCCTAAAATCGCGCCCCGAAAAAAGCTATGTTATATTAATACGCTTACTATCGTACCGTAGGAATAAAGCCATAAGTAAATAGCACTAATAACGGCGGGCCTATTTAAAATAAACGAAAACGAACCGCTCTTTAAAGAGGTAATAAAAGAATTAAAGCGTAATCTTTAAACCTAAGCCGTTTTTAAAAAGATCCGAGAGAACCTAGAACGTAATACGTTTAAGTTTATATAACTAAGCGAAGTAATTAACGGCTATCTTATCGACGCTAAATAAATCTTAAAGAAAAAGTTCTTATCTAACGGAAATTTCGATAAGCTAAAGGTACGAATTTACGCCCGAGGATTTACATAGAAAAAAGGCATCGATTATAACGAAACTAAGGCGATAACGGCGAGGGTAGTATTATAAAGAATGCTAATAGCGTTAACCGTTATTTATTAATAATATATCCTTTAAATCGACTTTATTACCGTCTATCTTAACGGGAAGCTAAACGAAAGGATCTTTATAAAGTAGTTCCCTATATTAAAGAAGTATTTCGAAGCCTATAAGAAAGAAAAATAAACCTATAATTACGACGAATCGAAGATTATCGAATTAATTAACCCGTTATATGGCTTAAAATAAGCTAAAGCCGCGTAATAATAACGTATAAAAGGCATCTTAAAGAAATACGGCTACGTTTTATTAACTTTAAACGACGTTATTTATATAAGACCCGGAATAGGAAACGTAATCGCCTCGTATATAAACGATTTCCTATTATTCGGACCTAAAGAGGAACGACTTTATAAGCTCGCGAATATAATTAAAGAGGAGGTTAAAATAATTAACCTAAGAAACGCTAATTAATTTTTCGGGGTCCGGATAAAACGATCGTCTCTTACGGGAAACGTCCGGTTCGATTAATAATAATATACGGAAAAGGCTTTAAAGGAGCTTAATTACGGCGATACGAAGCTATATCCGTTACCGTATAACCCGAAGAATCGGAACGCGGTCGTACCGAAAGAGGCTAACGATAAGGCC